GACCGTTCCGAAACTTAAAATACTTTTAGAATCAACTTAAAATTTCATTAATCTTTCGGGAAGTCGTAACAGTTTGATACGTTTGCCCTTTGCAGTATTATTAATATGGTTTACACAAGAATCTATAGAATAACTGTTGAAGTGATTGACTTTAAATTAAAGAACTCGCCTAGTATAAAACATAACGCCGAGGAAAACCTTATGCTTAAATTCTAGTAACTTTAGTTACATCTTAGAGTTATTTGAAAACTTGTTAGAAACTAATTTTAAATATCTCTAATGGCGTCACCAAGGTTCACCTACATCATTTATGCTCTCGATTTTAACTGATAACTTCTAATGAATGCTAAACGATCTGCCTCAATTCGAGTTAATATGTTGCAACAAAGTTTTTCCAGCATTGAGAATTGAAGAACACTGTTACCTTACTGATATGTACCGATATTGTACTTTTCTTAAGTAATTAAAGTTGGGCCAAATTATTTCTTTGATTTGAGACACCCCCGATCAAACGAATTTTCTACGTAGAGTAACCTGAAAAGTGGGGTGATGTCAACGGGGCAGACTCAACTGGTCCCGTAAGCCAGGTACCCTACTTCTACTGGTCCCAGTCTCAAGGAAGGTCTCTTAATCCGCACTTCCACTGGTCCCGTCGGCAGCCCCTTTGTAATTTGTCTAACAGGATTTCGGCTAGTGTCTGTATAGCTATCAATGCCCATTCATCAGTAGGAGGAAGGGGCCTGAGGTGCTTCGTTGTCTCTAAAAACACATGTTTGGAGAGTGTGTGATAGATTTAGATAGTGTTACCAGTAACATTAAAAAGTACAGCATTAATGTTTATATACTTTCAAGTGTTTTAAAGGTGATTCAGCGAATGAGTATCAGTAATATGGCATGTTATAGAATTCATTGGGTTTTAATTCCTAAGGATACTAATACACAGTGTTGTGAATAATTGTCTATTATTTCATGCTGAAAATATTTATTATAAAATACACATGCGTTAAGAAAAGAACTGAAAAAATACCGTATACAAAGACATGTGTTTAAAACAATCTATATAAATAAAACTAGAGTTTTGTATGTACATTGCTCAGAATCATAAATGTTTAGGTTATTTTTACGTTTTATACATTAAAGAAGCCGAAACAAGTCTCATCTCAATTTCAGTCTGCCTGTCTTCCGTCTGTCACGGCCCAAGAGCCATTTACGCGGCCTTCTCCTGAAAAACGAGAGTACCTATCAAGATCCGAATTATTTTAATGTATTCACTGGATTGGCGAGAGTGTCTTTAGCTATTAAAATATGGCCTCACTACTTTTTAAATAAACTTACGGACGTTCAAAAACCCAACTTTGTGCGATTTTTGTCAAGTTTTCTCCCAATTTTTATCACATAATCATCTATGAAATAGCGAACAGCTGTTGGGATCAAGATTATTTTTCTCTAGATGTCACTGATATGTTTACATTTAATGTTATTTACAAATACCGCAATCATTTCCGATCACGTTTCATAAACAAATCCAAACCAAGTTGGATTAAAACAGTTTTTCCTTACATAACGGATTTAATTAATCACAAGTTCAATAATTTGTGGGGTAACCGTAAATGAAAATAGAGATTCTTTGTGTATAAAAGTTTTCTTGAGTTTTGATAACCGGGAAAAAGACCTTGAATCAGTGTTTTATATGGCTGGGAAACTTACATTTTTTACATAAGCATTACCAATAGCTTACATAAAAGGTTTAAACTCATTGACGGCACTTCAATGGTGGTTGTGTAAAGTGTAAAGTGACAACTGCAGTGGGTGATTGTAACAGAGGTTTACGGATTATGCTCAAATCGCTTTTCCAATGTGTCTTCTCAACGCTATGTGCTGCTCGCTGGACCATACAGCCAATAGACCAATTGCCTATCTCTTGGGATCGTATGCCTAAACAATTATTCATAAGTTGGTAGCGCATATTATATTACTCAGTGTTCCGTACGGACAGGACAAGAACACCTTTGATAGTGAAATTTCCATCCTGAATGTTTAATAGCGAGGTTGAGGTATAGTATTTTAACTAAATATCGTTTGGTTAGTTAGGTAAGGTTAACCAAACGACTAACCAAACGATATATCAAATTAAACAATCGAATAATCAATATTACTCATTTGGTTGTTTGTGCCAATAGATATGGAAGTGTACCCCTTATAGTTCTATTACGCATTTTATTTTTTTTTTTACTTGAAACTGTCGGATACTGTATTTGTTTATATATAATAGTTTGGCCAGCATATTTGAAAATATGCAACTGCTGTTCTTTATATAGGAAGGTTTCAACTGACCACTATAAGATCCCCGTGAGTAGATCGGGCACACAGCTAAAAGATGAATATTTACGATTTAATAATAACTAAGTAAGTATTTGCTGTTGTTGACGTGTAGAGTGAAGTGATGCATTGTTTAGAGCTTCGCGATGGGATGATGACCTGGCGAGGGAATTCCAAAATTCGCACCATTCATTGCTGAGGACAGTACTGCAAGTATTTATTGTTTGTTTACATCACGCTTCATGCCTCATTGCCCCGCTGGATTAGCCAGCCCAAAACTACCTGGACCTCTCGGGACCAGTGGAGTCGTTTTATTGCCCCAACCTTTTTCGACCCTCGGATTACGGGACCAGCTAACCATTACCCATGTCAACCATTTCATGTGCTTCATTTTTTACCCACAAACTCGGGGTTACCAACTGGACAGCCATAATCTGCTTTGAATAGGCTAAAGCAGCAACACCATTGAAAGTTGGTTAACGTAATTTTAACAAAATGTTTTGAAATATCTCGATCTGTCAGGGTCTGAAGTAAACATTTCTTGCATGCATTCATTTTATCTGACATTAGGCAAGTTTATTTTACAACCATGACAACTTGGCTTCGTATGTGCTTCGTATATTTTTTCACTTCCAAAGTAAGTTGCATAGCAGAACTGGCAAAAATTATTCATCTCACCAAGTGCATGTGTATATGGATGTGTATCTGTTAGATCAGAAATATCTTTCTCTACTCTCCTCATACGCATAAGATACCTTATTATTAATTGTCTCCTCCTCCCGTTTTCAATATTTCTTCTTTCAACTTGAGGCATTTTCCGTTCTTCCAACAAAACTAATTAACTGTTTAACTTGGTCTTAACCTACTGAATATTAAAACATTAATATTTACTCCCAAAAAGCTAATGCGTTTCTTTTTATAAACAGCTGTTTTTTGTTTTTAAATTTGTTCAATGTATTTCTTATGGGGAAAACCCGACCTTTGAGAGGGTCTCACGCCCTTAAGAATATCAATTTTAAAGTTCTAAAACCTTATTGCAAAACTACATATTTAGACGAATCTTTTGACACCTTAAACGTTGAAATTGGTCCACAAATAAGGCAGGAGTTGCGTTAACAAAATACGGCTTCACGTATTATATATATATATAGATAGATATAGATATATATAGATATAGATATAGATATAGATATAGATATTTTAACGTTTTATTTTATTTTTGTATATTATGATTTAGTTAAAATTAAAATAAAACGTTTAATTTATAATGTACGTTAATTAGATGGAAAGTAAATAAAAGAAACGTCTTATAACATTAAAAACATATATTTACGCTTATACTGTTACAAGACGGTAAATACACAAAAATCATATTTTTTGTACATTTACCGTCTCTACTTGAATACTGCAAGTAGTTAAATCTCATTCACGAGGAACAGGTGTAGTATTGATTGACTTTAGAGAAGGATTGGATTAATATTCCAGCTCCACTCAATATTGCACGCAGAAAACTGCGTTGTTGTACTTTCAAACCTCATTCAAGAAAGGGGTGGTGCCAATCTGTCGCGGTGCCAAGCTGACGGCGGCCGCAGAGGTGCCAATCAGTCGTAACAATACACGACAGATTGGAACCTCGAGAAAGGGGTGGTGCCAATCTGTCGCGGTGCCAAGCTGACGGCGGCCGCAGAGGTGCCAATCAGTCGTAACAGTACACGACACATTGGAACCTCTAGAAAAGGCAGGTGCCAATCTGTCGTGGTGCCATGCTGTCGTGGGGTGATATTTCATGGCCTCATGTCAACGAGGTTCCAATGTGACGCCGGGTGCTAAAACACCATGGTGCCAATCTGTCGTGGTGCCAATCTGACTGCGACTCGGTAAAACGCTAACTTCTTTTTGATACGAAAAAATAAGGTTTTATCACAACAAAAGGGCAGGTTATTTCTGAAGAAATATTAAGAGATGCAAGTTTCAAGAAGTTAAATTCTCAATCTAACCAAAACAGGATCATAAGTACACAAGATACTAATAGCTCCTCTCCTTTAGAACAATATGAAGATTATATAAACATATGCCCATATTAATCATTATTTTTACAACCACAACTAACAGGTGTAAGTTTGATTTAAATTTAGACTATTTTCATCCTGAGCATAATTTGTTGGTATAAATAGTGTTTAAAAAGTATTTCAAGCTATGGCAGCTTTCTATTGTTTTCAAATAATTTGTGATTCATTGTGGACGCTCAAACCTATTATTCTAAAATGTTGAAGACTTGTAAAAGAGCTGAAAACTGGTTGTGCAATCTAGATTAGATCGGGAGCGAGCTGGTCTAGTGGAAGAGCTCGGGGTTTTGTTGCCCAACGTCCCGGGTTCAAATCCCGCCAATCAACAATGGATATTATCTACATGATAATGCCGCAACCCTCTAGGTCTAGCTTGAAGTAATGTGTAAAACAGTTTCTGGGCTAGTACCTAGCGTCCTAGGATGTGAAGATGGGACAATTTTAAAAAAGTGGATTAGATTAATAATTCTATAGACCGGAAAAATGTTTATATTTTGAAAATCAATGAGTACTGGCAGCAATAACAATAATTTTTTCAGAATGAAAATTTCTATAAAACTATTTTGCATGAAATATAAATTAAAATGTAAAAAATACATAATTTTATTTAAATACCTGTGTCTGGGTTTGTAGAGGTACTGACAGTTGCAGATGTGAGGGGAGAATCTGCTCCTACTCCAGCCCCTCGAACTCCCAGGCCTGTAGGCTCACTCTTGTTCTTGCGGATCTGTAAAGGCAACATAAATACAGGCTCCTATTGGATATTTGGATAACCCTCTTGTATGGATCCAAAACATAGACTCTAGGCAAAGATACTAAAAAAAGTATGACATTTCAAGGTAAAATGCTCTGGAAAATCTATAGACCGACACAAAAAACAAAAACAAGGGAATAGAGAATTAAGTCAAATAGGGAACTGAAGGATCTGTTACCAGCACCTACGAAAAGTGTTGACTGTTGCCAATCCAAAAATCAAACATTTGAGATGTAGACGTCTTGGACATGAGATAAGAAGGGAAGATGAATCAATGATAAAATCAATATAGAAGGAAACGGTATCAGCAAACTGACACATACTTACTCCTATTAGCTTTTTAAAAACCCATATCACAGGTAAACAGTGGGAATAACTATATTTTATGGGAAAAATCACAAAAGTTGAAATAACTTTTCAACTGTAATTTTTACAGCAATGTGGGTTGTACCATTTGTTTGGGGCAAATATCCGTCATTCGCCTATTGGGTCTGATGATGATTGGAGTGTCCAATCGAAATCGATCACCACTTACCATTTTTTTTTTATATTCACCGTCTTGTGAGTAACAGTATAAGCGTATATATATGTTTTAAGTGTTATAAGACGTCTCTTTATTTACTTTCCGTATTTTTAAGAGTAAAATGTGCAATACTTTAGTATAAAAGAGACAGATCGTCTTTTAGCGGTAGCCTACAATTGATTGATACAGGTGTAAGTACCGGTACTCAATCACTTACTGTCATTTTTTATGAGTATAGTTCATATGTTGCAACATTGTAGTAAACATTGCTTCTAATGTCAATAATCCATTTGTTTCAATATTAAATGTTTACATAGTTTTTCGTTTCAACCAAACTTTTAGGCTCTTCAACCTAGGCCTGGTCTGGCAAGATTCTTTTAATACAGGAGCTACTGTATTAAGGTCAATCGCTGACCAGAAGAATGTCTCTTACCCTATGAATTTCATCGCTGATTTGCTCCAAATTCCGAAGGGCTTCTGCGTAGCTGGATTTTGCTGTCGCCACTTTCTGCTCCAAATACTTCACTTTGGTCTTTTGTTCCTCCAAAACTTGGTTGAATTGGGCTTTCATTTCAAAGTAAGACCTAAAACACTCCCTCATTAAGACATCTAAGAATGAGTGAAATATTGCTAAAGCTAGTATTTCAACACCAGATAAAGAATGAATATTAATAATAAAGTTATTAATAAAGCTGTATGTAAAAAATATAGACATAATATATTATTGTCTGTTTCCTTATTTATAATAGAAGAATGAAAGTATAAGCTACAAACTCTTTTCTTCACCGACTAATGTTCACTTTCTTTACAGTAAATGCTTGAGGGATAAAGCTAAGCGCAAACTGGGTCAGGACGGACGGTATGTACGGAATTCTTAAAAATTGTTTAGCATTGATTTGCTTATGTGTGCGCGCATTAAGCCGTCATGGTTCCATCATCTGTCATGGACCATCTTCACCTTCCGCTGTCCGATGAAAATTCAAAAAAAGATTTCTAAGACATCTCAAAGTGTCGTACCAATGAGTCACTCACCACTTCGGAACAGTCTACAGTGGGCATACATATTTCGGTTGAGACTGTACATAACATAGTTTCCAGCACAAATGCTAGGATTAGACTGTGAAGGTATCTATCGTCCGTGTTACTGTACTGACCGATCCAGTGCGTGTGCACCCTACTAAAAAAGTGGGGAACATCCATATCGTCCGTATGTCCCGTGTCGACCCTTCCAGTGTGCGCTGTCCATTAAAAAAGTGCAGAACGTCTGTACTGTCTGTCTGTGCCATCCCAACCCAGTGCGCACTTAGCTTAAAGTTAAGATCCCTGAGAGTTAGTTTAAGTCATGTCAAAGTACCAAGACCTTGACATCTATGTCATTTTCAAACATATTGTCGAAGTCATTTTTTTTAGGCATAAGACCTTAACAGAAATATTTCAATAAGATCCCTGATAACCATTTTATCTACGTCAGCTAAGAAAAGATTTATCATGGGACTTGCTTTGAGGTCTTGTTGATACAATGGTCTGAATAAGAGGGTTGAGGTTACAACCCTCTAGAACATCAGCCAGATCGTCTCAAAAGCTTAGACTTAGAGTAAATAACATAATAGATTTTCTCTGGACTTAACAAATACTAAATGTAGAGTAGAGGAAAGAGTAGGATTTCAAATAATAGAAAAAAGGCACAACTGTAAAAATTAATAAATGCAAACAATAAGTTCTAAGTTCTACTTACAAACCAGTCAAAAACAAAGCAGCGAAGAGGTTAGAATGAGATAAGACACGACCAATGTTGTAACTGTCAACAGAATACAAAACAGTAGAACAAAAACAAAATTATGTACACAAAACAAATCTAAAATGTAATAGTTAAAAGCAAAAATCAAGAATTAGTAGTGATACACAGAGAACACATAACAAAAATAATGGAAAGGGGTAATACTATGTTATGAGTACAAAAGTATAAATATTTGCCTACTAGCTACGTACTATAAGCAGTTATGGATTTTAAATTAGGTACACTTATAGTGAAATTAAAAGTTGAATATTTACACACTTAACACACTTTACTCAATTAAACACATACTATTTATGTGGTGTTATATGATTTAGTACTGCTTTTGAAGTGTAAGCTAATTTTTCTGGTCAAACCAACATTAAGTATAGAGGTAATAACAAAATAAGTAATTTTTTTTATTTGAATGTTACTAGATCAGAGCAAAAGATAAAATAAACAAAAAAAAACATAATTTATCTTAAGCCTTTTCCACTTTTTAAAGTCAAGACCACAAAGCCAAATGATGGAGGGTTTGAAGGTTCTCACAATGTCTTTAATAATAACAAATAATAAGCAAATAACTGAGACAACAAGCAAACTTTGAGAAAAAGTCTTAACAGATATTATAATTCCTTAACTTATTTCAGAAAATTGTAATCAGTAATTTTCCCTGTAACCTTTTTAAATTTTCTCAGGAGAACCTTGAAATTTTTCTTCCCCGCTTTGTTTTTTAACTTTCCCATTTGTTGGCCTCTTCGTTAACTGAATATGTAATGCCCCACACATTGTTCGTTTGTTTGTCAGCTGGCCGATATCTATGCACAGATATTCAGAGCCTGGTGTGTGTTAACCCATTTCACAAACAGTATAGCAATAATTTAATTGTTAACATAAACATACCTATGTACAGTGTTCGGTTACTAAAATATGAGTAACTGGAATTGAAACATTCCGGAAGCTACAGTCCACTTCTATCCCCCCCCCTCCCAAGTAGACCCTTTTCCTGTCTAGCAAAACTAAAAGCTATATCTCAATACAGCACATCAATATTTTTTGGGGTTTTTTCTTTGATAATTTGTTTTCTCGAGAGATTGTGAGAGGTTACTGAAAGATTTTCTGCTGTACTACGCCTCAAATGGATTAAAGCATACGCGCAACTCTCAGTAACTTTGATAATCCTGCATTATGTGTTCACAATTTTAAAATTAACTACTGTTTGATGTTTTCTCAAAATAGAATTTAAGTAATAAACACTCAAGTTACAGACTTCAAACAAGTATCTAAAGTAACTGCGATATTATTTTGTTAGAACTTAAGAATCATGTCAAAATTACAATTAGGTTATTAAAAGATCAGGTCAGGTGAACGTTGGTGTTTTACCTGGATTTTGCTATGGATCGTTTCAGCTCTTTTTGTAGTTGTTGAACAGAAGTCTCTGCCTGTTGATAGGTATGAGAGGTTCGTCGATGTTCAGCTTCACTCAACGTTCTCTCAAGTTCCGACTCGTTCACCTGACAGACAAAAGTCTAACTAAAAGTCTACATCAAACGCCAAGAGTACTGCAATACATAAGACCTGTTCAAATTTCAGATCCTTGAACAAAGCAAGTCTCCAATTGACAATGATCAGTGTGATAAGTTGAAACCAATAGCCAATGTAACAACTTTATATATATTTAGCGTCTTGTAAATTATGAAAGTAAAGATGTGTACATTGAGTATTTTTGGAATATGACAGGACCTACATGTATAATACTATCAAGAAGTTATTTCATGTTTAAACTGAGTTTAAATTGATTCTACGATCTATAATGAACGAAAAAGAATAATGTTAAATGTTAAATATATTCCTTTTTCAAAATATCATAAATTTTAATTAGTGCTTAAGTTTGCTGCAACAGGGAAGGTAATAAGGTGTGTTTTATATTGAAATGTTAATAGCTTAGAATTTAGAATACTATCAATGAAATGTAATAAATAGGACACTTTTAAGGAGATTTTTTAGTGAAAATCCAAATTTGGCCAATGGTAATTTGCTTAGTCTGCAGGATTACTGCAACAGGGTAGGGTTGTTAGAGTTATCATTCTAACAAACAGACACACACACACACACACACACGTGTATATATGAATTTGAACGGATGGTGTTTTTGGCCTCTGTTGACATCAGAACAAAAAAGTAAACCAGTCCCGGGTCTAGGTCTTACCATGAGACCTACGATAATAGCTTTATTCCCTGTAGGAGAAATTCACAAAAATGTTATTTAAAAATGAATTCACCCCAAACTTTGTTATTTTTAGGAAAGTTTAAGCATACCAGAAATTAAAATAGTTCAATAATATTTAGGCCTACTGTACTTAGATGCTAATATGTAAAGTTGTATTTGTAATTACAATTTACTAAACATATGATTATTAAACTTTAGATAACCGTACCCTCATAGTTGCATGGTTAAGCATCTCCTGCCAGGCATGGTCGAAGGTACGGCCCTCCGCGTTGAGACCTTCCTCGGCCAGATAAACCATCTCCTTGGCTGCTGCGTGAGCAGAGTTGGCGCGCTCAAACCTCACAGCGGCCATCTGTGTCTCATGAAGTGCCTGCCGTAATTGATATTACATCAGTAGAAATGTGTAGCGTACTACTACATTTGTGTATTAACATTTAACATAGTTAGTAAAGGCAAAGCAAAATGCAAGAGGAAGTATGCTAATATGTGTATACCTAATTTTATATCAAAGCTCTGACGTGTGATTGGGGTGGATGACCTGAATTTGGGCTCATTAGGCCATAATCATATTCATAAGGGCTTAAAAATTATCCATCTCTTGATGCAGTTAAGCAATTTACATATGAAGAAGACAAAATCCAACCTAAAACACAGTAAATGCGTAACAAAAACGAGGTCAGGATCTAATACTGAAAATACCAGTGCTTTGTTTGAAGCTCATTGTTGGTGACAGTGACAAGGAACTAAAGGATATGGAACTTAATTGTTCAATAAATAGGGAAATCACGAGTTCTCCTCAAAATTTGCATGTTATGTTAACTCGTAGTAATGCTCGTGATAGGAATAAACAGAATTAACACCTTTTTTGAGGCATCGTACATCACTCCGCCATTTTGTTGGTTTTTCTTTTCCAGGGACCGGACGCCATTTCCGGTTGTCTCCGTTTTTTGGGATTGGTCTGCCATGTTGCTTCAGTCTCATTGGTGTGACAGTGTGAACTGTGCATATAGTGTTTCATTGTGTAAGCTGTCCAAACTACGCCTTTTATAGATTATAGTGTTTTGTGATTGGTTATTATTTGCATGTTGTATCATGACTTGACTGCTATACAGGGCATATTTTTTTACTGCTACCCTTTGTAGTGTATTCCAACTTAGGTTGGGCGGTTGTGTATTGTTAGTTGTGTAATGTGTTAGTTAAGTTTTTTTCACCTGAAGACGGGTTCAGATTTCAGATCCCGAAATGTTGTGAATTGTTTTTACTATCGTGATGGAAAATATCCGTAGTAAACCCTTGAACAACAAATTCCAGTGGTTTAGAAAAATGTAGTTTTATGCCGACGGCTTTTGATTCCGCACAATAGGCCTAACACTGTTCATAGTGCAAACATAATATAATTCTTGGTCCAAAAGTTTGAAGAAAGCGGTAGTTCCCCTAAAACTGAGAAACAAAGACAACAAAGATTGAGTTAACTGGAAAATGTAAGAGTTGGTCACAGCAGAGTTTGAGTAGTATATATAGTCAATGGTAGTAGTCAAGTCTTCCTCTAGAGTTCCAACAGGGTTTTGCAATGATTTCAAAGCATCAAACTTCTTTTAAACTATAATAAAACAAAGATGCTCCAATTCCATATCAACAGTTCAAAAAAGCATGATCCGCTAACTGTTTTGCTAGGGGAAGAAGAGATCGATTCTTGCAGTACTGTCATGTTTCTTGGTTTGATCTTAGATAGGCAGCTCATCTTTCATGACCATATAGAGCACATCCAAAAGAATAACCTCAGGAATATTATTTATAATAAGAGGTCTTTCCAAGTTTACCGATTCGCATGTGACCTTGAGTGTATGTTATAGACTGATTCATCCATTCTTGTCGTATCTAGTGGCAGTCTGGGGCTGTGAGAGCGTTTTAACAAAGTTTGTCTTCCGTCTTCAGAAAAAAGCGTTAAGAGCCGCCTTTAGATTATCCCATCGCACTTCTAACAAGCCTCTCTTTAAGGAAAACAATATTCTTACATTTCCATCCATATAAATTCTCAGTTGTTTGTTGTTTTTAAAAAGAAACTATCATCTTTTTCAACCGCAATTATCATCCAATGCAATACACTCTTAGGTACAGAAACAATATTCAGCTACCTAAGCACAGGACGAAATTCATTGAAAGACATCTCATTTACAATAGTGTCAGGTTCTTTAACGTGCTGCCTGAACCCCTTACAGTGGAGGAAGACGCTGACAAATTTGGGAGAGCGGAGAAACGCCTACTAGTTGAACAAGCTCCACTCTATTAAAGATTGTTTAAGTTACCGAACAAATTAAGGCATACTGTTCTGTTAGTTTTAGTATTTTTTTAGAGTTTAGATTTATATGTATTATCATGTTTTATAAACCTTGTGACACTATATACAGATTTATTGTGCTATTGTGACCTACATCCCGCTCCAGCTTGCCCCAGGCAGAAACCTTGTGAAAGCTGTGAAGGTCTCAAAGTTTGTTCCCACCTCAACAGGGGCAACGAGCGTATTTATGTGTCCAATCCTACAAAGTACCTGCGTGTGAGATCCCTTGGCCTATCGACCGGAGAGCAAAGGGAAGAACAGGTAACCATAGTCAAAAGGTTCTCATAGTTCACTAAGAACCTGGGATTTGACGGAGAATGAGGACCTGTGAATGAGGGTGCACAATAGGCTGTTCGAGCTGCGATGCAATCCCATGGTCTACTATAAGCCTGGCCCTCTGTTAAAAAAAAAAAACCATTATATAAGTTATCTCCAATTGTGATTTTAGTCTTGACCTTAGTAGTCTAGTTGCCAAAAGGCATTTTTCACCCAAACCTGAAAGTAAGGTCCACCCGAAGTTTTATGGTGTTTTCTGTTTCTTCAAGACCTACATAACTAAAATCTGCAAGGTGCCACTTTGTCACCCTTGAGCAAATTGAAATATTCAAGATGGTGGCCAAGATGGCTTAAAAAATGTATATTTGCTGTATCTTTTCCTATAGAAGAGACAGGATAATAATTTTTGTGTCTAATTTTATGTTTTAAGGGTCAGAGAATACCAATATTTGATTATCTTAGTAATAAAAAGACCCCCGCCACAGCAAACCTGCCGACTAAGCGAATTTCCAGTTGCCTGAATTGATTTTCAATTAAATGTATTTAATTAACATTAATTTTTATGAGTACTTAGGCTTGCTGCTACAGGGAGGGTAAAAAAGTGCTTTTTTTGTGAAATATTAATAACTTAGTATAAAATAAATAAATTTACCAAGTTTGATCAAAATATATCCATAAACAAGCAGACTACAACATTTTACAATATTCCCCATAAGAATAACATAGGAATTTTAAAATAACAATTATTTAAATTTTCTCCGTATCTAATAATGGTACAAAAACACTTTGATATACTAAATTATTTGCTTTTTTAAGCTCTTTAAGAAGGTTTGAAGAGAAATTGGAAAGTTTTGCGTTTAGAGGGTCAAAAATTAGAAAAAACAATTTTTACTCCATAAAACCCCGCGTAAAACCCCGTTCCCATGGTCCGATCATGCTGGTTCTCGAACTCATTCAAGTTTATCCTGCCTTACACCTTCAAACCAAATTTCATCAAAATTGTATAAAAATTACTCAAGTTATCGTGTTCACGGACACATATATGTAATTGTCTATTATGAAAAATTGAATTTTGGTATGTTTCAAAACCCCAACTTTTTCAATCAATCAATCAATTTATTTATTTATTGAACTATAATGAATACATGCATATTATACAATAGGTGCAAAAACCATACAAGGCTAGTCTGCACCAACATATTATGAAAAACAGTGTTCAGTGTTCTCATGCTAGGATTTTGTCAGATCTTTTTATACATTGCCCTATATGTATGAATGTATGATTCCAAAATATGTTTTAAATGTTCTCAAAGCAATTTTTCCCACCTCAAAGTGTATTTTAATCGAACTAGATGTAGTGGTGCAGCCCGCGTCACGACTAGCGTTCCAAGTTGAAGACTAATAACAATATATCCCATAATATATCTTCAAAGCAATATACAAACTGATATGAGGTTGATAATTGTTGAAAATTGTATCCAGATTCTTTTAAGAGCCACAAAATATGAATGTTCTTATCACCTGAGTTTGTATTTGCAAACATTTAAAGGTTTTACAAAAAAAATCTTCGAAATTTGCTATTGTTTCAATTTAAAGCTGTCTATTTTAAATAAATCAATAATGAAATGGTATAAGGTTATTATTATCTTAAAGTAAACTTGAAGAGGAATCTATTAAGACAAACCGCAAATCGTTAAGACGATTAGTTGTCAAATAATTGATGTTTTACTAAAAGCTTACATAAATCCAATATGGCGGAAGTTTTTTCAAAAATGGCGGCTTTCCACCACTTGGATTTTCTTGATTTTTAGTATAATATTCTTGACACCTTTTTTGACAAAATCCCATATATTTTGGAATATATGGGGAAGAAATATATTTTATTTCTTTTACCTTAAGTTTGATGTTGGACCGTATTTTGACTAGCCTAAAGAACAGTGTTTTTTTCTTAATTCAAGAAAACTATAATTTAAAAAGCAGTTGATAAAGTCATTCACTGTTCCTGAAGAAGGATAATGCACTGTCCCCAGTACAGCACAAGCATCAATGAGGAGAACTGCTTGTAAGTTAACTATTTGATGACTGTGTTCTGTTTGAATGTAGCACTTATCCTCAGAAACCATAGATATAATGTTTTAAGTCAAGTAAATACTTGAAAACATTGTTGATAAGGTAACTTGGCAACAAATTAATGTGAAAATTTATTAAAAACTTATATTGATTTATTATTTTGGGTAATTTTCTAATTAAAACATCAAACTAGGCACAAAATGATTATCCTGTCTCTTCTATAGGGAAAGATACAGCAGATATACAGGATTAGTAAACCGAACCAGCATGATCGGACCATGGGAACGGGGTTTTACGTGGGGTTTTATGGGGTGAAAATTTGTTTTTCTAATTTTTGACCCTCTAAACGCAAAATTTTCCAATTTCTCTCCAAACCTTCTTAAAGAGCTTAAAAGAACAAATAATTTAGTATATCAAAGTGTTTTTGTACCATTATTAGTTACGGAGAAAATACAAATAATTGTTATTTTAAAATTCACATGTTATTCTTGATTATATTTTATATATTTTTTATATTAGGATATATTTTGATCAAAATTGGTAAATTTATTTATTTTATACTAAGTTATTAATATTTCACAAAAAAAACACTTTTTTACCCTCCCTGTAGCAGCAAGCCTAAGTACTCATAAAAATTAATGTTAATTAAATACATTTAATTGAAAATCAATTCAGGCAACTGGAAATTCGCTTAGTCGGCAGGTTTGCTGTGGCGGGGGTATTTTATTACTAAGATAATCAATTATTGGTATTCTCTGACCCTTAAAACATAAAATTAGACACAAAAATTATTATCCTGTCTCTTCTATAGGGAAAGATACAGCAAATATACAGTTTTTAAGCCATCTTGGCCGCCATCTTGAATATTTCAATTTGCTCAAGGGTGACAAAGTGGCACCTTGCAGATTTTAGTTATGTAGGTCTTGAAGAAACAGAAAACACCATAAAACTTCGGGTGGACCTTACTTCCAGGTTTTTTGACCGGCAACCAGACTATAGATCGAACCTTTACTTTATACTATTAAGTTTTTCTTCATTAATCTAGTGGCTGACAATGAAAGCCATTCATATAAACTTTATAACTCACCTCTTTTGCCCTGATTCTTGCTTCATAGTATGGTCTGGCCTTATCAACACAACTACCTAGCTTCTTCCCCAAAGCATCTATCCTTACTGACGACTCACAGAGTAACTGACGGAAATTAGCTCTAGCTTCCTGAAATCAAGAATTTCAAAAAATTAAATTCTTGTTTTTTTTCGGTAAAATATTAAAAGATTATTTAAGTTAGATTCCATACGTGGACAAATCTCATTCAAGCAAACGTATTTGAAGCTGAAGAAATAGAATTGTTTGGTGAGTTGGTAAAACTTTTTATTTTTCATCATGTTAATCAACAAATGTATTTTGGTCCTTTTTCATTAATTCACTACCACTACCTTTTTATTGCAATTCAATTTATTCACTACCGGAATTTTACATAATCAGCAAGTTTGGTTGGTTAGGTTATTTTAGAATAGTTTCATTTTATAATTTATATATTCATAGACTAGGCTAACTGTTAAAAATATGTGAATTGCAATAAAAAAAGTAGTGGTAGTGAATAAACGGAAAAGAACCTGTATTTTTGACGACTTGTACAAACTTTTTACAAGGTACTTTGTGAAACATGCACTATAATAGTTTTCAGGTAGGACCATGTTGTAAATAAATAATACATTTTTAACTTACATCTAAATCAACTTCCAATTTGTTTATGTCATCAGTTGCTGCATTCAACCTCTCCAACTCAATCTGAAAAAAATATATTAGTCAACTCAAAAATGCAATTGGATTCCTCCAAACAAAAATATTTCTGAACCAGTACTAATATAAAATAAAGTAGGCCTAATATTTTTTATCCTGAAACATACAGAAAAACCACTTTACATAATTATGTACAGGTATGGCTAAAAAACAGTATTTTTAGTAGGCATTTTATATATTTTTTTACAACTTTCTCTTAATACATTTGATTTTTCCACGATTCAAAACAGTGTTTTAAGTATTTCTGAAAGCATGTTCATAGTCTAATTAGCTTTTTCCTTCATAGCTTTCACTGTCTCAGAATTTGTTCCTTTCAAGGCTTTCTTAGCTCCCGGGAACATGAAAAGGTCACAGGTATGGTGTTGGTGTTTGTTTCAACAATGGAATTCTATGCATGGCAAAAAATGAGATAACAATATGCACTCTCTCCATCTCAAACCTTCATTGATGGGAAATGCTGTCAGTGACAGAGAAATATTCTTAATTTGTGTATATAGTGTACAGTTTCGGATTTCTTGAGCCAGATTGGACCCTCCCACATTCAGGTAAGTCTGCTATCCTCGCAAGAATCATAAAAACGCAGACTCATGTGCTCTATATTACATCCTTTATTTGACCACTTTGGGCTGGGAGGGCATTGTATTGATGAAGAATTTATAATTTGTTGTTCCACAATTCTTGTCTCTTTCTACTAACATGCTCACGGAGAGTTGTTGGAACCTCAACGTAATATTTCTTGTTTACAGTTTGATATTCAGGAACCAAATTTACTTATTTAAGTCCATGGATGTGAGATAAAAACAATCATAATTGACTTGTTTTTTTTATATGAACAATTGAGCTTTCTTCATTCATGTTGAATGTAAACTCTTGCAGTGCATTAAAGTTTCTTGGCTATAAGTTAAAATACCGTACTTATGATTCGGCACATTTAATTACTCTTTCTAATAGTTAGGGTCTTCGTTGATTTTTTTCAAGTTGTCAAAACAAATTTCTATCCGTTGTGCTTTTGTTCAGGCATGTTGAGTATAACATACCTTATGTATTGTCTTATTTTATTTAACGTAGGTTGTTAAGTTCTGTGGCAAACCAAACAGTGGCATGAGTACATTGAGCAGCGCCCCCCCCCCCCCCCCAAACATCACCACTAATATTTTTTTTTTCGTTTATCTCAGCTGTTGCGGCAAAATACAATAACTCGTTTTTTCATCGTCTACCTGGGTCATGAATACGCCGCCATTTTCCGGAATTGCGGGAAAGCCGAGAATATCTCCTGGGTTCATATAGAAATGATCATCGATTCCCGGGGCCATTGAAAATCGAAATTGTTTTCCGTGATTGTGTCAACATCTTGTACATCGTCCACGGTCTTGAAGACATCATTGTCTCCCGCAGTCACAGAAAAAATGTCACCTTTTTCGCTATTGCGGTTAGCAGTGACAACGGAACTCAGCACCCCCTGGACCTCGGCGCCCACTCGCACTGCAGGGGTGTTATTTTCAGGGCCATAACCAGGAAAATGTCCTTTAGTTGCACCTAGTGTTATGGCCATACACTTAATCTCTTGAACTTACTCAGGTTAGAGTGGTTAATGTTAATCGTTTCAATTTTTTTAATTGTTCCCTACAGTTTTTTATAATGATCTGAAATAGCATATTTTTCTTTGTATACCTACTCCTTTTATTTTGTTGTACTATAAAATCTACTCTACTCATTACTTTACACTAGGTTAGCAATTGTGACATAATCACATGATTAAAAGTTGCATTTGGTTATGATTAATCACATAACTTCAAGACGGATTATAATCAGAACCACTCCATGATATTGTTACAGTAGAACCCCGGTTCACCGAAATAAACGGGGTAGAGCCGTTTCGGATAACCAATTTTTTGGTTAACCCATCATATGCTAACATAAAAATAGCCAATGTATGTAGGTATCACCACAGTGTGTAGGAAAAATTAATTTAAGAAAATTTCCATATAATTCAGGGGTTTATTTCAGCTACAAAAATGTTACAATGGGATAGAAAATACTTTAAACCAGACAATGTTATTAAAGCATTTTACAGCCCTATAACTTATTATTTTATAGAACCATTTCGGTTAACAGGGGTTCTACAGTACATGATATGGGGAACTTTTCATTCTTTTGAAGAAGACTGTACATTTTTTGTATCCAGGACTCCAATCTGCAGAAATTCAAATTCCTATACTTACTAGGTAACTTTTTTGCAGACTAGGGTCAATTATAGCAGTCTGAACTAATGCAATGTTTGTAAAGCCTCGTTCACACGGTGCGAGTTTACAAGCTACTAGCCAGCGTGTAAGAAGCCGGCGAGTTGGCGAGTGTGCTTGTATTTGTTCACACGGAGCTTGTCCACTCGCCAACTCGCAGATGTGTAGAAAGACGCCAGCGAGTCAGCGAGTGCGCTTGTAGTCGTTCACACGATGCTTTTTCCACTCACTCAGTAGCTAGCTTGAACCAAATCCTACGACATATTTGAATAACATGCGCACAAGCACAAGCAACTGTGTTCACACTGGGCTACTTTACACGCCTACTCGCTCAAAAGCTGGCGAGTTGGCGTGTAAAGTAGCGGCAGCGTCAACTTTTTCCAGAGCTTTTTTACAAGCAGCTTCAGAGCGAGTACGTCGTTCACACTGAGCTATTTTACTAGCTGCGAGTAAAAAAGCCGGCGTGTAGCTTGTAAACTCGCCCCGTGTGAAAGGGACTTAATTGTAATGTTGTTACTAAGTAATGTTTAAATTCTTACCGAAATGGTATGGAATAATTACGCAAATTTAAATAGCATTTTATTTAGGCCTATTAAATTCAGAGCTATTAAATAGCCAAAAATACCTCATAAACTTTAATGTTGTTATTTTTTGGAAAGTATGGCTAGTGAAATGGATTGCATAATGCATATTATCAGGCTGTACGTACAGAGAGCTAAGTTAATTTCCAGATCGACACGGGCGTGTTAAATTCCATTTTAACAATTAAAATCATTATCCAATATATGATCCAGGATTATAGTAACAAATAACCACTTGGTATGCAATCCTAGGTCTGGGATAAATTCACGGCACTTCAATAATCTGGAACTCAAAGGTATTAATGAACTATAATTTTATCATTACCTGAACTCTAGGGTCAACCGCTTCATCATTGCGATATAAATCATTATCTTTAGAACTACTCCCACTCATAGTTTTTAATATTTATGTGTCAATTTTTAGTCATTGATATCGTCTGCGTCTGCATTAGCAGACGCCATGTATTTTATTCTGCTTTGACTTTTTTAAGAAATCCTGTCCATAGAGGTTGATACAATAGACGTAAGTTCTAAAATTTGAAGCTGGTTTTTTATTTCTGGTTCATATAGGTGACACCAAAGCGCTAGCGTCGACAGTAGTTTTTTACTCTTATTTTTAGGTTTAATACCTTAATACCTCCTTCTTCGTCTTTTACCTACAATGTGGGATTGACAGCGTCACTTAACACGGTTACTAATAAAAAAAGACAATATTTACAACTATTTACATACTTCCATACTTTTCCGGCAGGCTACAGATTTCTTAAATCATCCCTTAAATACTTTGACATATCGTAATAGGCCCGGCTCTTTATGAAAGTGGTTAACACTGCCTCAAATGTCCTGAAGTCCAACAACTGGATATGACGTGACAGCTTATTGAACAGTCTTATGGCTGACACGCTGTAACTAGCCTGGGTCCTAGATAGTCGCACCCTGGGTACATCAAGCTGATGGCGCTGCCTGGTGTTGTACTGGTGGACGTCAACGCGAGTGGTGAAGGTTGTTAAATTGGCCCTAACGTGCACCAGACAGAGAAGTATGTAGTAGTACCGCCTAGCCGCGGTTTAATTTGATAACGTGTGCTTTACTATTTTTTAGGCCACTAAAACTAGATAAAGGGCTATTGGTTATAATGAGAATGTTTTATGGTTAAACTAGTTTTGAAATAACTAAAAATAACAAGAAATGAGTTTGAATTTAAACGCGCGCCCCTTAGCCCAGTCAATAAATGAGAAAATAAAAATTTTCCGCAGTAGAAAGCTGGATTTTGCATATGATAGCACCACGTAAGTCCTCACTTCCTCCCTTACTGCTTTCTCACACTTCCTCCTCAAAGCCTGGTGGAAATTACAGTGGTTCATTTTATTTGCTATAATTCACATACTAAACAAGTTATCATGCTGCAATTTGGTTTATATTATTTTCAATTAGTTCATCTACAGCTTTTTTCGCAAGGTTTTTTCTTAAAACCCATGTCTGACTTTAGTAAAATCTATGTACATAATTTTACTTTCCCGTCTATAAATATGTACATGTACATGGTAATGGACTCAAATATGATCCGTTTAAAAGTTCCGATACGTTGTTTAAGGTGTACATACTCTATTGGTGATATTAGCCAATTAAATGATGTAGCAGTATGTTTCGTCGGCAAAGAGTGCGGGTTGTGCGGGCATTTGAGCACATCCGCGTTGTGTCGTTTCGTCACGCGCCCTCTCTAAGCTAGCCGCAGATGTTGGAAAATCAATGAGTAAAAATTAAAGAGTGTGAGGTGGTGTTAGACATGATATTATAAAATAATCCAATAAGTTTCGGTTTAGTGATATTAGATGTTGGAGAATTAGAAGCTATATCGCCCAGGCGGTTACTCAGTCGTCATCGCAGCCACATGGATTCTTTCATAGCCAAACCACCGTGACAGACAAAATAATAACCACATGATTTTGTTTTTATTAGCCCAGTTTCCATTCCTGTATTTTTCTGTCTGTACTGTTAACTGTTACTGTAGTCAGTGTGCATCGTAAGCGTTTGTGTTTGTAAGTTTGTGTTCTGTTTGACGACGTAGAAATGTAAGAGTACAGTTATCTTGTTGATCGTCTGATTTTAGTTTCTTGACCTAATTTATGTTTTAATTTTATAGATCAATTTAAGTATGTTTCATTCTTAGCCGTAAATATTTGATTGAGGTTTTTACTGTGATTGACATCAGTTTGTTTCATCATGTGGAGCCCAACACACGTCCAAGTTACAGGTTGGTTCAAAACAAATTGAATGTCACCCGTATAAACAGGTGTAATTTCACGGCTTAGCCATAATCTACCGTTGATATATCAATAAATAATCCACTTTTATGAATTGAAAATACAATGCCGATGGTCTATCTTTAGGTACCCTAAATGATTATCACTCAGTGATATATCATTGTTAACTTAGGCCTACATGTAGCCTGCTAACTGTAACTGTATTTCCCACAATTTGATGAGCATGCAAATGAATTTGTGTAGAATTTGATAGGCCTATCCCAGTCTATTTATTCACTCTAAAATTTTACCTTGCCAATGGGACTGAGCAGTCTAAGGGTTGATGAATCCTTTTGATGTCTAAGTTAGATATGCTATTGAAGGACTAATTAAACTAGCCTAATAAATATAAAACATAGGCTAGGCTGGGTACAGTTTCTTAACTGGGCTATGCTAATATCGATTGAAACTATCAAATTGAACATATTGATTAATAAACTATATTTTTAAATATATTTATTATCAAATTAAACTATCACAACCTAACCTAACCAACCAAACTTGCTGATGGTGAAAAAATCGCACCAAGGTTTACTAATCGAATCGATAGTTTCAATCGATATTAGCATAGCCCAGTTAAGAAACTGTACCCGCTAGGCCTAGATATACTTTGAGAAAAATCGGATGAAACATTTGGGCCTGTAAGCAGCAACCTGTCATATCATCACTGTGATCGTTCCTCGCCTAACTTAGATGCAAAATGTAACCCAAATATGAGTAGGTAACTTAAGGGATGTGTGTAGAATGGAGTGAGATGATCTGTGTAACTTAAGTTAACTGCTGTCTGATATCAGCTGTTTCATTAGCCAGAATACTTTTTAAAGCCTAAGTAGTAGGCCTACCATCAACATATAAAACTAACTGGATTGCGCGCAAGCTGTAAGGCTCGTGTAGAGCTTCCCGAGCCAATACAGGAGTGTATTGGGGTTGCCGCATGGGCAAATTGAAGGCAGCATGTGTGATATAGCGCGCGAAACTGTGTCGTCGAGAAGCTTCTCTGTCAAAGCTTGGTATGCGGCAGAAGTTAAATAAGCTTATTCTTTTTAGCAATGTTTAGTCTCAATATGCTTCTTTGTTTTACAAAGTTTCCTAAATAAAATGTTCTTATACAATCTAACCTCGTTCTTACTAATACCTTACCCCAGAATATTTGGTATTTTACGAGAAACTGATAAAACCCATTTTAACGTAAACTATTTTGTATTGTAACATTGAAACATAATTGGTTTCGTTAGAGTAGTAAGTGAAGAAAGAACAAAGTCGTAAATGTTTCTTAATTGTAATATTTTCTTTCTGGTTATCAAAACTCAAGAACAGTTTTATACACAAAGAATCTCTGGTTCCTGGCCTGGATGATGCCTAGTTATTTAATTTCATTTACGGTTACACTATATTAATCCACTTGCGATTAATTAAATCCGTTATGTAAGAAACACGTTTTTAATCAAATCAAATCAAATCAAATTTAATCTCACTGTGTTTGGATTTACTTTCAAAACGTGATCGGAAATGGTTGCGGTATTTGTAAACAACATTAGTAAACATATCAGTGACAGCTAGAAAAAATATTCTTGATCCGAACAGCTGTTCGTTATTTCATAGATGATTATGTGATAAAAATTGGACGAAAACTTGGCAAAAATCGCACAAAACTGCATTTTTGAACGTCCGTTATTTCATTTACAAAGTAGTGAGGCCATATTTTAATGGCTAAAAACACTCTCGCCAATCCAGTGAAACCATTTAAATGATTTGAACAGGTACTCTCGTTTTCTTGGAGAAGATTGCGTAAAATGCCATCTTGAGTGTTACAGACAGAAAGACAGACAGACAGACAGAAATTTAGATGAGACTTGTTTCGGCTTCTTTAATGTATAAGACGTAAAAATAACCTAAAAAATTATGATTCTGAGCAATGTACAGACAAAACTTTAATTTTATTTATATAGATTCCATCATAAAAAAAAATTAAAATCGGAATTTAAATTATATTATACTTCAGTGTGAAATACCCGCCGTCAGTTAATATTTATTAATTGTTCTACCCAAACTCGGTTATTTACAGCGTTATTTTTACACTTTTATTACTTGTACAAAAGTTAATGAAAATTGATTATTAAAATGCCTTACATCGTTTTAGTTGAGAGGGCTGGATAAAGTGCATCGTCCTGGCTGCGACAATGCTAAGATGTGGCGCAGCGAGACGCTTAATCCCACATGACGCCTGCAAAATCTAAAACACAACCCCGGTCGTTGGCTCGGGTCGCGGAGCCTAGCAGCCGATCCAGTTAGTTTTATACATCGATGAGTAGTACTTAGCATAGACTAACCAATACAAGTTGGCCTAGACTTTCATGCCATTGTAAATTTTGAAGCTTGTTTTTCGCGTCTAGTTTATGTCCGGTGACACTAACCGCTAGTGCCAACAAAATTTTGTCTCTATTTTTAAGGCTAATTTCATGATTTTTGCTTTACTGTTTGGTTAAATATTACTAGAGGACGAGTTATTGTTTATGATTAGATAGTTTCATTGGTTAAACGAGCTTTTAAATGATCCAAATAAAAAGAATCAAATTGTAAACATAATAGGCCTACGACCTCTAGGTACAGTGCACTGGACAGAACTAACAATAAAATTGGCTGTAGTTGTTCCATAAGGATAGGAAATCTACTCAGGGAGTACCAGTATCAATCACTGAATCAATCAAAGTAGGCTAACGAAACCACAAAACAAAATAAATTGTAGCGTAGGCCTATTTAAAAGTTAGTCCACTTAAATTTTCTCAAAATCACTTTGAACTAATCAACTTATTTTGTTGTTTAAAACTTAAACTTTCTTAAATTACTTTTTCTTCACAGACGCTTAACTTTGTTACACAGTTTCGATAGTTCCACACCCCCTTCTAACTATCGTAACATCAAACCATAGGCTAGGGATTACATCGAACTGGAGGGTAAACAGGGGATTGGGCTTTTGGCTGAGCTCACCACGCAGAGGGACACACAGTAGTTCTTATGCACTGTGAATCACTGGTGTGCAGTCAAATCACTGCACACACTTCAAAAGGGAGAATTTAGTAATGTTAATCACTGTTACAAAAGAGAGAGACTTTAGGTGGGAAAACTTCATCACGAGGTGGTCAAATGACCGATATTGCCCAGCCGATACGGCACGGTGCGGCACATAGGTCCGATCATGGAAGGTTTTAGATGAGCTAATTGAACAAAATTGTGGCGTGGTGGGGAAATTTGAGTTTTCCATGAGAGGGAAAGAGATAGGGATAGATCACGCCATATCACGTCTAGGCATCGGATGATTTTGAGGACTATGAAGGAGGAGAGGTTTGCCGTTTTGTGTGTGTGTGAGTAGAGTGGAGTAGGCCTACATTTTATAAAGACTTGTAATAAATAACGAATATCCAAATTAATGTGAAAAACCAATGTACACAGTTAATGGAATGTTAATAAAATTATGAACTTAATTGATAGGTAATAAAATTACCCAATTCTATCATATGTACAAAACCATACGGGACACCACGTAGGCGAGTGATGGGTAACTGGTGCTGAAATGCAGAGGGTAGCCTACTGATGAAAAACAACACTTTTTTTATTCCAGTCCGTGATTGATCAACTCATAGTCTCGAAAGACCAGTATAGTGCCAGGCAGCCAGGCAATAAACAAGCAGCCAGGCACTTGTCTGGCACTATAATGATAGCCGGATTCCTGAAAATCATTCAGTAAATTGCGAGAGTACTGTTTCTTACAATTAACTAATAATCAAGAGTCTGGAATTTGAAGATCCGTAACGGAAACACATATTTAACTGCACCCAGCGGTGGAGATGCGATATTCATAATGCCTAAATACGGAAAAATTATAAATCATAAGTACCGCCTATTGGATATAGTTTGTTACCTGATAAATAATTAAATCCTTGTGTGGTTGGACAGCTCCATAATGGAAATATATAATTAGTTATTTTACAACTCGGCCTATTATAGCCTTTGTAGTGAAATAAGGAGCCATTAGGTATCTAGGCCTACTTAATAAACAAGCAGCTGGTCCTTAAACTTTTTTCACAAACTTTTTGTTCCCTCCAACTGCAAACTGGGACAAACTTACTTTCATAAAAAAATTGCAATTTTAAAACATTGATTCTGTATTGTATAAAATAAAATCTTACGTTCTATATGTAGTAGATATTAAAAAAATTGCCTACTCAAGTGACATCGTCATTAATAAATTTTGTCCTCTGTTGCAGTTCAAAAGGCTCGTGGTCTCCTAGCCAAAGGAAAGAATGGTAAGTCATTATTATGGTTTCACGTAAAATGTTTATATTTATCATGGAAATTTAAATTGATCCTTTTTTAAATTTTAAAAATTATTTAGACGAATGACAGTATTTTTATGACCCGCTGTTCATTCACCTATCTTAAGCTGGTTTTAAACAGTAATCCAGGTTTTAGGAAGAAAGATTCATCCCTAGTGAGTGATGCAATTAGTTGGGGGTACAAAATAGATAGTATCCTTACATTTGAGTGAAATTGATATAACATAACGATTTCCTAAAATGTACGGTATATAATCCATTAAGAAATAGGAAATAGGCTGGCTAGTTCATTTGATAAAACATTTAAGCTTAATAACTTATAAACAAATTTCAACAAAAGCAGTAAATGCACTTAAACAGTCTAAACGTACTTTGCTTGATTTCTTTACTTTTAAATGCACTTTTCTTTAAATTTAACCAGAGAAAAACCATTACCCTTCCCAACAAAAATGAAAATCTTGACAATTTGACACTATCATTTAACTTTAAAATTATTGTTTTTAAAATAAGTCGAAATGCCAAATTATAGAAATGCTTATTTAGGCCTATACATAATCTTAGCTACACACGCATCCTTGCTTTAAAAAAACAATTTTTAATTGATCAGAAAAAAACTAATAGTTTTGATTAAGTTTTTAATCTGGAATTGTGTTATGTCTTGTTTTTGTTTCGTTGTTATTTAGGTACAGTTGGCGTACTGCTTCTAGTAAAAATTGAACCGATTTGACTACAGCTCGGTTACTGAATATATTTAATCAATGCCCAGTCAGAATTCTGAGATTCTACCGCAATATAAAACCTAACACATAAACTAATTTTGAACATTTTGTTTTATTACATATATAAATTAAATTATTGGGATGAATTACATCCTATTAATGCAAATAATATTTACTTGTCAATATGGTTTGTTAATATTAGGAATAGAAGCTGTACAAAATTTGTAATCATATCTCTAAGAATATAACATGAAAAAACTAAGCACAAAGAAAGTTGTTAGGTGCTTTAGAAAGAGTATGTAACAAAAAAGACAAAAACATAATTATTTGTAAATCATCATAAAAAACAAAAAAAAACAATTCTATTTAGCATAAACATAAGGTGACCAATAAATTCATATACAAAATGCAGCCCATCAATAAGTTAAAGATAGCCTATCAAAACATGAGTTTTACTATAAAATCATAGTTACAAAAACGTTTGCTCTAAATTATTAAAACTTTACAGATTTATATATGATGTTTAAAAATACAAACAGTCGTTAAAATATGATAAACTACGGAGTACTTTGTCCTGTCTGTTACGGTGATTGAGACAATTGGATTACTTGACATTTGTAGCGACCTACGTTTGCCACCTTGTAGCAATCAACTACTTCAAGGACGTTTGAATCACACTACCAGACTCCCAAAGAAACTACTATCTCTGTTTTCATTACCATGAGAATGAATTTTACAGTTTACATACAAAGAGTCGTTAAAAGCGGTATAAAGTGGTTGCGATTTTACTAATCTTCTGTCTTCTAGAATGTTGTACTGTTTTACTTAGAAAGATTTAATAAATTTTGGTTTGACTTTAGTAGAACCTTATACAAAATTATCGTAGACAAATACTTTGCTCTCTTTAATAAACCAATTTGAAAACTAATCTAGGTGTGACAGAAAAACATTTGGGGGGGGGGGAATTAATTTTTGTTATTTTAGCAATTTTTATTAGGGCCTAGCTAAAGTTTGAGATGTTTAAAAATGTGGATTATTCGTACAGAAAAATTTAAATTAATTCTTGGAAATGGAAGTAATTGTTATTTAAGTAAACAATAAATAACAAATAAATGCCTAAGCAAGCATGCCAGCAATTTTATTTGAAAACTATTCAAAATTTCACAACTTAAACCATTATTATCTTTGAAACGGTTAGGTTTATGAAAAAATCACAAGAATAAAATCGTCTTAAAATTACATTTTCTACCGGAATACTTCATAAAATACAGGGTGTTCCATAAGAAAAATCTAAGTTGGCGGCCATATTGGAAAAATGGCGGCTAAAATAATTTTTTCGGCTTGACTAAAATTTTTTAAATAAAAAATCCAAGGCACTTACCATTTAACTTTTTTTGATGTCTCTTATGGTTTTTGAATAAAACGGCTGGCACACTAATATCAATCACCCTTAGGGCATTAGGCCATAAAATTGCATATAGATTCTAAAAAGACCATAACAATCACAGGTTTCCAATTTTTTAATTTCCCTGCCATTTTGGAAAATGGTGGCCATTTTTGAAACAATGGAATCAATATTTCTTATGTATGTTATGGTCTTTTTAGAATCTAGATGCAATTGTAAGACTTTGTTTACTCTTTGCATTTTCGCTCTAAACGTACTCGTTTAGGAGCTACATGATGCAGAATGTACACTGCAAGTCAGTTTTTCTTAGCTTTAACACGCTGTAACTCCTAAACGAGTAGCTTTAGAAAAAAAATGCCAAGAATAACAACGTTTTTAAATTGCATTTAATTTCTTTCAAACAAATCATAAAATATAGGGTATGCCGTAAGAAAAATCCAAGTTGGCGGCCATATTGGAAAAATGACGGCTAAAATTATTTGTTCAACTTGACCAAAACTTTTTAAACAAAAAATCCAAGGCAGTTACAGTTTAACATTTTGTTTTATCTCTTATAACTTTCGAATAAAGCTGGCACACTTATATCAATCACCCTGTATTTCGGTATTCTAAACTTAGGGGATCGCTTGAACTCAAGAGCTTAGACAGCATTATACATTAATTTTCTTACTATAATAATACTATTTTATATAATAATAATAATACTTTAATAATAATAATAATAATATTTTTTATAAATAATAATACTATTTTATTTTAATAATACTATATAATAATACTATTTTCTTACAGATATCAATCAATATATTTATTTTCAGTAGCTGTTTAATTGTCTTTAAAGAAAGATACACCTTAAGAGTGAAAATTAAATATATCATTTGTATGCTATTTTTTAGAGAAATTATAAAAAAAGTTATAAATGCATTTTATAAATCTCTAATGATTAAAAATGTAGATTAACTTTGCAATTTAATAACAATTAATTGTGAATGGTAAATAAATTAGTGAGATATCTGGGTTTGAAACTTGATGCTTATTGAGTGGAAATTACCGATCTCTTGTTGACAATGTAGGCTGGTTTGGGTGTGCAGTATGGTTGCCCAAGAATGTTAACACATTGTAGATGAGGCGTGTTTGATGAATCATTATGATAATGAATCATTTGTGACCTTCCATTCGTCTGTCACTAGTTCATAATGCAAATTTTTTTGTCATCTATTTTACTAGAAGATGTGGTTTATGTAAATTAGGCTATGTCTATATGTGGGTTTGTTGTATTTGAACAAAAAAACTATTAATCTTCTTGAGCACAAAGTTGATTGAATTAAATCAAAGATAAAACTAAATAGTATAGCTTAGATTCCATGATGAATTACGTATGTTAAACACGAGAAACACAACATCTTTGATTGACAATGAATCATCGCATGGACATTCATTCCCCATCACCAATATACATTTAAATATCACACGCCCCAATCATTGAATTTAATACATAATTTGGCTGGAATAGTTTTTTTTTAATTTTTTATGTATGACATACTAGTAAAAATGTTGTTTTTCCAATCCGATATAAAAGGTTCATTTGCAACCTTCAAAAATAATTGATACATTATCTAGTCCTGTATACAAATGTAAACTTCAAATAGGAAATATAATACAGTAGTTGGCACTAATCCAGTGCAATATGACACAAGGTTTTCATCACTATTAAATCACCTTTTTAAATATTTAGTTAAGTCTTTTCGAACACATGTTACAACTTTAGGCGTAAGCTGAGCTAACAAAGAGTTTTACCTATCTGAACAGTAGCTTTAATCATGTTTGATTCTTAACACTCTTAAGGCTACTTTACTAAGAATGTGTTCAGACTTTTCAAAACAATGTATTACAACAGTGTTATGGACATCTACATAAAATGGCTACTTGTCAAGGGTTGGCTGTGACAAAAATTATACATTTCGTAAAAAAAGTTCCACATATTGTCTGTTACAAAGATGTATACAATGTGTACGATTGATGAAATGTTGGACTTAGCTTTCTATCAAAATGCAAACAGACATAATCTAAACCAAATATTCCTATTTGACTAGAAAAATATTCTTCTAAACTAATTGTAGTTTTTATGATGCAACTTTTCATTTGTATTCAACGTTTGTATTATTCAATCAAATTTATATTTTTGAACCAAAATGGAAAACGTACTTTTACTTTGATACACGGACTTGAAATAAACTCAACATTTAACTATCCAGAAATATTTTTATTACCGTTTTTGTTAAGGAGAGTTTTTTTTACTAAAGTGTTTTAACGATTGGGGAATATTAGCAAATTTCCCATACAATAGGGAATAAGTTATTACCTACACTCGGAACCACTTTACTTTTTTGTTTTGATGTCCCCAGAGGCCAAAAGCACCCTATCTTCAAATTCATATGTGTGTGTGTGTGTGTGCGTCTCTGTTAGAACGATAACTCAATTAAAAATTATCCGATTTTGATTCAAGTCTTAGAAACCTATGTTTATTCAAACAAATTCACAAACTCTGTGGAACCGCGTTTTTTTTAAATTCCCTTGTTATTCTTTTAAAGAATAAGTAAATTCTTACAGGTTGCTTGGTCATCAATATAATTTTATGTGATTTGGAAAATGTTGGTTTTATACTAAGCTATTGATATTAACAAAAAACTATACTTTATTACCGTCTTCCTTGTAGCAGCTTTTCCAAGTACTCATTCATCCCAATGCTATCCCCTAATGCTATTTAAAAGGGAATAAATCTGTCACTGTATTAAAATTTACAATTGAAAATTGAATCAGGAAAGTTTAAATTCGCCTAATCTGCAGGTTTGCAGGGGTGGGAGTATTTTTTTCTTGTCATAGTATTTATGATGTTGTATCTGTCCATAAGAACAGCCCAACTTTAGTTTATATGTGATACAATCTTCAATAAAAACACTTTCCATGTAGACACATTTATTTAATTCGACCAAGGTACAATAACATTCTTAGTTGTTTGAAATTGATCTCTCTAACTACCATACCGAAATCACATTAATGTTCAGTCATGTACAGGAAACTTTACCTAAAGACATTTTGTTTGTGACACAATTTTGATGTTTTATTTCTTACGAAGGAACAAGGACAACTCTTAGGCAACAATGAGCCATTAATTAAGATGAACAATAAGACAATTAGAACAGACACCCGTTGGTGGCAGGCTTTCTACACCCAGCGATGGAGTATTCAGAATCCATTTTAATTAACAGGAAACCAGTTATCATCAGCATCATCGCTGTATCGTGGCGCTGGCTTCTAGTGATAAAATATCAGTTTCATTTTTGTTTCTATATGTCAGGATAGTTTGAACAGCAAAAATTTTATCGATGGTTTTTGTTTTTAGCTAAGAGACCTAAACATTAAATACTGTATCTGAAAACTCATTAATATCTAAGATATTAAAAAAAAAACTTTTTATTGTCTTATAAGATGGAAAATACCATGTAATTTTTCCACTAGTAAACTGTTTTTCCACTAGTAAACTTGGTTTGCTGGTTTTGATGAAGGTAATAGTTGTGATTAAAAAATATTATATAATTATTCAAATTTATCTCTGTTCATAACAAGGGTGGATTTTCTTTTTTACTACCATTTATATCAACCCTTCTACAACAAACGAATTCAAACTAATTGAGAGGTAAACAAAATTGTAGGCCTAATTTGTGCTTCAAATTCTTGTTGTCTTTTTAGAGGAGTTGTATGTGTTGGCTTAAATAATGGTGTGTATGATAAAAACTTAGTTAATTGTACTAGCCAACTGTGTCTTTTCAGCTCTCACTAATTTTTAATCTCTCAGTTGTAAAGAATCACTCGAGACCCTATCCTAGTGATGAAAAACTCTTTTGATTGATTTACTTAAGCCAAAATTATTTAAGACTTGCAGATAACTCTGATTGTATCCCTCCAACACGCTTCACTTGTCCTCACATAAAACACTAGATGTTATCATAAACAGTATGTCATCAAATGTGTTTTTGCAGGAACCAATGATGCCTTTGTCACAATTGGACTTGGAAAGGACAAATACCAAACTTCTATCAAAGAGAAAGCTACAGAGAATGTGGAATGGCATGAAAAGTGTGAATTGTAAGTTGTTTATGTGTTTAGTGTCATATCACTCATATGGGATTGGTGTGTTAGATTATCCATCTCTAGAGATTTGGATACTTTGACATCAGCATTCTTGACATACCACATTTGGTTAAAGTAGATAGGAAATCAGGGTTTCATAAAACTGATGTTTTTTAATTCCTTGTACAATATTCAAATTTATTTAGAATTTCAAAGTAGTTAAGCATAATATCAGCTGATTTATATCATGGATTATTCCCAACAGTTTGACTCCCTTTTGGGGGAGGTGGTAATGAAAGCAATGCCTCCTCCCCTGAGAGCTGAAGAACATGTTTAAAAATACTTTGAGAATACTGTACTAACGATAGGCCTCTATATTAGTAAAACAAATAAGAAAATATTTGAGTGTTCAATAGAAAACTACAGAATAGAGATGACATGGTTAGAGGAGATTTTTACACGACGCGGGTTTTTTCATGTGAGATTATCAATGTATTTCAATGTGCAGCGCAGGAATCTATAAGTTAAACCCCGTTTGTGAATACCTAGGTAGATTATGGAAGTCAAATAATGACACATATATCTTGACATGGACCCAAAAATACTTTATTCATCAAAAAAGTATAGCCTAACATTGAAATATAATGAAGTTTAAAATTCAGATTTTAGAGCCTCATATTTAAACATGTATCTGTGCCTAACCAAATATATCGTACTAGTCTAAATACAATTTTTGTGTCTTAGGTAACTGCAATGGAATTTTGTCAATCTCAAATCCAGTGGTACGGAAAAAAGTACCATCCAACCACTAATAAATGATTGTTAAATACAAATTATCAAAGCTACAAATATGTGAATGTTTACAGGCAAATTCCTAAGCAAGGCAATACCGCTGAAATTGTCTTAACAGTTCTTCATCACAGCTTTCTTGGAGTCGACGAGTTCCTTGGCTGTGTCAGCGTTCCACTGGCTGAAATGGATGTCTACGAAAGACCCCGAAACAGGCAAGACAAGTTGTAACTTCTATGCTATGTAGGAGCTTTGAGTGGGTTAACAATACATGTAGAGTTGCCAAGTATGTTTGTTCTTCGAATTCACTAAAGCAATGATAGGTTTTTGACATAACAATGTAAATATTCAACTATATTGGAGAATTAAACTCGAGCAGTCAGATTGTAATTGGTTGATTATGGAATATTATTTTACCCTTCAATGTCTAACTTCTTTATCAGCATCATTCGTGTTATAAATTTACCTGAAAGTACAAAAAAGGTGTCTAATAACACGTGTAATAATTTATTTACAATAATACTATTGACTCACAAGACTTCATTTGCCTATTGGGTCCGATGATGATTGAAGTGTCCAATCGAAATCGATCACCACTTACCATCTTTTATGTGTAATTACCGTCTTGTCAGTCAACAGCATTAGTTGTAACCCTCCAAGTTTCTGTAGTAAAGGTCTTAATTTTTGCCCATTTACTGTGCAATCGCATTGTTTTATTAAAATGTATCTTAGAAACTTAAAAACACTCTAAAGTATCCTAATTTATATACCATTTTGTTTGGAAAATCATGGTCTTCAATATAGTATATATAAAATATAACAAAAAAACAATTTTCGACAATTTTTCTGGGGTTAACATTTCTTACAAATTATAAAAAAACGGATAAAAGTTTAGGATTGTGCTCAATGACATTATAATTTATAGGCCTATAAATATTTTAAAATAGCCACTTCTTTCAAAATTTTTAGAAAAAAACATTTCAAACATTTAGCGATTGCTAAGAATGCATAGCCTTACAAAAGCTAGGAATCTGAAGGGTAATTTACATCAATATTATGGAGGCACTACCTACTTCTCCAGGATCATCAACAAGCCCTTCAACATCACTTAAATCTTCTTATTATGCACCACGTATATCACTTTATCACTACTGTTTATTTTTATCACAAAAAACAATTATAAACCTAATAAAACACATCAGACATCGATGTTAGGTTAACCAAGTTGTTAACAAATACTTACGTCATCTGTCTGCTACAATATGATCGGCACGAAAATGAAAAGCGTCTAGAAGCAGACATCGGGAGAAAGCTTAGAATCTGCTGAAAACAATTATTCCAATCTCGATCCAGTTCAATCTGATTCAGTCAGTCCCAAAACCTTCGCCAAAAAAATGTTTGTGAGTTGACGCGTCATACCGCAGCGGGTGTATTATCACCACTGCAGAGAGCTAACATATTATTACAAGAGTTATTAGACATATTTTTTGAACTTTCAGGTCTTCAACATCTGTCATTTAAATTTTGTTACCAACAGGTTGAATCTTGATAATAAAGAAATTGGTTCAGCAAAGCTGTATAAATATTTACAAGATAGAACAAACTACAATGCATTCAGTGTGCATGAGTATTCTAATTTATGTTTAGCTAAATAACTACACTTTACATTACAGGTGGTACAAATTGAAAGGGAAACCCGGCAAAGAGAAAAATAAAGAAGGCAAAGAACGAGGAGAACTGGAAGTCAAAATATCTTTCATCGTCAAATCTGGAAGTCTTGCTGATCTCTCCAAGAAAGAGAAACACAAATCATCATTAGGGCAGTTATCTACAGCTCTAGGTTTGTACAAATTTTGTCACATTAAATTTTGAGAGTTGAATTCAAAGTTGGCATATTTTGTGAACAAGTAAAATTTTTCAATAATTTTTATAATATTTTGTAAAAGATCCTATGCATCTACACCTAATTTTATTTTAAAATTTCTTGGTTCACTATATTTAGTATTTTCCACGGTGATTTTACATAACTGGGAAATATTCAAACAGTATTGCAAAGTTCAACAAGTTGCATGTTGTTGGAGAGTTTGTTTTCTGCACTTAATTGTGTCAACCTATACCAAAAAGGTCGGCAACAATCTATTATATATATTTTTCACTATAAATATAATTTTGATAAATATTCATATTCATATTCAAACATCTTTATTCGTAAATCATGTACATTGGTGGTACAGTGAATAGTGTCAGAATACTTAAAATAAAAATACTATTTCTATTTATGGGAGGTGGAAAATTCATCAAAAGAATATAATGCTAGATTTATTAAATGCTCCTTTAGAATTTTCATGAATTTAGATTTAGAGTTTCTTTTTTTATGAATTCAGGGACAAATTTTAGAAAATCATTACCAGCATATGAGGGGTTTTTTCAAAAAATTTTAATTTGTGAGGCTGGACAAACTCCTTTCTCCTCCTAAAATTATAAGAATGCACTGAATTTATTACTTGCTCAGATTCATTTTTTTTTTCGATAAGAATTGTTTCATAAATATATAGCCCATAAACTGTAAAAATTTATAATTTCTTAAAATGTTCTTTTGCCGAATCATCTCGTTTAAGCTTAAGCATAATTCTGATAGCTTCTTTTTGTCGCTTCAGAATACTATCCATATTTAATATTTTTGTTGACCCATATAATGCTAAACCGAATGAAATATGGGAGTGAATGTGTGCAAAATATATACTTTTTAGGGTTTTCAAATTACAATAAAAGGACATTTTTGATAATGCGAACATTCCAGAGTTAGTTTTGGTTAAAACTTTCTGTGTGTGTTTATCCCAATTCAAATTTTCATCTATTGTTAATCCCAGAAAATTGATTTGATTTTCCTTTTGAATGTTATTTGAGTTGTAAGTTATTGTTGGCTCTTTTGTAATTCTGTTCTGTGCTGTTCTGAAATTTATAAATTTAGTTTTTTGTGAATTTAATAATAAGTTATGATTATAGAAATAGTTTCCAATATTCTCTAATTCTACATATGTAAGAATTTCAGTTTCTTCTGTAGAGTTAGATGATACAATCAAATTAGAATCATCAGCTCAAAGACATATTTTAGAATTTTGCTTGTAGGTTAAAGTATCTTCCATGCCCTTAAGGTAACACAAAAAAAGCAAAGGCCCCAAAATTGAACCTTGTGGGACCCCAAATTTAATTGGTTGATAAGTTGATGATGATTTGATAATTCTATTATGATTTGTCAAATGGGTAATTTCCACGAATTGAGATCTATTTGTCAAATAGGAAGAAAACCAAACAAGAGCTCTTTTTGATATTCCAATTATTTTAAGTTTTTCTAGTAATTTACTATGTTTTATACTATCAAACGCTTTAGAAAGGTTCATAAATATGCCAATTGTATAATGTCCTTTGTCTACTGATTCAATGACTGATTCGATAAAAGAAACAGCTGCGCTCACAACTGATCTTCCATTCCGGAATCCATGCTGATTATCATCCAAAATATTAAATTTTTCAAAAAAACTCTGATAATTGTAAGTATTATTAAATACTAAATAGATAAATATTAAATACTCCTACAGGTTTCAATTCCCGTAACAATTCTCATGTTATCCTTATGGAGAATAAGTTAACTGTTGTAGTTTGCTTGTTTATGGATATATTTTGATCAAACTTGGCAAATTTATTTATTTCATACTAAGCTATTAATATTTTGCTAAAAACACACTTCATTGCCCTCCCTGAAGCAGCATACCTAGATACTTGCTTAACATAATTTTATTTAAATAGATTTCATTGAAAATCCAATCAGCTATATTAAATGGAAATTTGCTTAGTCTGCAGGTTTGCTGCGGCGGGGGTATTTAAAACTGATATTGATAACATTTATATACACTTTTACATGTATTTTTCCTAGTTTTCATTGTCTCCTGCGATTGTAGCAATATCCCTGATTGGCCTTTCGGTTAACAGATTTTTTGTATGACCGCCCGGCTTTGGATAGTTCACGTGCTACTATAATTATATTTTTGCAAGGGTCTACATCAATGGTATATAAGAATCACAAAAACTAAAAGTGAAATCTGTTTTAAATACGCAAATTGTTGTGAACATGCCAGGGATCGAACACATTACTCTCCTCTAGAGATCCGAGCATACACCTAATGCATTATCTATTTTATTTTTATTTGCTAGTATGTTTTCGGTAATTTTATAATATCTGCAAGTTTTAAATACTAATGTACTTTTTTCTTAATGTATGATGAAATATGTGAACATACCCCTCAACATTGTCAATTGAATTGAAATCTTCTTCATTTTCCACAATCATGGGTTTTTACATGACATGGAGACTTGAAAAGAGAACTGCCCATAAGTTTTTGCAATAATTATTAAAAGTTAAAATTTTTGAAGCTCGATACAAAATAAACACACATTCTCAGGCCTTTGTCTGATTATTAAAATTCACAATTCCCGTCACAGTTCCTAGTTTTCCCCAGTCAGCTGGACACTCTGGTAATAATAGTTAATTTAATTTACCAATACAAATTGCAGTACTTTTAAACAATATGATCTATTATTTAAATCAAAGTTTTCATTTAACTTGGTTTTGAATTTGCTTCTAAAATGAAAACAGGAAATATTACCTGACAGTAAAACCAGTATCTGCAGAATATTTCCAACCCATACTTTTGAGATTCCCTGCTCCCAATAATAGTTTAAAGATTTATTCACAAATACACCCATACAGAACAAAATTATACAATCTTTGTATATAGGCAACATATTTTTACAACATAAGAATGTCATGTCAAAACTGAAAAACTGTAGCCTATATGATTGCAACTTTCTTTTAAATAATGAGTACTGTTTACTATTTGGTTAGTTGAGAACCGAAAATCTATTTTGGTCAGCAACTGGTACTGGTACTGACTTTGACAATGTCGTACGAACACAACACTAGTCAATTTTAACAAAATATTGTATATCTTGTCAGTTATTTTGTGAGGGTTAAAAACGTATTGCTATTCAACAAACACCATAACTTACCCGATTTTTATCCACAACAAACTACTCCTAGGCCTATGTGTTGGCCATAGCCCAAGCTATGGCCAAAGAACGTAGGCCTACTTTTAATAACATTGAAGTACATACACACACTCACACGATATATTTCTCAGTAATAGCACTCCATTTCACCTAATAAAGTTAAACCGACCGATTTTACGAATATTTAACGCCGATGACAACATGACATTAACTCGAATTGGTGTTTGTTGACCGACAACAGATGACAACTAGACCGGCTCAACAGGTGAATTTCGATCAGTTGTTGTCTATTAGTACCTAAGTTCGCCGCTTTAGCGCGTAAACCTCGAGCGGACTGAAATGAAGGATTTTACTTCCAAGACGAGACATTCGTTCGAAAAGTTCACTTCAACGTCTTATATTCTCAAGCGCTTACGATACATTTACGACCTACATGCCGGTAATCGGAAGGTTAGATATATTAGTCAATCTTACGTTCTTGTTTTATGATAAATTTTCATTTTAATCCACATACTTTCGTTACAAAATTTGATTTTAAATAACTAAATTTCGTCACTACGAATTCACCGTCTTTAGTTTAGACCCGCCAGTTCCTGCCTGACAGTGACTAGCGGTGGTTATCGTTTGGTTTGATTTAAACCTATTAGGTTTAAAGATATGATTTCTCCGAGTAATTACCGTTAATCGTTAATTCGTTATAAGTTAATTGTTCGTTGTTGTTGTTAATTGGTTCGTTGTCGTTATGAGTTAATTCGACGTTTAAATATCCCGAGACTTGTCGACCGAGTTCTAAACCCCGTCTTTGGCGAGTGAAAGAATCAAGTCTGGGAGTAAGCTGAGTTGAACGATCAGCTACGGAAATTTGTATTAAATTAATTTTAAACAGTCTCACGTTAAATTATCCGTTCAATTGTATCAATTAGGCCCCGGCGACTCCGTAGGAATTGTGTTTTTACCTTAAATATATTCAATATTATATTATTTACAAACGTTTTAGCCAAACAGTTTAAAGTTTAATACGAGTAGTTTTATCAAATTGGCTAAGATAGAATACTCGTCGGTCCTACAGAGTCAATCCAAAAGTTAGGCAAAATTTACCATAACACTTTAACGAAGGCTGGGATGATATAACTTCAACTACGGGCGTCTGCAGGATTTCCCAAGCACTTCTAGAGCTCTGAGCCTCCGATTAAATTTAAATAAATTGACCAGTCAAAGCCGTGACAACTTCGTATCGACCCCTGGATTTTTCTCGGGTCCTTCTGAGCACTCCGGGGAAGAAATTTTAGTGTGGCCGGTTCTAGGGGTAGGCCTAGCCTGACTTAGGTGAATACCAGTTTATTCCCTCCCTAGAATTTTGCGTCACAATTTTATTCATGAAATTAATTTGTCTTGATAATAATAATGAGATTCTAAACTTGTTATGCAGTATTAAAGAATAAATGGTCAACACTATTTTTCTATTGGAGTAAAAAAGTGCATTAAAACATTGGGAATTCCAACTAGCGAAAAATGCTATTTTTGTCATACAAACTGCCATAACTCTCATTAATGCTTTGATAGCTATTCATTCATCAGATAGCACCAAATATAAGCCAGTGTTTGTTTGTCAGTGCAGTCTGTGTCACTATGGAGGGAAAGTTTAGGATCAAATCACTTAGAAAATCTTATCTTTTAACTAGAAATATAAAAAGAGTAGTTTGTCTTAAAGGTAAACATCATTTAGGTTTAACTAAAATTTTTATCTACCTAGTAAACTGTGGTAAAATTTAGTGTTATAAGATTATATGAAGTGTTTGAATTTAAACTATTATTGGTTGGCTTGCTGTTCTTTTCAAAATCTTATTCAAAATATTATTTCCATATTGAATTTTTCCCATATTGTATTTGAGTTCATATATGTATTTGATGTTTTATTAGGAATTTTTCTTAAAATGAATAATTTCTACGAGTTAACACTAGAATCAATATTTGATCACAAATTGAGGTAGTCACTAGTTACTTACTGACTAAAAGTAACAAAGGAGTAGCACTATACTAAGTAATACTATTAATACACAATATTAGCAGTGTGGATCATAAAATTAATAATGCCCAAACGTGAACATCTAATTTAATATTGAACAACTTTTAATTTTAATATTCTCTACTATTATGAATATACATTTTTCAGGAGGAAGTTTGATCAGTATCAGCAGTTTAGACAAGAGAAAGGGGCTGAAGAAATTTGCTAAATCATTTGGTAAGTCGATTTCCAGTGTTGGGAAGTAGCGCGCTACAAGTAGCGACGCTACAGTAGCGCGCTACATTTTTTGTAGCGTTAGCTGTAGCGTCGCTACTTTTAAGATTTTGTAGCTTTAGCTGTAGCTAGCTACATTTTTAAAGTAGTTGTAGCGGAATTTTAGCTACTTTTCTCGCTACATTAACATTGTTTGAGATAGTGATTTTTACCATAACCTCAACCTTACGTGAAACAACATCTTTCAAACTGAGATTTTCAAAACAATTAGGCCTACTTTATTGGCTTCATACAGCTGGTTGCAGCCGTTTCATTCCCTATTACAACGTTGTGTGGCCATGGAGGCCATTAAATGAGTGTTATCCACATTTTTAGCTCTCATTTCCACTACTCTATGATTACTGTCAGATAAAATAAAATCGCTAGATGCAGACGATGTTTAAACGTTACCAGTGACAAGACAAGCTATTGAATGCTTGCAAGTGATTGACAGGGAAACTAGTAATCAATGTAGTTTCTTTGTTATATTGATAGTGTTTTAACTAGGGTTTTAATGGAAACCAACTCTAAACCTTAAAATAATGAGAAAGCTGGTCTATCAACCTTTGCTTCAGCTGTTGATTGTGGTTCATCGTCACAAGCCCTCCTTGGTTAGATTACAAAGTTTTTTCAAAGGTTTACTAAATTAACAAAGAGGAAATTACCTGATGAGATTTAAGATATGCCTAGACTACATGATAATTGTAACGAAAAAATCTCCATGTAACATGAAACTTACATAAAAAAATAGCATAGTTTGCTCCTGCTAACAGCTCTTGTATTGGACTATTCCTAGGCTATGCTATGGTTTACGACGAATACCAAGTTCAATTATTAGGAATATATCTGTTTAGTCCTTACAAGAACAAAGCTACTATAGCCAACTTGTTACATAGCCAAATAGGCCTACATGTTATTTTTACTTTATAAATTTCAACATGTTTAAATTAAAAGCCGATTTCAGGATAAGTTGCTGAATACTGTTTTCTGAAGCTCAATTTGCCCTATGCATAATGACAATAAAGGACGATTTCTTGACATTGAAAAGTGTTATTCATAGAACAAGTAACTTATGACTATGGTTAAAAGTTATAGCAATGTCGTTTTTAACATTAAAAGTAAAGAAAGGCAATAAACTCCAATTTGAATAGGCTAGGCTCTGTAACACAAAAAAGTATTTATAAATAATTGTTTTACAGTTTAAGTGGTCTTAATTGTTGATATAAGACATCTATATTAAAGAAATAAAATGAGCTTTTAAAATATAGTTTGGTTGTATGTCCTTAAACTTAATGAAATTTACTTATAAGATGCTTAAAAATAATGCAATCCCCAAAGCAGAATGGTTCCTACGTGTCTGCAACGGCCTGTGAAAACCTCAAAATGTGTCCGCAAGCGCTAAAACTAAAAAGCTAAATAATGACTTATATACCGGTATATATATATATATATTCACTCTTTAGGGCTACTAGTAATATAGTTAAATAAAATAAGTAAATTTCAATAACTTGTATAGCCTACTTTTAAAACAAAAAACTAAAAAACTATTAAGGGGTAGGCATAATCAGGTTATTTAAATTTACTTTTTTTTAAATACGTATATATATACACATACCTTAACAAGTGTTAACAAGGTCTTCAGAAGTAAAACTTTAAACGTACTATAGTTTCTTTATATAAACACACTAGGGATGGACGGGATTGAAATTTTAGTTCGGGACGGGACGGGACGGGATTTTTATTTTCTTCCCGATTTTCGGGACGGGATGGGACAGGATTTTTTTCTGTGCATAAAAAAAGTACTGTATTGCCGTTACCAAAAAAGACATACGAAATCAATTTTTACCATTTGTGGCACTGATCTATAAAAACCAAAAAATGGGTAACAATTTACAGGTACCTATAGAAACTTGTGACTCGCGGGTCACGGGGTGATCGTCTGTAGAACTCACGGTCACGGCGCGATCGTCGTCATGACTCGCGGTCACGGCGTGATCGTCGGTATGACTCCGCGGTCACGGGGTTATCGTCGGTATGACTCCACGGTCACGGCGCGATCGTCGGTATGACTCCACGGTCACGGCGCGATCGTCGGTATGACTCCGCGGTCACGGGGTTATCGTCGGTATGACTCCACGGTCACGGTGCGATCGTCGTCATGACTCGCGGTCACGGCGCGATCGTCGGTATGACTCGCGGTCACGGCTCGATCGTCAGCATGACTCCGCCATCACGGCATGATCGTCAGTATGACTCCGCGGTCACGGCGCGATCGTCGGTAGGACTCTGCGGTCACGGCGCGATCGTCGGTATGACTCCGCGGTCACGGGGTTATCGTCGGTATGACTCCACGGTCACGGTGCGATCGTCGTCATGACTCGCGGTCACGGCGCGATCGTCGGTATGACTCGCGGTCACGGCTCGATCGTCAGCATGACTCCGCCATCACGGCATGATCGTCAGTATGACTCCGCGGTCACGACGCGATCGTCGGTAGGACTCTGCGGTCACGGCGCGATCGTCGGTAGGACTCCGCGGTCACGGCGTGATCGTCGGTATGACTCGTGGTCACGGCGCGATCGTCGTTATGACTCCGCGGTCACGGCGTGACTGTCGGTATGACTCAGCGGTCACAGCCCGATCGTCGTTATGACTCGCGGTCACGGTGCGATCGTCGGTCCAATAATCGCGGCCACGGCGCGATCGTCGTTATGACTCCGTAAATGTGTCCGCAGGCCCGCGTTTCTCGGCGTTTCGTGTCCGCGACAATGTCGCAGCGTCGCTCGTTGTTCTGCTTTGGGGAATGCAATATTTAAAAATAAGTACTAAATATGATGGGACACCCAACTATTTGATGCTGTTGTCGTAATGTTAGGTTTATAATGCCAACAAATTAAATAAAATCTAGGAATAATTCGTTTTCCAAGTAATGTTAGATACAATACTGACATTTCTTGTTTAAATGTTTGTTCAATAAAAATGTTGTTGCAATTAATTTTACATTTACCTAATGTGCGTGGAATAAAAAGTAACGTCTTTGGGAAAGTAGCTAAAATTGTAGCTGTAGCTACATTTCATTGTAGCTGTAGTTGTAGCTAGCTACTTTTTCGGAACTGTAGCTGTAGCTGTAGCTAAGCTACTTTTTTGGAAATGTAGCAGTAGTTGTAGCTAGCTACATTTTAAAAGTAGCTTCCCCAACACTGTTGATTTTTTTATATTCAATATACATCCACTAGAAAGATAGGAGGAAATCATTATTTTGATTGCTTCCCTCTTACCTTTGAAAACATACGCCATAAGTTTTTCTGACTTAAAAAATTATGATCTGGTAAAATATTTGTTACTTGCTTCTTCTTTGTTTTTTTATCAACAAACAACCTGTGAAAAAAACAAACATTCATACATATACTAATAAAGTACAAAGTATGAAATAATGAATATCAAACATCGGACCAGTAAGGTTTTTACCCCAATAGCTACATAAATAATTGACAGTATTTACATCAATATTTAGTTCTTAAACAGTCACACTAAAATAGTGTACGTTTTTTCCGTGCTGCATTTGGATAGGTCAATCATTTGATGCTGGAATGCTCAGTAAGTATTTATCTCTGACTTATTTGTTACAATTGATAAAGTTATCGTAGTTTTATAAATCTACATTAAAATGGGTTCAGGAAATATGAGGATTGAAACTAACTGTTGTAGATTTACAATGTATCATTGATGTATTTTAATATTGCTTTTAACAATAATGGTGGACGACATATTTCTCCACTTGGGTTTGGAATAGGGATGGACAGGTCTCGAAATTTCAGGAAATTTTCAAGAAATTTTAAATCTCTTCCACAAGACGAGATTCTATTTTGGTCTAGATTTTTTCGAGACGAGGAAAAATAACGCCTGCAGAAAGTAAATGCAATACCCGCAATACAGGAGCGCTTTGATGTTGCGTTTCCTCTGCGAAGGCTTTTTTATTTAATTATTAATTCCTTACATGTAAATATTGCCTTAATTGTTTTATAATTTTTTGTTTTGACATAGCAAATTATGAGAAGTTTTGTTAGTGTAAGCAGTGTGAGAAATGTTTTACTAATGTAAACATAGCCAAAATAAGTCACTCCAAAAGTATTCTAAAAATAACACAAGACTGAAAAATTGTTACTTGATACTTAACTAGTAAGACTGATATTTGAGACTGATAAATTTGGTATTTTTCAAAGTTGAACTGTATCCTAACTGATATCTCCATGTTGTTTCCTTTGCGGAAGAGTTATTTTTAATAGGTTAGACTTAATTAATATTTGTTTTTCTTATACTGATGTTTTTTATTAATTTTTTAAAATAAAAGATTTCAAATATTGTTTTCTATTGTTATTATTTTTGTATTTAATATAACCAGTCTGTCATAAATCAGAAGATATTTTAAAATGTTACAAAATCAGGTTAAAATGTCGAACGTGCATTTCTCGTTATATATGAGAAGGGAAATCCCGTCTCGATCTCGTCTCGACATTTTATGAGAAATAAAAAATCCCTTCTCGTCTCATCTCGAACTAAAAATCCAATCTCGTCCATCCCTAGTTTAGAACATTGAATTTTACAAACATCAACCACAAACGTTTTTCAGCCAATCCTTCATCCAACAAGAAACGGCAATAAAATAATGTTTCTAAGATTGCCGATTCAAATTTTTCCATAGTATGATTCAAGGTGAAGATTAAATCAGAAATATCTATAGTTGTGAGTCTAAACAGTACTTTAAAATGGAAAAAAATTAAAAATTAAAATCCTATATTTTAACAGGCAAAGTTAGGGCCACATGGCCCTTTCTAACACTTAAACTGCATACATAATTATAAATATAAAATAGAATACACAATTTAACACATTATTTACACAAAATCAATACTTTTTTTTGATAAAACAAAAACAAAATGAAATTACTGTTTTATACTAGCCTATTACTATTTTTTTAATGAACAAATAACAAGTCTGAAACTACTGTACAGAATTAGGCTGCATCTTGTAAACTTTAAATAAAATACTAATTCAAACTCATCTGTCCACCCTATTATGTGAAACCTCAGGGTAGTTAAAGTTTGTCATCTTGACATATGTTTTAATTTTGGTTGTACTGTTGAAGGGGGTGAGAATATCTTAATTACAATCAATAATATGGCTTGATATTGTTGATGATGTTGGTGTTCTCTGATTCTAGTGCCAGACTGATGAATTTGGGGATGGTTTATTGGGTTGTCTTATTTCTTTTTAAATTTAATTTACTTGTGATCATTAATTCATTTGATTTATTCTAGGTAACAAAATCAGTGGCAAAAGCAAAAGCAAAGAGAAAGATTTCCCAGAAACAGGGAGTTTGCATGAGGTGAACAAACTGTCGCGAGGTGGCGTAGGACTCAGCGGAGATATCAAACCCTCCCTTCAGAGGGCTGGGGATGCGGATCCTGGGGTCATCAGTGAAGGAGAGAGTGAAGACGGCTTCACGGTAAGTTTCTCTCAACAATAATAACTAAAATGTCAAGTTTGTGTTGGTTTAGATTCACTGTTGTACCATTAAAATGACTTCTCCAACAAGTACAAATTGTATGATGTTTTTCTATAGTTTTATTCACACAGCAATTTAACCCATTGTCGCCGACTTACGAGCGTTACTCGTCTGGCCGCTGCAGGCCCAAAATCCAACTTATGAGCCTAGCTCGTTTATTTTTATTTTTTATGATGTTTATAAATATCTTGCTTCTTGTTTTGCATATTTAATAATTTTTTTTTGGGAATAATGAAAGTTGTGTTGCTATAAAAACCAGATATCACCCAAAATACAAAGACAAATTTTCTATGTTATTTATAAGTGATTTTTCCAGATAATTTGTTGTAAAGTTAGCAATTTTTCCCCAGAAAATAACTCACACATAGGCCTATTTAATATTTGTGGATAAACACACCAACATAATAACGTATCGAGCCTAAGGAATCACCTTAATGTGATAGAGATCCTATTAATACATTTATCTTGAAACCACACTGATCTCTGCTACTATAATGAACAAATCAACCGTGTATGGATCATGTCAAGGAAAGGATGTGGTTAGCCAGCACATAACAAGAATGATCCATCCTGATAAATGTTAGTGATGATTTTAAGATTTAAACCTATGGTATCTTTGTTAGGAGTTTAGGTTTGGAGAGAAAGGGCTAAGGCCTGAGAATAGGTGTGAGAAAGGATAGGATAAGCAGGCTTACCTTAAAAAATGTAGGTATCCCACTTCATTCACTACAGAACACAGAAGAAAACACAAACAAACAAAATAAACACTGGATATTTCGAGGCCACTGGCCCCTTTCTCAACATGGAGAGTCACATTAGATATTAAGAGTCTTTAAAAGACTCTTAATATCTAATGTGACTCTCCATGTTGAGAAAGGGGCCAGTGGCCTCGAAATATCCAGTGTTTATTTTGTTTGTTTGTGTTTTCTTCTGTGTTCTGTAGTGAATGAAGTGGGATACCTACATTTTTTAAGGTAAGCCTGCTTATCCTATCCTTTCTCACATCTTTGTTAGGAGTTTGTTTACCAATTGGGCCGCAAATTGACTTGCTGATAACTTTTCAAATTTATATTACTAATTGGTCGCTTTTTTGTAAATAATTAACTTTTACAGTTGGATGACTTGTCACACAAAGGGTCAGGTTACTCACTAGAAGCAAATTCTACTCCCAAGAGTGGGTCTTTGGAGAACCTAGCTGGAGGAGAGATATTGCGACGCTCAGAAAACACTCCCCCCGCCAAACCTCCACGGACTATTGTACCTCCGCCCGAACCTGTGATGGACGAATGGGAACAGAAACTATATGGGAAATATGGGAAAGGTAATTATTTAGCTATCCTCCACTCAAACTGGTTAAGACTTCATTGAATGTATTGGTTCCTAAAAATACAGGGGTAGTAATTTTGAGATTTATATTTTGTAAAAGTTAAAGCTAAACTTGACTTGAGATAAAAATTGCAAGTCTCAAGTCACGTATTTAAACAAATGTAATTGGATAACATAAATCCAACAATGTGGTTGGTAAATTTTATAATTTTTTTCACGGATTAGATATAGGTTGTTACATAGTTTGTATTATGACTAAGACAAAACTGTTTATCCAGACGCCATGAATGTTGAACCGCCAAGTACACTGCAGCGGAGAATGAACAGCTTTAACACTAACCTTCCCATAATGCCTTCCTTCTCCTCTCCTCCCCCTGCGGCAACCTCTACCCCCACCACAGTCCCTACTTTGTCAACACCTACTGAGGAGTTAGGCCTAGTCACGCCTACTGAAGAATTTTCTCGCCAAGGCAAGATAATGTTTTTAAGTTTGTCCTCTTATTTTTCTCATAGTTTAGTTTCGGCTGACTTGTGATTCTTCCATCTCTGTTCCTGATGCTCTACTAACAATTTCTTCCAATTTCTGGGTGTTCTTGCTGAATGTTAATGTTTCACTAACATTTTAAAAAGTTTGATGTTCTTTTTTAGGTATTGGTTAGGGACTTCGGGCTCTTACAAAGTTTCTAGATAATTTATTTTGAGATATTTATATTCCTATTATTTTGTAATATTTTTATTCAATTTAAAATCATCTTAGAATAACTATACAAATAAGTGATTTTTATTAATTAAGTCATAAATGTTGTCCAAAATTACATGACATAGCTTCAAAATGTATCAACTATATCCCCAATATAACTTGTTTTAAAAGTTCGTATTTGGAGGAAAATGTTGTTCACATCAAATTAAAAACTAAACCCTTTCAATTTTTTTTCTACTTTTTTTACCGTTGGTTTCAGGAATTATAGAAATAACAGACAAAATTTTCAAATAATAATAAATCATCAACGTAATGAATATCTATAGGCAAGTTAAAAAAAAATCATATTAACTAATTATTTTTAAGTGAATGGTCTGATTTTACCTTCACTTAACAATAAGCTATATATTTTTGGATGAACTTTGACCCAAACGTTGATGAACTTTATTCTCCATTTCTGTCTTTTGAAAGTGCTGATATTTATTTTTTAGACCAACCTCCATACTCTTTTAGCTTTTAGGACTATACTTTAAATGAAACTTGAAATTGTAACAAAATGAGTTATATGACCATGTTTTTTGGGTCTACATACCTCAATTGGACCTTTTAGTCTAGAAGCCTTCACAGGTTTAATAGAAAAGTTTTCAAATTGTCACCAACTGACCTTCACTGCAAAATTTGACTTTTACTCAATTAAATTAATTTATTAACATATTTTGGCACTCTCTACTAAAAAAAAGCTTCATTTAAATTTTGAAAATCTTAAATTTGGCCTTGAGGCGAAGCGTCAGATAAAGTGATATCTTGATAAAATTTGCCAATTCCTTAGCCTTATAGATTTGTCATCCTTATGGATCAGTCAATGACAGTATTTATGTATGTTTTGTTTTTGTCGGGTATTTGTAGAATACGTTTTGATGTTTTTGTTATGGTTGGTAATCTGACCAACTTTAAACCAACAACTAATCAAAAGAATGCATTTGTAAGCAATTGTTTGTCATCTGGTACTGGCAAAGAGTGAAGCGGATTTTAAATTCACCCTGGAATAGGAGAGAAATTTCCAGTTGACAACTGCACACTGTGCAATAAACTTGAAACATACGTACTACAAGTTTTATATTTTACAATAGTATATGAAGTTGACTAGCAACAGATAAACAGTGTTACAACCTACTGCAGCTTTTTTTTTTGTCAGTTTTTGAAGAAAAGGATGGACTAGGTAGTTGATTAGATACTTTTTATGTCAGTATTGATGTATACTAGAGTATAATTCAAATTCATTAATACATTCAGTGCTCATGCCGCCCATTGTTTTGTGGGTCCATTGATATTTCCATGTTGAAAAGCATTCAGACAAATCAGGCCTCAAGTACTTTATAAATTGGGCATGTGCTACTTTAACACAGGTTGCCCGTTCTGATTTGAAATATGTCCCTACTTTTTGGACTCCGCAAAACTAAGTGAGGTAAAGGGGTAGCGGAATCCTACCCTGAGCACCGATGACGTCTGGGACAACCTGTGGGGCCTTGAGTTTGTCATCTGTCAGCATCCTTTCCTCCTTATGAGAGCCTGGCGAAGTATGATAATATGAATCAGAAATAAAATTTGGAATCTTACCACCTTAATGTACCTAATATTTCAGACTACTGTTTATGGGAGGGTGATTCCTGTGACTCAAAAAGTCAGGAAAAGAGTTTATGTTAATTTATTTTCATTTTCAGCACGCATTCATTTTCTTGCACCATATACGCTAAGTTAAAAAGTATGCTTTATGTTAGGTTATTACTTGCTTGATCTAGGATTGTTATAAACACTTTGCATGCTATCATTATCATGCTTTCCTCTTGTAGTCTAAGATGTTGTTGAGGATTAATTTTAAACCATAAAAAAGTATGAAAGTATTACTCTTTTAAATTGGATTTGATGAAACATTAAGCTGAGTCAGAAATTACCTTGAAGTGTCTATTTTAAAAATATGTTGATTGTACTATAGTTTTTGGAGGAAAAATATTAAGATCACAGTGATTTGTTATTTTGGTTTATGTTAAAGTTAAATAATACAACAAACTCATTTTGATCAATTTTAAAAATCTAGCCTGTTTTTGTTTTTAGACTTCAAAAAGAGTCCTACTCTATCTCATCCGAGCAAGACATCTTCCAGTAAAAGCTCCATGGAGCGAATCATCATAGGAGGAGAGACTGACAGCTTTAGTGCTCCGCGCACTCCACTCAGCCGCCTCAACCCGGAGATACTCAAGAAGTTCGATGGGAAGTCTCGAGAGGTAATTTTTACCAAAGATACATCTGTTCTGCTTATTTTGTGATCAGCTGTAATTACCTGTCAATGTGTGGGTACCTGAAAAAAAGTATCAGGTAGAAAGTGATCATGAGTATGTTTAGCAACCAAAGTAACACGTAGATTGCTTGGCGAGACCAAATGATGTAATTCTTGATGCAGTATCTAGATAGACCTACTTTGGGCTATTATTTCCTTTCATTAAACCCATATTCCCCTGTTTAATCTGAAGCTTATTTGTTATGTCTGGTAAGTTTAGATGGCATTGATGGCAATAAATTTGTTTTCTTTTTCGAGGTAAATTATGTACTGTGTAATTTTCTCTTTGGTTACTCTTTCATGGGACAAGTAATGTTTTACAAATAATAGATCATCCTAGGGTGGCCTAAGACTGGGAATCCTGGGAAACCAGAAATTCTGAAATTTCACCAGGATAACCTAATTTTAGTCTGCAATCATGGCCAAATCATGAATATCATCTGCAGTTGTGGTAAAATTGAGAACGTCATCCAAAGTCACAGCAAAATTATAAACACCTTCCACAGTCATGGCAATAATCGAAACATCTTTTGCGGTCACGGTATAATCAAGAACATCTTCCACGATCATTGTGAAATCATGAACAAGGTTACGGCGAATTCGTGTACATCTTCCGTGGTAATGGGGAGATCGTTGTCTCCCTTATTCGCAATATTGTAAATTTTTGATCGTGCATTTCCTTAAACGCTTTCTGCAGTCACGAAAATACAGGCTTTGCTTGGCTCGACTCAATCTGTCTTGAATTTAACCCGATAGTCATTATCAGCCTGTACCAAACCCTCAGACCCACTCTGTCTCATCCGAGCAAGACATCTTCCAATATAAGCTCCATGGAGCGAATCATCATAGGAGGATCACTGTTGGCCCGACACAACCCGAAAATATCGGGAACCCAAAGAATCCTGGGATCACAGCCAGGTCTTGCTGCAGGGAAAACTGAGGAAAGTGGCTGTATTTTTTTCCTGGAGTTCTTTGGCCACCCTGTCATTGTACAGTAGACTCCCTCTTATCCGGAGTCCTCGGGACCGAGGCCAGTCCGGATAACAGTTTTTCCAGTTAAACCGACATCCTTAAAAACTTGACTTAATTTTAGGAGAGCATTGTATTTAGACATGTGATCACTGGTCTCAAATCTTTTCCCACGAGAACAGTAATTTTAGCACCGCCCACTTCCTACCGATCTAGTCCGGTTAAACCGATGTTCTGGTAAAAATTGTACTGTTAAAGAGATGTCATTTCCGCTGAGTGTAGTCCGGTTAAACCGATGTCCAGATAAGAGGGAGTTTACTGTATTTGGTTAACACTATTTTCTAAAGAGAGCAATTATTGGTGTATAAACTAGTATTTTCCCAGGGGTTATAGGCCAATCCAAACAGTAAACCGCACACTGAAAGATTTACCTCAAAAGAAGAATAAGGCTGAATCAACACATTTTAAAAACCCAAAAATGATACGCCCATCAAAACAGACTTGCTCAAAGGTAAAATCTACTTGCAGTATCCAAAATCAATGTGTAACAATCTGTATAGCCCACAACAATGCTGTAAAGTCGCTCTCAAAGGACCTGTCTATGTTGAAGGATGAATAAATCATTTGTTTTAACATTGTATGTTATATGGAAGTACAAATGTCAACTTTTGTTTTTAGGATTTGATAGAGACGATCATGGACTTGCAGAACAAAGTTTCAAAAATGAATCAACAACAAAGAGATCTTGAGGATTACTTGGATCAGCTGCTTTTAAGAGTCATGGAGACATCCCCTCGCATTCTCCAAAACCCGTACATGAATTGTAAAACTCAGGCTCAGTGCATGTAGCTATTCAAATTAAAACACTTCAGATTTGTATCATGTTGACAGTGTACTTCAAATCAAGATAATGAATGCTAAAACAAAGCCATGAACTTTTAACTTTTCAATATTTGTTATGGATTTGTTTAAGATAGCTTGATTTTTTTTAGAGTAATATCTTTTGGTAAAAATGTAGCCTATTTTTAAAATGACTTATATATTTTTTAGCTTTTACTGTCGTTTTTTTATATATAATCTACTTTATCTGTGGAAAAACGTTCTCTCCTAATGTAAGATTGATGAGAAACACACGTAGGAACATCTGTGGGGTGGAATTCCTAGAATTGTCAGAAGTGAGTAATTGTTATTTATTTTATCTTTACAAAAATTTGCGCTAAAATCTCGATAGTCCATCACATTCTATAAACAAGCCAGCCACCAGAGTAAAACAATCCCGTACAGTGAGAGAGAGAGAAAATTCTTTATTTACAACAAATTATTATTATATATACAACAGTGAATAGTTGTCTAAAAAACTGGGTTATAAAATTTTGAAATAAAGTAAATATATGATGTTCATAACAGAATTTACATTTCTTAGTGGTCTTGAACGAGATTGTTTGTTGAGCATTGTAAGTCTGGCTTAAGGACGTTTGTTTTGAATGTGAAGGTCGTTCTCTAATATTTCTGTGAATGTGAGAGAAATTGCATACTACACACTGTAGTATACATAACTTTTCAAACCATTAACTCAAATTTGCTGGTTTTTTAAACTACAATCTTGTGCATTACTTTGCATGGATACATTTACGTTCCTTTCTTGATAAGCAATTTTACTTTTGACTTTTTCTAGCGTAACAAGCCTAACAAGCTTTTTGCTTTCTATGTTTGAGGTTAGTTTTTAGGTTTAAACCCTTTATGCAGTATCTGCTATTTTTTCTTTTAATACGCATACTTTATGGCTCCGGTCATGCAGTACGCAACGATTAAGTTATCCTTAATATTCCCATTTGTGTTTTATCATCAAGAGTGTATTATATAGAGTTGAATTATGTTAGGAATCTGTTAGATAAACCAAACGTTGGTCTATCTGCGACTTTTTGTCTGTAAATTTGGGTTTTTCTTTTTTATCTAAAATTAGAATTTTTAATAAAAACTATTTAATTTTTGGATATTTATCTTTGTATTGTGCACTTTTCCCCTATGATGTTTAATTTTTTGATTCACACAAATTTTAAAATTATTTTCGTTTATTGGGTAGTTATTCTTCCATTGTTTCTCGTGAACTAACTATTATGAAGAGTCATACAAACAACTTCCTCAAGATGACTTGTATTATGCTCATTTCAATTTTACAACCAAATAGAATATTTTGCTAACTCTTTAATTCTCTGCTTTATTGTAGATTTAACTCAAAGCAAATTAGCCAAACATATGTTTTTATTTAAGATAATTTTAGAATGTTTGACATACCAGATGCATGAATATCCTTATTACTCGTCCTAAGGTGTCTTAACTATGTACATAAAGTTCCGTCCATATCACCAAGGTGCTTTGTAAAGTTGGAGATCATATAATCTATTTTAAAATTATAATGACCCTTTGCAAATGTAAGAGGAATTTCATTAAATCGGTTTAAGATTTGTGCTTATTTAATTCCAATTGTTCAATGCCGGCCTAATAGTGCAGTGAGCTGCTGAATATCTTGTGCTATACTTAACTCTCAAAGTGTTATAAATATCTTCCATTTTCAGATGTCTTTAGTCTTACCTGTTTTCTAATTTTAATTTCGAATATGGTCTCCAACTCGTTGTTTTGTTGTCGTTAAAGTTTTATCTTACTAATATTTGTTATACGGTTTTAACCAATTAAATCTGTTATACATGTTACAAAGTTAAACACGGTTCGTCCAATGTTTATATATGATGAATAGGTTAAGGTATTAAATTGTTTACTAGGCTATGATAAAATTTAAAAAAATTTATATACAAAGTATTTTGTTAATTTCAACTGTGTAAATATAAAAGTGTATGTAAAAAAGCTAAAGCAAATAATTCCAAAGCAATATGTGTGATAAGTTTAGAGTATAGTCAAATTATACAAGATGTTCCCAAATTATCTTCCTTTCATACTCGAATACAATTTTTTTAATAAATACTTTTTGACTTTCATTGTCTTTGTTTCAGTTACTAGTTTTTAGATAAACTATATAGCTGTCCAGTGTGGAGGTTTTTATTGTGTTCAATCATTCTAGCATTTCAATATAACCTTTTCCAACATTCTATTAAATATCTGCTTCTGTTTACCTTATTGCATGTTAATTTTGCGTAATGTTTATGTTATTTTCAAGAAATAAAAAGCCAATTTCATATTTATTTCAGGTTTTTAATGTTTTTTAATGTATTATTAATTATAAGGTAATCCTTGCTATAAAAGGTCCCAGCTTACCTGATGTTAAAAAGTTGCGATTTTCTATCACTCCAACTGTTTACGTAGTAAAAAATATAACCTGTTATAATAACCGATTGTTATGTTTATGTAATTACGTTTATTATTGTTGTTTATGGATAGGTATTTTTGCCTCATTTCTGTCCGTTATGTTAGAGTACAACAAATTTGTTGCCAACAGCGACAGTCTATAAATTCTCTTCACTTGATGTGGTACTTTGCCAAAAGCAGTTGTGTTCGTTACACTCGTATAAACAATTTTTAAAATTAATGTAATCTCATTGCAAAATGTAAAAACATTTTTAAGATGGCTAAGTTAAATGTATTGCATCCTAAAAGCTATGTGTTCATTCGTGTATTTTTGCTGACTCTAGACGCATGCTGTTTGGTGCGTGACATGATGCAAGTAGTCCTAATGCATACGAAATGGCATGCCCAAATCACATTGCCAGGTGGTTGATTCGCAGGCCAACCCACCATCCGTGGATTTTAGTGTTCCTTCCAACTTACCATCTTAAGTGGTTTTTAGAGAATTGCCCCAATAGGGATGAAGCTATTACCATGGGTAGCATGGTAAGACCTAGATTCAAGACCAACAATTTGTTTGCCTAACTTATTTTTGGCGATGTTAAGGCATTCTAAAGAATATCTTATTGTATATTTTATTTATATGATAATATACTGTTTAGCAAACCTACAGTTGGAAATAATCTCAAAGTTATGGGTAATCTGACCTTGGCTGAGATTGATTGGCTAAAGTGGCCATCAGATGTCTTAATCTGTGGTCTGGCCATTTCTAGAGTATCAAAACTACTCATCATTCTCGTAAAGTTTTTAAACATCTTATTATCATTGCAAGTCTTTCAAAATGATGTTTTAAGCTTGTCTGTATTTCCTAAGTTTATTTTAAATATGCTGTTCTTAAATCCTTCGTCACTTTCACTTTTTCTACCAAACACCAAATGGCTTGCCCCTTGTTGAATTGAAAGGTTGAGAAGCACGTTGAAAGGTCAGTTGAAATTGAAAACACGAGTGTGTACATAGCTAATTATCGAAGTATAGTTTATTTCATAACTTTTCACATCTTAGTTAAATTATCTACAAGTGGCCATCAAGCTTTTGTAAATAATATGTTTTAGAAGTGTAAACTGACTATTTATTTATTATTAGAATAATGTAGAGTTTGTTTTTTATGGTAGATAATTAGTTTATTTTTGAATCCATACCTCTAACTTTCTGTATCTAAATGGTGGAATTATTCTATCTGATGAATATCATCCAGGTCTTCAGGAGATGCCGGTGGCTGTCGTATGTTTGCAATATGGAAATTAAATGTTAAAGCCCAAGATTATATTGTTGGAATCAAATAAAATCCTATATTATCAATATCATTGACTTTGTTTTCTGCCTTTAAAAAACTACCTTTTATTGGCGCTTTTTTTCACTTAAAAAATCCTTTTTTGCATGTACGAAAATGTAAACTTTTATTTTGTAGAAACTATACAAAAAGAAATCAAGTGCATTACAGTGACGACAACTTTAAGCTGCGCGCGCACTACGGCGGCACGGCACGGACGGGCGGGCGGCACGGCAATTTTTAAAAGTTAATAACATTGAATGTCATATGAGTGCGCCCACTACGGCGGTACGGCCGGCAACGGACGTTCGGCAGCTTCCGCCGTTTGTTAAAAAGTCCGGGAGACAGAACTCCAGGACATTTCCGAGCTGCCGTGACGCCCGTACCGCCCGTACCGACCGGGAGTACTGCACTCCGACCGGGCGGGCGGCACGGGACATCCGCCATTCTCAACTGATCTCTGTCAAAGTAGCAGTGTTTTCGTGTGTTGTAAACATAGATGTTAGTAAGTTGATTTTTCTCGTTGAGAAAAACCCCAAACTGTACAACATGCGACATCCGGAATATTTTAATAACGTCCGGCGTGACAGTATATGGGCAGAAATATGATCTATTATGAAACAATCAGGTAAGTTTTACACATAATCCTTCTACAAGATCAGGAAACAAGGTGTGGAACTCTCCAAAACTTAGTCTTTTCCTGTTTATGTGGTGTATCTAAAATCTTTGCTTGCACCTTCTTGTCACCTCTTCCTCTGCTAAAATTAAACCTACTATCACCACTTTATCTACATCCATCTTTACTCACAAATTTTAGCTCGCAGACTGTCAACTGTCCTAAATTGCGGATGTGCGGATGTCCCGTCCCGTCCGTCCGTGCCGTGCCGCCCTAGTGCGCGCACCCCCTCTTAAAAATGCCGTCCGTGCCGTACCGCCCGTCCGTGCCGTGCCGCCGTAGTGCGCGCGTAGCTTTACTCCATCTCTTTACTGGGGATTACCTTCTTTGTTGGGCTGGTGAAGTACAAAAGTATGTTATTTTGAATAAGGCACTGTCATAGGCTACTTAAGCTCAACTCATCATGAGATGTTCCAAAGCAACAATGCTATCAAGTTTATATAAAGCATAAACATTTGTTTGTGTATGTAAAACTGCATTATAGTATTATGTTGACTTATTTATTTAAACATGGATTGTGTTCATTCTTTATTTTCAGAATGCTGGACTGAACGTAATTTGGGATGAGACTTGTTTTGTGAATTAATTGTGATTGTTGACAATATTCTCTACGGTTTTACAGAATCATAATCATGTAAGGTAAATTGGGGTATTTGGTATTTGGGCCATAATTTTTCAACGTGGTACAGAGTGTTAGTATTTCTGACTTTAAAACTATCTCATAGCCAAACTACACATAACTATTTAACTCTAGTAATTGAAAAATAAACTCAAACCCGTAGGTACAAGTTACATTGAACTTAGTTGTAATGACAATTAATTTTTTATTTAGAAAAATATATTTCAAGTCTGGTGAACCCTCAAGTTACCCCTTAAAATTGGGGCAACTGGACCAGATGGTTCTAAATATCATAAGAGTATGTGTTTAATTTAATGTGAGGTATCTGGGTATGTCTAAATATACATTTATCCTTAAAAAAATCACTGACAGTAATATAAATTAAACAATTTTGAAAAATAGAAAAGGTGTTAGAGATCTAGTTAGAGCTCCTTGTAACAAAGATCAGGTTCCTGAGTAAATAATATACACATCATATATCAACACACTTATATTTATATAAAGGCTAGAATTGAACAATAATACTTTTCCTTAATATAAAAATTGTATTATATTTTTGTATACCGGTATAAAAAACTCTTGATTAGTGTATGTTTTGTGTTTTACATATCCCGAAATGATTGTAGTTCTTTTATTGTTTGAAATTTGTTTTGGTTTCTCTATAGCCCCCACTATATATTCCCAATCATACTTACAGCTAACTATCTTGTTTCTCTGGCCATTTCCAGACCTTCAAAGATTTCTGCATTGCTGATGGCTCTACTTCACCACCTGAGGACCTTAAAAATGTTCCTGGAAAATATTCACCTTCATACTTGAATATAACATAATATAAGAACCACAAACTGATCCATCCCCGCTCTGTATTTTTAAGTCTAGTATTTAATACAACTTATTCAGACTTATCATCACTCTCGAAAGGACATAAACGACGAAGAACACGATATACCCCTCCTGCAACATTCAACCTTATTCTTCTACATTACTACATTTAGGTGTTTCTACATTGTCATGAAATCTTTCCCTTTCTTCCAAACAATTAGGTTCCGGATATATCCATCCACAGGTATTATTCTCCAACTCCTTTTTGAAATTTTAATTAGCTGAAGAAAGTCATAAGGAATGATTCCCGTTGCAAAGCATTTAAAATTCCTCATTGTCTTTCATTTTTTTTTTTAAATCTTCAAAAATGTCTTTTAAATTATACAAATCATTACTGCTTGCAGATTCAGCAAAAATCTTGTTTTCTTCAATGTGAAATTATTTAACTTTTTACATTTGCTTTTGATTACTTATAACTGTTGTTGCCAGGATGTTGTTCTTTAAATCTTGTTTTAATGTTGTTCTGTGTTTGATGTAAGATAGCTGAACCAAGTCAACACCTCTTCCTTGGGCAAGCCACACCCATTTTCTCCAGTATTTAAACGTTCTGCCACCTCATTTTCTTCGTTGAGGGACATAAGATTCTACTACTCCTGTTCCACCCTTTCCTTCCTTGAAGTAAGACCAGTCCCACATGTCCCTCTAATTCAATGTTTTAGTGTTGAACGTGGGGTTTTGTAAAATGTGGATTCACCCCGAGTTGTCCTAATTACATTCTGAATGTCTTCAAGGCCCTTTTCCAACCTCTGTTGAATATGCGATTAACCTTCTCCTTTTTGTGTGTTTCCTTGAGTTCTCACCATTTTCTGAAAACATAGAATTGTAAATAATAAACTAAAATTACACATTAAAAGCCCCACAAGTTTAGTATTTTTAACTGTAATTTATGTAGGCCTAACTATAAACTTATTCATCAGAAGATAAAAAAAATAATGGTCTACTTAAATTTTGTGTAGGCCTAAAACTCTTGTAACCAAAAACGTTCACTTTACTGTTCTTATACAGTAGAACCTCGATAACGAGACGCTCTATAACAAGACACCCTGGTAATTGTGTCGACCTCCAGTCAACGCTCTAAAAATATATTTTTTTATCTGTTCGTTTTTTAGCGCTGATTCTAAAAATTATCATTTTTTGCGGAAAAACACCGTACTCACACAGTACTCATGTTAAGTTAAATCGTGCGGAATTTCACGACAAATTCAACGGTATATTTCTCACTATGACCCGACAATTTAACCTCGCAAAAGTTCGCCAACTGTTTGTAACGCTGAAAACGGAAAATCACTTTTTTGCCCAAAAGTCTTGTTGTGAGTACTCAAATTGTGCTTTATTTTATGATGAATTCAACCTGTAAATTTGACAAGGTCTAAAATCTTGTTGGTTAAATCTGTTTGAATGAGAATCATAACAATAATATAAATATATCTAAGAATACATTAGTTTACTGTATAACAAACGTAAATACTCTTGCCACAGCAAACCTGCAGACTATGCCAGTTTCCATTTAACTGGTTTGATTTTCACTAAATTATTCCATTGAAACTGTCAGAAATCTGTATTTTACTGTATTTAATACGGCATTCGGTGACGTAATGTGTTTTTGGACATCTACCTGCAGTGTGTGTAGTGTAGAGATTCCCAACATTTACATACGCGGACACTACAGTGTAGGACATTTTCGATTTATATTCAAACCGTATTTTATTTTTATAGTGTTCTTTTCGTTCTTTTGAAATTATTCTTTTTTTTTTACAAAAACAAACTAGTAGTTTGCAGGCCTGGGCCGAGCCCCTGGGCATTCCCCCCCCCCTCCCGACGCCCCTGAACACCATGTTCGCTGTAGTAACTGGGTGCTTAGGCGATATGGCCCAGTTACCCCTGATATGTGGCCCAGTTCCCAGTTACCTGAAAATAAGCCAAGCTCAAGGAGTAACTGGGCCTTCAGCGCCAGTTTTACGATACTGACGAAATGAAATTATTCTATTATCTGCCATGGTGTGACGTCAGACGTCATAGACAAACATGATCAACCTGTCTGCTCCTGCTGTCAAGTCTGAAAGCATTCCTAACACAGTTACTTTTTTTTAACTGTTGGGGAACAGTTTGCACATGAAGAAACCCTAGTATTAGGAAACTGTTCTAAACTAACCTAACTAACCAAAACTAACTTGCTGTAACGTTTTAAAATTTCGTCAATAACTGAATATGCTCGACGTTTTCTGTTTTTAAAATTAATTCTCATAACGCTTCAAAATCACAAAATTTTAAAGAAACCTCCAATTTTACCGAAATTAAATGCGAGAGCCAAATTTTTATTTCGGCGAAGTTGGAGCCATTTTCTTTGAATAGCCAGCATCCATAAAGTAACCATAACAACAACAAGAGTGACGTCATGCCATGGCAGCCAATAGAATGCTCTCAATTCGTCGTATCGAAAACTGGTGCTGAAATAAAGATTGTGTGAGCCGCACCTCAAAACATAATGAGTACACCCATGTGAAAAATAGGTTTTTATTCAACGATGTTGTTTAATAGTAAAACATCAACGTATGTGATAAAACCACTTACCATATGTTTAGAAAATAATCATGATAACTGGTAAAAACTGTAAAATACAATCCAAATACTTACATATATTATGTTTATTTTCATATATGGTTTAAGAACTGTGGTGCTATCAGATAACAAAATACCCCGAATGCATTAACATTGACCATAAACTCGTATTAGATTTATATTCAATGGGTTTGCTTTTATTTTAGTGGATAATTATCTCTTGCAATATTGCATGTACCATGCAATCATAATTTACATGGTATAAATATAGGCTATGATAATTAAAAACATGGACAACATTCTCGTGAATGAATTGATTTATGTATGAATTCTGGTCCAGTCAATTAACTTCACTATTAACCATGTCAAGCGTTACCAGAGCCATTGACTTGGGATACTGTAAGGAGACCTCAATATATTTTTTTTAAATTCTGGAACCTGATTTCGATGAATGGTTTAACACACGAAAGCGTTGATTTTAGAATTTCTTTTAAGACTTCAATCCCGTTATTTTACATGTGTTTTGTGGTAAACATTCAGAGGATCAATTAGCACAGTGGTTACGGTGTAGTCGGAAATTTTTCAGTGGGGGGACGTTATAGATATATAGGTTCTTTGCAAAAAGCGGATTGGGAACTCCGTTCCCACATGTTCCCGCTTCACTACACCACTGAAATTAGAACTAATTATTCGGAAGAATAATTATGCACAGTATTTAAATGGTTTAGTTAGAATTTTCTCATTTTTTACTTCTGGGGGATGTCTACAGGGGGTATCTAACCTGGTTTCCTCCCTTTAAATACTAGGGACCTGGGACATACATACATACTGTTCTCAAATAATCTCTTTATCAAATAATGGTAAACAAAATTAAATATTACAGTTAATCAGATTACAAACTAGTATAGCATTACTGCTGGCTACGAGTAAAATAAAATTCTTCAGTGAAATCTGTCTCATCCAGGGACGGAAGGAGGGAAGGAAGAGATAACAGATAACAGATGAGCTGGCCGCCTCCCACGAGCCACGAAAGACACGCCTTCTCAGTTCCTTTCAATGGGGCTTGTGCCTTGCGCCACATCCGAGCCTACCTATTTTTTGTCGTCTTGAACTCGTAGCTCGGAGAAAATTTTATTTTTGCGACAAGTGCCATTAAATATTCCGAATGAGGGAGAAAACGCGTGTGCTGTGACAGATCTTTTATCGAGGACTTTAATCAGGTTCGTAAAAGTAGTTTTCTCTTTTATCTGCCTTTAGTCAACACCTGTTTATTAGCTTCATATCAAGTGTAAACAGGTGTAGTTAAAAATAATCGCTTTACAAGTGAGAGGTTATTCACCTTCCCTTTCAAACTATAACTAGGACAATACTCTATAAATGCAATTTTTAAGTTGTCTTCATAAATATATTATGTAATAACCGCCTTAAAACGTGACCAATCTATGAATAAAAATTAAATAGTGTAGTAAGTGAAACTATGGTTATGGTTATACTTGAACACCAGAGCAAGAAGGTTATGTTTTGAAACTTCAAATTCGGATTTAACTTATTTACTTTTCACAGGTATTATTACTATAACAAATTTGTTCTGAATTGTTTAACTCATGTTATCACTGTATTTAATTGCATAATGTCCTAAGATCAAAAGCAACAAGAATATTGCATTCTCATAAAATTATTGGTTAGAATGTCAAATTAATTCAAGCAGTAAACTAGGCTAGCTTACTCATTTAATGTACATCTATGCATCTAATTAGCTTAGTAAACATAACCATTCAGCTTAGTAAATTATTCTATAGTAGGCCTACAAAGCTACAAGATAATATTAATGGCCCCAATTTTTATACCATAATTTGACTTTGCCTAAACTTATTCTCAGAAGAAAACTAGGCCTAACTTATCAGTTTGTTTAGTGTATAAAAGATAAATGGCTTACACAACTTTCTCAGCACATTAGTTTCTTATCATTTCTAGTGAATACTCATCTTTTGTGTCAAAATGTAACTTAGTCTATTGTAGCCTACGGCCTATTGATAGTAACTTAGGCCTACGAGCCTAAAACACTTATCCGGGTATCAGTGTTAAAACGATCAATTTTGGATTAATCTTACGCCTATGCTAAGCTAATTAGGCCTAGCTAATTTGGATAACAAGCATGAGAGAAGTAGGAGTTGTTAATGTAGAAAGGTGGGTTTCAATCCATTACTTATTTGTAATCATAGAGATAGGTCTAACTTAGTTAACGAAAGTTCACTTGGGCTGAAAATATATTACTCCAGCAATAATTCTTTGCATGAAAACTACTGTACCGTGAATAAGTTTAGCTATTAGAAATAAACTCCTAGTAGGACTAATTGTTTGAAGCTTACTATGTAAAAAAATGTCTCGTATAATTTATTGACTGAAGCCCATTCTAATATCATGCTGAAGCGATTGCAAAAAAACATTTATCCTCAGAAATGAAAAGCTACAAAAGACAATAATAACATTTTTAATTGTATAGGATATTGGCAACTTATATATTTTCAATCAAGACAAAAGAAGGATAGTACAGTTACGAGATTGAACAGTAGTAGGCCTACTGATAGTTCTGGAGCGCTGTGCTATGGCAAACCAAGGGTTGGGTCCATGTCCTAAGCTACGTATTGTTCATCGATATGGTGTCAAATCCTTTATTACTTCCTGTTTATGTATTGCATTGTAAACAAAAAATAATGGTTAAGGCCTAATTTTAAAAACAGCAAGAAGTATGTATTTGAAAGTTCACGAGAAACATAGCTATGTATGATTCATTGATGTGATATGTGACAATATAAAATATGTAATACGAGGATTTTTAATGCTCTCTCTAAAAATGAAAAACTCGACTAGTGTAGGGTTGCGCTTCTACCAAAAAACATCGTAAGTAGTCGTCAAAACAGTTTACCGGACATTACTGGAAATCACTCAAAAGGAAATGACTATTTCTGTTTAAATTAGACCGACTCTGAAGGATTATCAGAACTAATGAGACCAGTGATAGTCAGATAAGCAGGTCATGCCCCGGCCTACTGAAGGGTTCCATTCATCTCAACTAGGCCTAAGGTCAAAGTCCAACACAGACCTCTCAACACCTAAAAATTTTATAGTATTCCAGTAATTGAAATCGTGGACAAATTTGGTAATTCTTAATGTTTGTAAATTCCAGCTAGAATCCCTGGAATAGACAGAACGAGAAGAGGCTAGAATAGGCTAGAACTATAAACGATAAAATGTCAGGGGTGTTTTATTTCAATTGGTTAGTCCTTTGTCAAACATTGATCTCACCTTTAAGAGTTTTGTTATTAACCAAGTAAGAATTAGTGTTTTATCCTTTTTCAATGTGTGGATTTTTAAAAATCAGTAACAGTATTACCGGTATATAATTCTGAGATAAATTAAGTTAGGTATGTGTTATGTTCATATATTTCAATTACCTTTGAGATTTTGCAGTGATTTTAGCTTTTGATCTTTTATCACAAACAATAAACACCCTATTTCACATTATTCACGTACAATTAATTACTCCATTCAAAGATAAAATAAAATGATAAAACAATGGATTAAGCTTGCTATTCCCTGGGAGAACCCTATTGTGTAGCTCAAACCTCATTGATATCCTAACTATTGAGTATATTTTATTTTTTTAACTAGGACTATTAATTTGATTTTAAATACATGACAAAACACCTGTTCTTACGTATAAGTTAATTGTAGGCTACTTTATAAAGAACATTATAGTATAAATAAAATATGTCTATGTCTGCCATCTTTCAACCGGGCTCCGCTTTATATGTAGACTATCCTGTTAGAAAAGCTCCTTTTTTTGAAGGGGTTATTTTTAATCATAGCGTTGCCTTGTTGAGTCAACTTGTTGTCAACAGGTTTGACATCACTCGCTATTTACATTTGTTTCCAATTAAGGTTACAACACAGCAATGAGATAATTTACAACTTCTTACCCGTACAACTACATAATTTAACACTCTACCATGATGGCCTGGGAAAAGAAAAGAATCAGAGAATTTTGAAGTGTAAAATTAATTCAAAGAGATTAGCCTACAATTTAATTTTTTTTTTAATCAGTAATTCAGTATTTTAAATATTAAACTTTTTTTTACTTACCGTACTTGATACTTGAATCCTGCATCTTTGACAGATCTAGTCTGATAGATTGCGTCATAATTTATAATATAATAAAACTATATACAATATCTTCATCTATTTCTATTCTCCTCTTCATCTATTTCTGTGTTTTGTTGGTAGTTATCGGTTGCCTAGCTTACTGCATCGGTGGCTCAGTATGTAGCTCAACAGACTGTGAAACCGAGGCAGCAATGTTGTGTGTTCGACTCCTGGTGCCGTTACTTAAAATTTACCAGTAAAATTTTTTCTTGTCTTGTACTCTTACTCCATACGCACAGGCCTTTGTGGATCAATTGTGTTAAACCATAACTATAATTTAGGAACAGCGTGAACAATAAAAACTGAATAATTTGAACCGAAATTCTAGATAATACTGTTGTTGCCAATGATAGTAACTCACATATCATTATTATATTTTCTATAGTTTAGCTCAAGTTTCGCATATGTTTGACAAATGTTTAATGTTTCAGGTCCTTCATTTAGGGATGGCGGTGGCAGCTTACCAAATGTACCTCATATCTGCAACAATTTTAATCACCTTTACCAGTGAGTAAATAATAGCCTTTTTACAATATTTTAAGTTTATTAACCTACAAAGATGACATTAAAATTTAACCTACCGGTAGTCAAGTCTGTAGATAACAGCAGTGTCATAATCAACACTTTACCAAATTTGAGACACTGGAATGATGAATAAATTATATTTATTGGCACAAAATGTACTGAATATCACAGAATGTATGTACAGGTGCTTCGTTATGAATAAAATTGTCCTTATAAACCAAGGAGCTGGAACTCAAGTTCAAGCTACAATTCCTCTCCATCCCCCAACATTTCTCTAATTACTACTCCTTTACTCAGTGCCTGTACAACGGAACTCACATCTCTGGATTCAATATATTTTACATGAATAAAGATTGATTGATTGCATCAGTATTTGTTTAGATAATCAGCTTTAAAATAGTTGTAAACTCAACAAATTTTATAGAAGAGGCCCTAAAACGCTCTTTGACTATTCCCTTTAGATTTAGTCTTGGTTATAGTTCTGATCCTGTGTCTACTGTCTAGACTAGATTGCTCAGAAAAATGTGTAAATTTTTAAATGCATGACAATTTTCTTTCCTAACATGTATTTCATTGGCTATACTATGCTCGATTTGTTTACAAAATAGTGCAAGCCCCCATTGCTGAAACAATTACAGATCAAAAGTTATTGCAGCTTTTGTGATTTTCCCTCTAAAATATCATAGTTACTCCCACCGCTTACTACCCATGATAAAGGTTGTTGACAAGCTAATGGGAAAAAGCATGTGTCAGATTGTTGATACTGTTTATTTAAAAATTGAATTGCAAATTTTAAAGAAAAAAGTATTTTTGGAAACTTCTATAAGAATAAAATATTTGATCTAAAAGGATAGTAGAAAAGGTTTTTGTTTGTAGCTTTGTACTTATTTTCATTAACTGATGAACATTAATCTAATCTTTGTCTTGTTTGGAGTGGATGAGTCGGTTCAGAGCTGGGTGTGAGTAACAAAATGTTGAGGAATGTGACAATGGAAGTGTGAGAAAGGGTGATGGAAGTGGGTGAGAGTCCACATCTGGTCACCATATGTCTCCTGCACATGGCTGACAATAGGTTCTCTCTCTCTCTCTCTCTCTCCCCCCCCCTCTCCCCCCTCATCTGTCATATCCCTGGTGTCCTTCAACCTAATGATCCCTACAATGTGAAGATTTATCTTTTCCTAATACCCATAGCTGGGTTTTCAAATAGAAACGCTCTTGTGTAACCTGTGTAAAAATAACACCACTGAATTAAAAATTTTTGTTTTGGAATAGTAAATAGGGTTTTCCATTTATTACATCCCTACATCCTTAATTATTTTTGTTTATCTTAGATTTGATCTACCTTTGAAAATCCTCGCTTGCGGTAGTAGCACCAGCATTGGTTGAAATACTTTAATTTGATTTTTTGAGTATAAATTATGACCCAGTGTGATAAATTCATAGCTGTTAAAATGTTAAAATATATTTAAACTTACAGTGCACTGTATTCTTGTGTATTTTCCAGATTGTTTTTAGATTTATTTACTATTGGAATCACAGTAAAACGGTCCTGTGACATGTTTTTGAAATTGATTAAACATTTTTTAAAATAAAATAAATTAATTGCTCAATTTTTAATTTAAAATTAAAAGTAATAAAAATATGCGTACGAAAATAGTTTTTAATTAACCCTCTAGATTTTGCTATTGCTCAGGACACTGTACTATATAATGTGCATAATATTAATATTATTGTATTTAAATTTGATGAAGGAAAATTGACATGGCTTTTTGTACAAGGAGATCTTCAATACAGTTAGTTCTCATCTAATTATCATTTATGTTTTCTAAACCATGGTGGACCTTTAGCTTGAGATGAACCAGTAGCGGCTAGCCCATAAGGACTCTCGGACGCCGCCCTCCCAACAATACAGAAATCAATATTTTTTTTATTTATGTAATAAAAAAATAATATGTCGTAATTAAAATTAAATTACAATTACTTACGACTACTTAATCAATATGATAATAATATGAAATGAAATAGTTTTAAATTTTGAATCCAGTAATGACTGTTTTGCGATAGTCGCTTTCATAATGTGGATTGCGGACGGCGGCAACCTCCGTCCCAAACTCAATGCATGTAGTCTTATGGTAGAAACACCTAACAGCGCTGAGGGTGCCGTGACGTCATTCCAATGCTTTACAATAGGGACTCTGGGGCAGAGTCCAAAGCTGCGCACGCATCCATAAATCAGGGCAGCCACCCTAAACTGGATAATTCTGCATCACACACGATTAGGATAGGAAGAACCATGTTGGCAGCGCTGGAGCCATCATCCACACTGTCACTACCATAAACATTAACTAACCTCACTTCTTTCCATGTCCATGACCACAGTTCAGTTATAGTTTAGTGCCAAACGACCTGTTGTTTTGTGATCAATAGTGTTTAGTGATAGTGATGGAGGCGTAAGGAAGGCAGCAGTAGTTTGTTGAAGATTGAAAGAGCTAAGTAGAAATTATTAATAGTTATACTTAATTGATTGAGTTAGTTAGTTGGTATCTTTGAGTCAATAAGTTACGTCTGTAGTTTTAGTATAGGCTAACCTAATCAACCCGAAAACTAAGTAAACTAACCATAGGTAAAGTGACTCGGACAATTTTAGTTATAGTTACTTATTATTAGTCTTAATAAGTTATTACGGGTAAATTTGCCGTGGGTTGAAGGCCTAAATCTAAATAATAATGGACGGCGGCATTTCGTTGTCGTCGCTAACGTCACTAACGAAGTTAGCCTGATTATCAATGAAGGGATCAAAAATATTGACCACAGAATTTCTTTGAAAAAATTAGGACCTCCTAGACCTTTCATGAACATAAACCAAATTCAAAACAGTTCAAAGAATAAGAATAGCTTCACACGAAAATTTTCGCCACATATGTACAATCATGCAGATTGGCTATGTGGTTGTTCAATTAAAAATTCATTTTTCTGCTACACTTGTTTGGTCATGGGGGTTCAAGATAGAGCATGGACTGTAGACGGCATTTCAGACCTTAAACATCTACTGGAAAAAGTAAAAAAACACAAAACAAGTGAAAAACACATAAATGCGTCAATAGAATATGCTGTTTTAGGTAAAGTTGATATTAGATGCCAATTGGACAATGCATATAGGTTAAAAATACAAAAACAAAATGAAGATGTTTCGAAAAATCGATACATTCTAAGTAAGCTAATTGATGCAATTAAATTTTGTGGAGCGTTTGAATTAGCATTACGAGGACATGATGAACGCGAAAATTCAAAAAATCCTGGCATATTTCGTGGTTTGGTTAACCTTATGGCGGAGCTGGATGTAACATTGCAACAGCACATAAATCAAACAAATAACCGAGTGTTTTTGGGTCTGTCTAAAACCATACAGAACGAGTTATTGGACTCAATATATTACGTTTGTCTGCAAATGATTCGTGACGAATTGACACAAACCGACTATGTTGCTATTGAAGCCGACGAAACAACAGACTGTGCCACTTTATCCCAACTAGTATTTGTTATTAGGTACGAGCTGAATGGCACGATTCACGAGCGATTTATCACTTTTATTAGACCAAAAGGCCATGATGCAGAATCAGTTAGCGAAACAATTTTTGAAGTATTAGAGCAATTAAACCTCGACAAAACTCCTGATAAAGTCATTGCCCAGAGCTACGATGGGGCTTCCGTAATGAGTGGCCAACACACGGGAGTACAAGCGCGTGTAAAATCTAAATATAAGAATGCAAATTTTGTCCACTGTTACGCACATCAATTAAACTTAATCATTGAACGCAGTGCTACACAAAATAAGCAGGTTAAGATATTCTTCAGTAATATCGAGGGGTTTTCATCATTCTTTTCCCAGTCAACAAAGAGAACTGCAGTTCTCGATGAGATAGTAAAACGTCGTATTCCAAAAAGCTCAGGTACTCGGTGGAATTTTAAATCCAGAATTGTAAGCACAATTTTTAATTATCAAAGAGAGTTGGAGGAATGTTTAAGTTACGTACTCGACGATGACACCAATGACTATGCCACAATAAATAAAGCTGTTGGCCTAAGAAGTATTCTAAAAGACGAAGACTTTATTTTCTGGCTAAACTTCAATCAAATACTGCCCCACAGTGACATTCTGTACAACCAACTGCAGCAAACAACAATTGATTGCGTCAAGGCGTTTAAGTTTGTCGGCGATTTCAAAACTGTGGTAGATCGCGTAAGAAACTCGACCATGTTAGATCAACCGAGAGATAGTGAACCCGAATCGAGCAAAAAGCGGAGAAGACACGACGATCAAAAACGTGTCCTCGCAAAGGAAGTGTGTGACATAATTACGTCGGGAATTGATGACCGTTTTACGTTTGTAAATCATTTGTCCGCGGCAAAACTGTTTCAGCCAAGTTTGTTTGGGGAGTTTAAAACCAAGTTTCCCGAAAAAGAGTTACACGCTGCTGCGGAACTATTTAGCCTAAATAAAACTGAATTGAAACAGGAGTTAAATGTTATTTACAATAGGGATGATTTTTCAACGGCCACAGGGTCATTAAGACTACTCAACTTTGTCTATGACAACAACCTCAAAGATGTGCTTCCAGAGTCAATCAAACTTTTAAAAATCATAAGCACAATACCTATGACTACTTCGGAAAGTGAACGTTGTTTCTCTACTTTGAAACGAATTAAAACGTTTACCAGGAGTACCATGAAACAAGACAGACTAAGTGCGCTTGCTATGTGTTCTATCGAAAAAAAGCTGTTGTCAACTTTAAACTTCAACGAAAAAGTAATAGATCACTTCGCCGGGCAGAAAGAAAGGAGGATGGATTTCACATTCAAACAGTACAATTAAAGTTAGGCCTTATCCTCATGGTATGGTTTTCTACTCATATTGCCGTGGATGTTTTAATATACAATACAATTAGTCAAGCCTTACCCTCATGGTTTGGTTTTCTATTCGTTATTGCCGTGAGTGTTTAAATTATACAATTCAATCAATGTCAGGCCTTACCGTTTGGTTATCTACTCATTATTGCCGTGGATTTTTTACTATTAAATTATCAATTGTTAGTTATATTTTCAATACAGTGTAGTCCCGTTTTACAAGGCCGTAGGCAGGGAGGGGGGTTAGAGGGTCAAACCCCTCCCCCAAAATTCCGAAATTGAGCAGTACAAATTAAAACTAGGTTTAAAAAGTTGAATTATGAAATAGAAACCACAATAGAGGATTAATTGTTATGTTTTGCAATATCTATTCATATTTAATATAGGCCTAGTTCTATTAGGATAATAAATCTGATCTATTAAATAAATTGGTAAAAACTATTTAAAAAATATACTTTACTTTACTCTACTTATGTCTATTTGCTCATGCATGACAAACAACAGGTGAAATGGGAGTTTTTGGACTATTATTGGACACAGTTCTAAGGCGTTAAAATTGCTTCAGAAAGTCACCAAACGGCTTTAAAAATTTAAAATCCCCCGGACCCCCCTCTTTTGTTGGGGGGTGCTCCACACCCCCCCAAACCCCCCGGAGCCCCCCCCTAGACTAGGTCCTAGAGCCGCCACTGAGATGAACTACAAACCATTGGATCACATTACTATTCCATATGCCTCATATTCCAACAATTATCATGTATGATTGTGTTACATAATACTTGATCAAAAGTAAAGGCTCAAATCTCATAATGATGTGTTGTTAAAATGGTGTGTTATGTAGTAACAAATTTTTAATTCTCGGACATCTTGATATTTAGATCCAATTTTTGTTTCAAGTAGTCTTTTTTATTATTCCGAGAAATGCATGTTTCAACTGATTTAATTTGGCATAAGATACATTGATATGTTTGGAATTTAAAAATTGTATCTTTGCTAAAATTATTTAAAAATAAGCGGTAACTTATTCAAAAACTGACACACATATTATTCCATTAGCTTGTTGAAACCCCTTATAATGGGTAAGCGTGGGGGAGGGGGGTTATGATATATAATGAGTAAAATAAAAAAAATTGCAATTACCGTAATTGTTACAGCATAAATGCAGCACTTTACAGCATGGGGGTTATAGGCTACAATTTTATTCAGGGTTAATAGAAACATAAGTTAACATTCTAAATTTTTATCAATTATTTTAGCTGTTTTTGAAATCAAATTTTTCCATTATTCTATACGGTTTATGGAAAAATTGCCTTAAAAATTTAAAAAAATCTAAATTAAAAAACATCTGGAGATACCATTGATTAGTACCCAACCCACGAACCAAAATTTAGCAAAAAATTTCTCCATATCGGTTTATGTATAGGGGAGAAAGTAAAATCATTCAAATTACTTATATTCAAGTTAAGTGTTAAAAGATAAATCGTTAAAACACATAAACGAGTGTATGTAGTTAATATATTTTACCTACTACCGGGTTTTTTTTAATAGCTATTTCAGTTCAGTTCTTAGAATTGAAAAGAGTCACTTAACAGCATTGTTTACTTACTTAACAGCATTGTTTTACTTAACAACACAAGTAATAGACCAATGAGGTTCTGGGATTGAGAGAAAAAAAGTAAAATTGCAATGCTTCAAAATTCAACTAATCAGCTGTTAAGACCAATTTAATTGTTAATTAGTGGTGCAATTAGTTTTTAGTACAATGAGTCGTTACATTACTGTCAGTGGCAATGAGAGGTTATAAACGAAAACATAACCTCTCTTAGAAGTTATGAGTAGTAGTAATTAAAAAAACGGTTGTAGGTAAAGTAGTGTACGCAACTCGTGTAAATTGTTTTAACGACACTCTTAGAAGTTTTTTAAATGATATTCGTGTTGTTAACACTACCTTTATGCGATCCTTGCGTAAACTACTATGCCACAATTAATATTAAATTGTATCTAAATTATATTTTCTTCTGTTTCAGGTATTAACGCACAAGGTCCATGGGACAATAGGCAATTAAATTACTCAAGAGGTAAGGCAAAATTTCTCATTAATAGATATTTTTTCTCTCTTATCAATTTATTAATTATGCTTTACAATTTTTAATCCTTCCTTTTAATAGGCTACATAGTCTTTCCTCAAAGTCTGTGGTAGATTTTATATAATAGATCACAAGACCTCTTAAACATATAGGCTACATCTATAAAATTTCCTCTTAAGGTCTTTCAACTTGGCTACACCAGGAAAGGTCAACATTTTTTTACCAGGCCATCTCTCGTATTAAATTATTGTTTGCGCCTTCTTCTCCTGTAGGTATTAATTCCATTTATACAGTGTGTAAATTAAGTACTGAAACAAATCTGTATTTTTAAAACCGAAATAGATAGAAATATTCTGTTTGTAGCAATAATTGTTAATAAAGGTTTTGCAATTTTTTACATCAAAAATATTGTTTAACCCCCATAACAGGGTAGAGGGTAGGGGGTGAATTATTTTTTTCAAATAGCAACCCCTATTGAGTCCCTCATTTTGAAGGATTTGTCAAAAGAAACAGAATGAAGCAAACCTGAGGTGGATATCTCAACCCTAGCAAAAATGGCAGGTATTCCAAAATTTGATTTACTGTATGCGAAAAAGCACCAATTTCACAAATAATGGAAACAAATCTGTATTTTTTAAACCGAAATGGAAAGAAATATACTGTTTGTGGAATTGATTGTTGATATATGTTCCACAATTTTTAACATCAACAATTTTTTTTCAACCCCTTTAACAGGGTGGGGGTGGGAGTGACTTATATTTTAAAAATAACAACCCCTATTGAATGACCCCTCATTTTGAAGGGTTTGTTAAAAGAAATACAATGATGCAAACCCGAGGTAGGTAGGTGCACCCCTAGCTTAAATGGCTGGTATTCCAAAATTTAATTTATGTGAAAGAGCACCCATTTTGGAATACCCGCCATTTTGGAATACCCGCCATTTTGGAATACCCGCTATTTTGGCTAGGGGTGAGATATTCACCTCAGATTTGCGTCATTATGTTTCTTTTAACAAACCCTTTAAAATGAGGGGTCACTCAATATGGGTTGCTAATTGAAAAAAAATGAGTCACCCCCTACCCCCTCCCCTGTTAGGGGGGGTTAAAAAATAATTTTGATGTAAAAAATTGCGGAATCTTTGTTAACAATTATTGCCACTAACAGAATGTTTCTATCTATTTTGGTTTTAAAAATACAGATTTCTTTCAATACTTAATTTACACACTGTATGTATTTTGCTGCCTCGAAAGGTCTAGGCTTTTTTTTCTTCTCCGTACAAATTTTCTTCTAGGTCAAAATCTAACGAGGCTGTAGAAACACATTCAGAAAAGAATTGACATAACCCCGTCTATTCCTGGCTCTTCAAACCAAATAAATTTATTTCTGAGATTAAAATCATCACACTATACTCTTATTTAAAACTGGTAGAACTCAAGCTGGTGCCATTTTATTTGAATCTGTTGTAGATATAAATGTTAATTTTTATCATAGTTTTATTTCTGTCTAAAAATCCATACTACAAAAACTACAATTTTCAAACCTTGTAATTTCATCCCACTATGTTTGAATTTTGATTTATAAAACTACGTGATTTCTTGAGTTTTCATTAAAAAAATGTTTTAACATAAAGCATAATTCCTCAGTTCTTTTCTTTAACTGTAATACTATAGAGTTTTGTCTTAAACCAGTTTAGTTGTTTGGTTTTATCTGTGTGGACAGCTGATAAGCTTCAAGGACAGCTTCCCAAGTGCAAACAGTTACAACTCAAGTCGAAAGAGTACTTCATTCATGTTGAGGCTTTCATCAATGGCATCAGCTCAATCCAGTAGTTCATATTGGGGTTAGGAAATATAGAATATGCAGCAAAAACTTTATACAGTAACAAAATACACCTCATGTGAAACATGATCATAATAGTCACTATTTAATAGTGGAACTTGTACAATTCACATTGTTACAATTCACAATAATGTAAACTCATAAAACAATACAGTGGTATAAAATAATTAATTCCCATTGTAGTCATTATTGTGCTTGGAAGGTGCTGCCTCCTCATTATTTATGTAAGGAAAACGACTTAAGTAATTTTTAAGGAATTTAAGATTAATGGTTATCCCTTATTTGTCGAGTTAAGCTACTGTTTGTACAGTGATATTATGGGAGAGGAAACACGTTTGAATGTGCAGTTTGTAGTTGACCTTTCATCATTATCATCTTATCTCAACTTCCTCTGCCCCGTCCCACACATCTCTCTTGTCACTCTAACATTGCTTACTTTTTTCTATTTCCTGTTTTTAAAGTTCTATTTAACCTTACAAATTTATTGAAAGGAAAATTCTGAAGTTTTCAACTCCTTAATTTAGTCAGACGTTCTTATGGTTAATTGTTATGTACTTATTGTAACAATTTCAAATTGGTTTATGTTGGAGTTTTGTTTTTTGTAATGTTTATCAATGACAGTGTTTAGTATAACCAGTAGAACTGTAACTTTAAAATCAGTGTTGTTATAGATTTTTCATTTTCACAAACTATATTTTATGTCAATGTCATATTTATGTGTTACTGAAGATAATACAAGTTGATTATTGTTTTAAAACACTTTTTGGATTTGACCACTGACCATGGACAGTTTAAAGCCCATTGTGAGCTATAAATTTCTTTTTTGCATCTAAATTTACTGGAGTTAAATATTGGTGGCCTGAACTTCTCATATATGTCTGTCAGTATCAAAATGGGGTCTTATAGAGTAGAATGCTTTAACTGTTAGTATACTAATAGACCTGTAATTAATCAAAACATTCAGTTCTGTGATTGAATTTAGTCATCCACAGTAAAAATAGAGGCCTTAGATAAGTCAAAACCAATCATCAAGATTCCTTGATGTGTTTGTGATTTAAGTATCAAAATGTAAAAATATTCCTCTCAGCTCAATAATAATTACTAAGTACTCTTTAAACAATTAATTTTCTTTAATTACCTCATAAGCGGTTATATAAAAGTCTATATTTAAATATTACGTACGTCCTATTCAAAGGGACGGAAATTGTTCATCAATCCTATGACATATGTTTGATTTGTTAGATAAGTTTGAAATGAAATGATATTTATTGGCAAAAACTGTACAGAGTTTTATAGGATGTACATACAGGTGCTTCGTCATGACTAAAATTGTCCTTATAAAAGTCACCGTTTCCTTCTTGGTCAAATACATTTAAAAATCATTAACAAAAAATATACTAGGGCCTATGTTTATAAATACAAAAAAAATCAACAGTTTAATAAACCACAGGGAAAATTGAACAGTAATCACAACAGAGGATAAAAACTATTTAACATAGTCTTAATTAAAATAAACAATATAAAACATTTGAGTATCAACAACAAGGTTTTAAAACAGATTTTTTGTTCAGTCAATGTTATGGAAGTAGGTACCCAAGGCTTATCACATTTCAGAATCATTCAAAAAGTCATTAACTTTGTAATATGTCTTTCTTATCAACAAGCTTTTAACCTTCTCTCAAAATTGTGTTGGGTTGAAGGTGTAACTTTTAATAGGGTTAGGAAATTTATTATACAGTTGCATTCCCATATAGTAGATACTTTTCTCTAAAGTTGTTGTGAAATGATGAGGGTACACAAGTAAATTTTTGTTTCTTGTAATATAACTGTGACTGGTTTTTTCTTGAGACTACCACATTAAATTGTTTCCTGACGTGACAAAGTACTTCGTGGATGTATATACTTGATACTGTCATTAATTTGATACTTTAAAAAATACCTTAACATGAGGTTCTGCGTTTTTTCCTGTCATAATTTTTCGATTTTTTTTGTGCTTATGGCGTTCCATTCCGCTTCTAGGAAAACAGTAATATTAAATTACCCAAGACAAGAGGAGTCCGCTCTCCGCGTTCCTCTCTCTGCGCTCCGCTTCCGGACCAAGGAAAACCCAGCTTAACTCTGATGAGTCCCATAACATTATTTCCATATTTTACTTATGGATGGAAATAGCCATAGTATAAAGTTAATTTTGTCTCCATACTGGTACAGTGTGTAAGGCAACTCATGTTGAAACATATTGAATTTAATATTTTACCTAACTGCATTTAGTTGGTCAGCCCCATTTGATTACTCTTGTAGAAATCCAGAATGTTTAATTTTAAACATTTTTGTGTAGCACACCAAAGGCATTCGCCATGTGAAAGAAGTTCGTGTTACCCTGCAACAGGAAACTTGCTTATTGGGAGAGAAAGCAAGTTATGGGCTTCATCAACCTGTGGGTTAAAAGGTCACAAGGTAAATTTTTCAATCAATATGTTTTCTCTAAAACATTTAGAGATTTTAAAACTTTTAAATATTTACTTTTAGTTTGAATCGTAGGGCTACTCAGTTTTAATCAATACCGTAATCTGCCAGGGAGTCCCATTTCATTCTGAACAAACATGATGACACTTTTGTTGTGTCTTCTTCAGATCAGAACAAAAAGCAAATTTACTTAAAAATACAAAGGTACTGTAACCTTCAATTCATTAAGTTTCCACTGTGGTTTACATAAACAACACCATAATAACCTATTCATTTTGCAGTACTGTTTGTTTTTGATTGAAATCATTCTCAACTAAAATCATTAACGTCATACCTTATTCTGGTAAGTAATCTATTGGGATTACTGCCAAGAGTTTAATTTACAATAGTATTAAAAATGGACAACAGTTACTTGTGTCTGTTTTTATTTTGTTTTTTGAAACGTTAAGATTCACTACTACTGTAGTTTTTTTAACATGTTTTTTACGGCACTACTAATCTAGTTCCTAAAATTCTTAGCTTACCTTCTTTCAATCTGTAGTTGTTGTAAGTGTATTTAACAGGTAAGATACTACAGTACACTCCCAATTATCCGAGACCCGGTTATCCGAGCCTTCGAGTAATCCGAGGTTGTTTTTTTTTGGCCTAAATATATATATTTATTTTCAGTAGGATAATAAAACACTTTGGTATTCTATAATCTCTATGATAATTACTTTATTATAAAATGTTTCTATTCAAAGAAACACAAAAATGGTAATTAATTTGAGATTTATTGAAACAAATACAGTACTTGGAATAAAATTAGAATGAACCGCAATAACCTTAAAAATTAAAATCCCACGAAACTAGGTTGGCTGGCTACCGATGGCAAACTGGACTGGACGAGCCGTGCCAGCGATCTGCAGAACATAAACAAACACAGTGTCAGTCAGTCTACATCATTATGATGTTTTGATGTAGACATGATTGTGTCAAGTTATAGATCAGGTCAAACTTAAACAAAATTTAATTTTATGTTTTTAAAACAAAAAAAATCCACCTTAGTGTTTTGTTTTAAGTAATGTAGTGTGTATTGGTTTATCATAATTCTAATACAGTAGACCCCCTCTTAACCGACCCTAATGGGACCGGACCTACGTCGGATAACTCAAAAGGTCGGTTAAAACGGGCAATCCCTAAAATCATAACATAATGAAATGCTATTCATTTGGAATTATATAATCAATATTTTGAAGTCATACTTGCATTAGTTATAAAATAAACTACTCTTATCTCCTTTTTAGTATTATTGATAGAAAAGTCACAAATAAACACAAAACATGGTTAAGTCTAATAGGCCTACTTTCAGTGGAATATATTATAATACTAGGCAACAGTCAATAAAATTCCTATCTCAATAACTTTAGTACTGTAATGTATTAATTTATGCTTTCTAAATCCATCGTAATACAGTACAGAACCTTTTGTCGAAATTAAAGATACAAGCAACCATTTTGTTACAAGGGATAGGATGTTTATTTATAACCTCTCACTGTAGGCTGGAGCGAGGCACAAAAACTAGCTTGACCTTGGAGTTGTTAACCCCTCTTCCCTGCCCTCCCTACAAGTTGCGTTGTTTGTTTACTCCAGCGATAAGATAATCAGTTCTCAAAATCATAACGCACTTTATGATATTATAAATTTGCCACACAGATAACATATCAGATCAAATGTGCTCGAGCTACGATAACGAAAGATGACGACAAACTGACAATAGGCCATGCTATATTTTTTGTGATCAACACAAAATAACTTATTCTTAGTCATATCCTGTGGAGATAAGCGTATGGTTCAGTTCTCATCACCCAGGGTGGGAGCGGAAATGCCGAGATTCCTAGAAAGCGGCGGTTAAACCGAGCTGCTCTCAAAGCAAAGTCGGTTAAAACAAACTGTATTATTTCACGATCCAAGGCGGATAATCCGATTATCGGTTAATACGAGGTCGGTTAAGAGGGGGTCTACTGTAATAGGCTAGGCCTACTGTGTTCAATGTTTTCAAGACGATTAAAAAGTGTTTAACATGTTTGTTGTGTTTTTTTCCTTTAACAATACTAAGTTTAAAAAAAAAGTGACATCTAAATAACATTATTATCATTTTTTTATTCACTATGTGTTGTTTAAAGATATATTTTACAAGTATTTGACTTCATAATAAGGTACCGTAATCCTAATCTCAAAATCGATGCGACCTCCGTGTTATCCTAGATTCTTGGGAACCGAGGTAGTCTCGGTCCCAGCAACCTCGGTTAATGGGAGTGTACTGCACATACAATACTTTACTGTTTTATTTATTTGTCATATTCGTTATGTACATTTAGCTTTTTTATGAAGGAATAAATGTTTGTTTAGGAACGGTATTGTATCGTTTCACATCTTGAGCACCAAGGGGAGGAAAGAAAGAAGTGTTTTTGGTGTGATTCAATGGCACAGACCAGCAATAACCCTCTTTTGAACCATCGGATAGAGAACATCGTGTACAGGAAGAAACCGGGGTATGTTATTCAATCTTTTACTAAAAAAATAGATCTCCGAGTATGATTTTGTTATATTGCAACAACATCCAACATCATCTATGGCGATTGTGGAAAGACCCATGATGATTTCTTACAATTATGGTGACAGATTTGCATATTTTAAGCATGTGTTAACTGTAGATGTAAATGCCTGCTGTAGTCGACTAATGATAGCATTTACCAAATGATATTTCTTGTTTTTTAAAGGATCAAGAATGTGTTTAAAAGAATCCTTGCAGAAGACATAAACAATATATTAAAAAAAATATTTATTTCTTACCCGACCTACTAAGGCTGGCTCTCTACTAGAATCTCTTATTAAATTATCAGCTAAAAGGTACAATATTTCCTGAAAATTACCAAACTAGAAAGAGAGAGCTCTAACTTCTTGATAGCCAACCATTATTTGTAACACTGGTACTTAATAATGGGTGGTGTAGCCAATACAAAAATTCTTGTAATATAGATCAACAGTTGATTTAAATGGTCCAAATACTTTCAAACTGTCTGAATTATAGCATTGCTTAATATTTATGTATAACTTTTCACCATACAATAACTACTAACCTATCAAACCAATTCAATTTGGAATATTTATTACCATTAACCAAAGAGAATTTATGAAAATTTTCCATTATAATGCATTTGTCTGGTTTTAATTTTACTTTATGTTCCAACAGAACAGAAAAAAGGTCTTGGTGGCAGTCGGAAAACGGGGTGGAGAATGTGACGATACAGTTGGACCTCGAAGCAGAGTTTCACTTCACACATCTTATCATTACATTCAAAACCTTCAGACCAGCTGCTATGCTTATTGAACGATCCTACGATTTTGGTAAAACGTGGCAGGTAATTTACCTATGGTTTTCAATCATAAGGAATTTCTTATCTTAGCATCCTTCTCTAGTTTACCAACTAGAAAGGTTTTATCACTGGTTTAAAATTTGTGAGGAAAGTGTTGATGTTATTGACTCTATTGCATGTCAGTTTAGGTTATCCTACATTAAAATAGTTTTCATAATTTTTAAAGCCACTCAAGATTTTTGACCTATGTCCTTATTTTTGTCCATGGCTTTGAAAAAAATCAGACATAATTTCTTTAAACAATGTAGGTTAAAAGTTTGTTTCATTGATTATTGTTTCACAATTTCATCAATTTTATTGTAACAGTGTTATTGTAACTTTTGATAAGAAATTTTGTTTTGGTTTATTTTAGTACCTTTAGTTCTACTATTAATAATCCTTCTGATCAAGATGTTAAAAACTATATTTTCAAAGTCCTTTTTGGTCTGTGTTTTGTTTTAATTTTTATTCCTGACATTTTTGTCCTCAGGTTTACAGATATTTTGCACAAAACTGCGATGAATCGTTCCCTGGAATTTCCAAAGATCCTCAACGAAGTCTTACTGAAGTGGTTTGTGATTCGAGGTATTCATCTGTCGCTCCGTCCACCGATGGAGAGGTTTGTTTCAATAATAAAGAAATATATATGTAAGTGCCAATGTTAGAACAGTTTGTTTTAACTTCATCTCATTCTTTTATTGTTGACATTTGGTTTGATAGTAAAGTAGAGTCGATTATCCAAAGCAAACAGGGATTGGGGATGTTTTGGTAACTGTTTTTTTTTTTCAGAATCTTGTTCATTGTCGTTGAAAACTACATACATTAACCTAACTTTGATTAGGCCTAATAACATTTAAATACATTTACATGAATTTTTTCTGGTTTTGATTGTCACACCTGTGATTGTAGCAATATTTGTGAGCATGTCATGCGGTCTCTGCTGAACGTTACTCGCAATGGTGGCAACTTCCTTGAGCATATCTTGTAGTTTCGTCGCCACCACTGATCGTCTCTCATAATCAAAATCGGTGATCGGCCTTTTGATTAACCGATGTTTCAGATGACCAGGTCTGATAATCGACGCGCTACTGTAAAATGTTGTTGACAAATGATCTAGTTTGAATATAGTTTACCCAACTTTTTTAAAAGATTTTAGATTATATATGGTATCAGCATGCATTAATTGCTAAAAACAGTTTCATATCAAAATCTTCAAACTCTCTAAAGAGTCATGTTTAAAGCTCTGCTTTCCCATGCAGATAACACCCTAGCTCTGTAAGCTCTTAAAAGATTTGGATCCCAAACGTTCTAAACAAAGCCATTGGTGGTTGTGATTATGACTATGTATAAAACAATTAGAATTAGAATAATTGATAATTCAAATATATAACTTTGTGTTTTATTGTGCTTTCTCCCATTTTAGTAGTGATGTAGAATTTTAAAAATTAAATTAAAATAAAACGGCCCTGAATTTATTTTTGTCCAAACGACCTTTGCCGTTTCCTTCCGAGACTGCTGAATGTGGCTAAAACAGTATTTAAAGAAATTTATGTATATCTTTAGACCAATGCGAGATTAATGAAAGTATTAAACCATGGGATGTGCCGGATTAGCGAGCTTTTAGTCTCGTATTATTTATGTGCCCATTAAAAAGAGCGAATAGAACTTCTATTGTAGCACACTCTATGCAAGGTTGACTGCACTATACTCTCTTTGTGTAAAAACTAGCTTTAACTGATCATTTTGGATGGTATGTATTCTTAATTATCTAAAGTTAACGATATTATAGTATTAAGGTTAAGGTAGGTTAACCATTGGTTAAGGTTTTACACAGTTAACCAGCTGTTCATGAAAAATAACATAATATCCTTTAGATAAATAAATACATTTTTTTCTAGATTATCATGAGAGTTTTATCACCCAATCTTCAACACCTCTACAATGATATCTACTCCCAAGAGGTCCAAAATCTTCTCAAGATGACAAATTTGAGGATTAATTTCACCAAACTACACACACTTGGGGACGATCTACTTGATGAGCGGCAGGAAATAAAGGTTGGCAAATCTACCTTAAATTTCATTATATTGAACTTTAGCCTCCCTGATCACATTTAAATACTAAATAATTGGTGTAAGTACCTGCATTTATGCGATTAATGTGTTGCTAAATTGCAACCAGTTTCGACTCACAAAGGGGTCATCATCGGACCAGTACAGATGTCTTCATGCTTCATTCAAATTTGTTTATTATGAATTGACGACCTTCGAATGAAGCAAGAAGACATCTGTACTGGTCCGATGATGACCCCTTTGTGAGTCGAAACCGGTTGCAATTTAACAACACATTGATCGCATAAATGCAGGTATTTACACCAATTATGTACTACCTTAAATTGCTATTTACTTAAGTATTAAGTGGGCCCTTGAAAATATTTTGTAGTTTGTTCTCAAAACCATTGAAATTCATTCAAAATTTGTCATAATTCATGTGAAGTTCTGTTATTTAAAGTAACATTGATAACAATCTTCTATGAACTGTAATTTTTTATTAAACTACTTGATCAGGGTTATTTTACATACATATTTATAGGTCTATGGCAAAAAAGAGTACATTTTCTATTTGCTGAACATTTATATTTACAAATACACAAATTGTCTTTTTATTGTATATCCAATTACTGAAATGAGAATGCATTAAAACAAACTTATCATCCACAATTTAACTTTCTTAACAGATATGCTATTTAAATTTTACTTATTGGTAACGTCACAGTTTTTAATCAGATATCTAGTTCTAAGTTTCATTAATCACAATCTCCCTAATTACTGGTTTGTTTTATATCAGGTGAATATAAAAACTAGCTAATTTATAAATAAATACAAGTGAAAGTATAACAAACTATGAAAAATGTTACACAGAAAAAGAATGTATAGCCTTGAGTTGAGCAGTGAACCCTTTGGTATTAATTAGAATGGAGTATCAATATGCTCAACCAGTTTTAGTTGCAATGGCAAAATAAACCATACAGTAGTGTGGATTGGATATTAGAAATAAATACACAGTTAAAACATGATTCGCCGTACAGATTTCTTTTCATTAATAAAAGAATTGCCATTGGTTCTTTTTAGAAAACAATAATAGTTATGAAAATGCCATCTCCCATGTATATTTTTCAAAACTTGAATAAAATAAAAATATTATTTGTCAATCCTATCAATAATACCTATTGGTTTAAATCGGTTTATTAATAAAATAAAATTCTTTATAGTTTGCTCTTTTTAGTCTTGCTACTCTGGTAAACACCTCTCTTTTTTATTCTCTAAGGACATTTTTAATGCTAGTGTCTTGTTTACAGGAGAAATACTATTATGCCATCTACGAGATGGTTGTGCGAGGGTCGTGCTCCTGTTACGGCCACGCTTCACGCTGTCTTCCGATAGACGGATCAGATTTGAGGGCAGACATGGTGCATGGCAAGTGTGAATGTACTCACAACACCAAGGGATGGAACTGCGAGGCTTGTGAAGACTTCTACAACGATCTTCCTTGGAAACCTGCAGGAAAAGATCCCAACGCTTGCAAACGTAAGACAAGACAAACATTCTTTATTTACAATTTCTTAGAGAAATTTAGTAGAGTCAAGGTTTCCAATGGTGTGATAGTATTTTATGGGTAGTGGTCCCTCCAGTGAAGAAACTCATCGATGGTGTAAAATGGACGGGTTTTAAGCCAGCGGCTGAGTTCTGTCTTCAGCTGCTTCCTGATGCTTCCTCATTTCTTTCGGTAGATAGTTGTGTAGTTTGCTTCCTATATAAGATGGTTTTTTCTCATATAGGCAGCTGTAATGGTTGGGTAGGTTGAACCTGGAGGCATGGCTGTGGAAATCTGCTCCTCTTGGTGGTGATTTCTTATCAGCATACAAGATTACTTCCCTAATATACAGGGCAGTTGCTGTTGTAAATGCTTCCCTACAGCTATCTCTGTATTGGGAAAACTTTCAGTTTGAATAATACCTGAGTTGAAAAGCTATATAATTGAACTATGTTTATTAATAATGAACACTATGCAAAAGGCCTAGGGTTTAGAGGTTTTTGTTGGAATAGCAGACTCACAATACAAAAATATTAGAATTTTTGTAGATAGTGTGACGTTTTTGAGTTTCTTTGATGGATTATTTTTAAACTAACCAAGACTGTTAAAATATGTCTTATTTTCCATACTTGAGATTGTAACATTTCAATAATTACTAAAATTAGTGGAGAATTTTGGACACCATTCCAATATTAAATGCATTAATAAGTTCACTTAGTTCTGGAACCAAAACAAAAATAAAACAGAATCTACCAATCAGGTTATGAAGAGTTAAAAAAAAATTAGTCAAAAGATTAGATGACTCATTCCTTTTTTTGGCTTTGAGTAAAATCTTTTAAGTATTTTAAACATTAGGCTATGTGAACTAAGTATCTTAAAAACTTTACCTCACACTTTCCTGTCATAAAGGAAATACCTATTTAGGAAATATTTAGGAATATTTGCCAACAGAAATGATGGTTTTTTTAACATTATTGTACTTATTGACAGAAATTGTATTATAAGGATTAGTTTTAAGAAATGACGCATGTTCAATGTACTTACGCTACAAAACAATGAATAAAGAATGTTTTGACTTTGACTTTGACTTTTGACTTTGAAAAACAACAACTAGGTTTAGTAAGAATCTCCAATTAACGATTCCAGAAAAATTGTTCTTCTTTAAATAACCTATGGTTAGTTCTCTGTTGATATTTTTGTTGGTATTGTACACTGTAGTTTAGGAATAATAATACTACAGAGTTTGTTGTGTCTGGTCTAGTGGTCAAAGGCTCAAATCAAAGGCTCAAGTCTTCTGTCCTGTAACCAAGAGTTCAAATCTCACCAACCACCAAAGGCTATTTGCTTCATGGTGGTTCGTACCTCACGTTAAACTGAAGGTCTTTGATAGGTCTATAAGTAAAGGGAAACTTTTTCTGTATCAGAGATAACTCTTCATTGTTAACAACATTCAGATAATGTTACTAGGTAATTTATTACAGGATGTAACTGCAACAACCACGCAACCAGTTGTCACTTTGACGCGGCCGTGTACGAGCTGACTGGCCGAGTTAGCGGAGGTGTGTGTGACAACTGTATGCACAACACTATGGGCCGCAACTGTGAGCAGTGCAAACAGTTCTTCTACCGCGACCCCAACCTTGACTTCTCAGACCCAGAAGTTTGTCAACGTAAGTAACTTGTATTTGTTAAATATAAGTAAACATCTACCCCAGTAAAAAATATGACAAAAAAACAGAGTTTTTAGTATAGTAAACCCCGAGTAATCTGAACCTTATTATATCGGACATTGTTTAGTTTGAATTGAATTTTTAGGTGCGCTAGAAACTCATGCAGCAAAGTAAGGAATTCACCAATTTTATCTATGCAGCTTTGTTCTGTAGTTTGCAAGTGAGTGCTACAATCAGTGAGAGAGTTAATACAATGCATTGTAAATAATGAAACACATAATAACTGTTAGTTTTTTTTTATATTTTTTTTTATTTTAAGTTTTGGTAACAACTTAAAACATTTATTTGAGTTTATTATATATATAGTTTATTTTAACTAACAAAACGTTGGCATGTGTTCTGTTCAGCCTGTAACTGCGACCCTGGCGGTTCACTTGACGAAGGCATCTGTGACTCGTACACCGACGAAGCTAGTGATTTGGTCTCTGGTCGTTGTCATTGTAAAACCAACGTAGACGGTCGCCGTTGTGATACTTGCAAAAATGGCTTCTGGAACTTTGATGAGAATAACCCAGAAGGCTGTCAATGTAAGTAAATCAAATAACTTCAGTAGCTTTTTGTCAGTTGTTGTATAGGTTGATAGAAATCCTTTACATATTTTCTTCATCTAAAACAGGGTGAATAAAAAGTCAAGCCCCCCCCCCTCTAATACTTTTTCTAAGCAAATATACAGAGATATCCTTTTGGTGGTCATGCAATCTTAGCAGGAAGTTTCATTTTATAATTTTAAAATTATTGAGTGTCCCCCAAAAAGGGGGATTTTAGGGGCAAATCAAAATTTTTAAATGTAAACCCCCTTCAAGTGACCCATCATTTTGAAGGGTTTGCAAAAACTTAAAGAATGGTGAAAATCAGAGTTCACTATCCCTCCTCTGTCCCAAATGGTAGCCAATATTACAATTACGAACCAATATTACCATTGATTTTCCATAACATTTGATGGGCTACCATTTGGGGTAGAGATGAAATAGCAAACTCTGGTTTTCACTAATTTTTTTTGCTGATGCACACACCATGAGAAAGCAAATAATGGTAGGGATCCATTAGTTGTTTTTATTTGAATTGATAACAAATTATTTAGTAGCTACACTGGTGTTAGTAGCAACCAACTTTGCAGGCCTCTAAAATTTTTCAAACCTGTCACTACCACTACAAAAAACAGCATCCAGTTTGTGTAATAACTAACAAGAAATGTTTACGATTTCAGCATGTACCTGCAACACTGAAGGTACAATCAACAATCAAGGTTGTAACCAAGTGACCGGGGAGTGTACGTGCAAGCGCTACGTCGTGGGGCGAGACTGCAACCAGTGTCTGCCGGAGTATTGGGGACTCTCAGACATACAAGATGGCTGCAAACCTTGTGATTGTGACATGGGAGGAGCCTATGACAACAACTGTGATGTGATCACGGGCCAGTGCAGGTACACCTGTTAGTTGTTGGGCATTGTATCGCCATGTTCTCTTATTCCTTCACAGGTCATCTTCTTCTGCCGTCTTCCATCTCTCTTCTTTATACTACACCCCTTAACCTCATCTATCCTTTTCATCAAGGTCATTATCTTGGGTTTCTTCCCTTTGTCACCATCATTTCCATTTTTCTAGGAATCTCTCTCCTTCCTTACATGCCCACATTTGGAATTTTCCACTCTCTCTATTAAGCTGTCTTCAACTATCACTCTTCTGATCTCTTCATCCCTAACTCAATCCCACCTCCGTTTACTTTTAAATAGCCATTAAAAACATAATTTCTTTTGTTTGTATTCTGTTCCATTTTTTCATGTGTATTCTATATTTCCACCGCATAATTTAAACATTGGTCTGTAATAGGGCCTATATCTTATATGGCTCTATTTGGACCCATTGGGGCCTAACCCATTGTGAGTGCTTTACATTTGGTAGAGCTCCGTTCAGTCTAGCTGTGATCTGAGATACTGTAGCTGTATCACGATACTCTAGATTTTCAGAGTATTCAGAGAACTTATTGCAGTGGATCCTTTTTGTCTTCAATTTTCTTTAAGTGAGTGTACAATCTAAGGTTTTGTGTCCCCGACCAGAAGACAGCACAAGATTTAGGGTTCAAATCCTGTCTCTGGTACAGTTTAGATTAGGGATGGACGGGATTGAATTTTTAGTTCGGGACGGGACGGGACGGGAATTTTATTTCCTTCCCGATTTTCGGGACGGGACGGGACGGGATTTTTTCTGTGCATAAAAAGAAAGTCTTGAGTATTGCAGTTACCAAAAAAAGACATACAAAATAAATTTTTACCGTTTGTGGTACTGATCTATAAAAACCAAAAAAATGGGTAACAATATACAGGTACCTATAGAAACTTGTGACTCACGGTCACGGTGCGATCGTCGGTATGACTCGCGGTCACGGGATGATCGTCGGTATGACTCGCGGTCACGGCATGATCGACAGTATGACTCACGGTCACGGCGCGATCGTCGGCATGACTCAGCGGTCACGGCGCGATCGTCGGTATGACTCCGCGGTCACGGCGCTATCATCGGCATGACTCCGCAGTCACGGCGCGATCGTCGGTATGACTCGCGGTCATGGCATGATCGACAGTATGACTCACGGTCACGGCGCGATCGTTGGCATGACTCCGCGGTCACGGCGCGATCGTCGGTAGGACTCCACGGTCACGGGGTGATCGCCGTTATGCCTCGCGGTCACGGCACGATCGTCAGCATGACTCCGCGGTCACGGTGCGATCGTCGGTATGACTCGCGGTCCAATAATCACGGTCACAGCGCGAACTTCGTTATGACTCGCGGTCACGTTGCGATCGTCGGTATAACTCCACGGTCACGTCGTGATCGTCGGTATGACTTGCGGTCACGGCGCGATCATCGGTAGGACTCCGCGGTCACGGCGCGATCGTCGGTAGGACTCCGCGGTCACGGCGCGATCGTCGAAATGACTTCGTCTCCTGCGTTCGCGGACCTATCGCTCACAATAGCGGCGTCATCGGTACTCGCGAAGCGGCAAAATCGCCGACGATCGGACCAAATCCCTTCCCGAAAAATTCCCGAATCAAATGTAATCCCGTCCCGATAATCGGGAATATTTTTTTCCCGAAAAATTCCCGAAATTTCGGGACCTGTCCATCCCTAGTTTAGATTTGATTTTGAATTGGTTTGCATGATATTTTCCTCAGGGCCGCAAGCAGTGGTGGCTCGTGATCACTTGGGGGGGGGGGGGGGGTCAGTGAAGAGGTGAGTGTAGGGTCGTCCCCTAGAAAAATGGTTAAAAATAAAAGCCTAAAACCTGTAACATCCGTATATTGGATACCCTCAGTTGACGATACCTTTCTCGGGTTAAGCTACCAGAAGCAAATTTTTTTCGTGTTTTGTAATTTTTTCATAAATTATTATCCATAACTTTTGTTTTCATTCATAACAGTCCGAGGGCCGCTAAAAATAATTTTGAGGGCCACATGCAGCCCGCGGGCAGCGTAGTGAGGATACCTTGTTTAGGGACAGAGAGGCACACCTACAATAAACTGTAGAGAGGAGTTCACAAGATCGGTGGAAAACAAGACATTTTGAAACTTTTTACCTACCCTACACTGTGTATGTGTTGATAAAAAACTTATTTTTTAAGAATTAAGATTTCGATGTTCAATAATTACTATGGTTCTGTGTTATGAAGATGTCGGCCGTACCTGACAGGACGTACATGCAGCAGTCCAGATCAGAGCTACTTTGTCGGACAAATTGATCATCTCACCTTGGAAGCAGAAACAGCCAACTGCACCTCCGTGAGTTATTTTGTAGAAAATAAAAGGTTAAAGTACCTAGAGTACTGTCTGGTGGTAGTTTTGTTGGCGACCAATGGTTTCAAACCTATAGCTTAATTTCTAAATTGAATTTTTAAACGAATGCAAGATAAATAATCCTTTTCATAGCTAGGGTTGTGAAGAGCCATCTGTTGTCTTAAATATGTGTCAATATTTACCACTCAGCTATTAATAATAATTCCAGAAAATATTCCAAACTATAATACATGTGTAAATTTAAACATTAAAAAAAATACATTATTGTATTGTACACTATAAGGAAATTAATTTTGTTGAATGTTACTTCAATCAAACTCTAAAGGCAATCAATTTTAAATTCTCATTCTCTTTTTGACTTAGGCTAATTCAAAAGTCAATATTTTTAATTCGCATAAATATTTACTACATCAATCAAACAGGCCAAAATAGTCAAGGTTTTCAACAATACCTAGTATTTCAGAACTCAGTCAAACACATAATTTAAAAGATCATCTAAACAATCATACTCTTTATTCACTAAAAAATTAGAGACTTTCTTTTTAAAAACTGCATTTCAATTGATTGGATTGTTTTCATGATTTCAAGCAGTTTATAATACAATTTCAAAATGTATTGTGGCAGTTTTAAAATTAATTATGCCTGTGGATGAGCAGTTCTCGCTAGGTTTCAGTTTCGCTACCTCTAATTCTAAAAATTAAAAACTGGGTTTTCATTACAACAAAATTTTTATTTAAAAAAAATATGACAAACAAACTCTTACAGTTTAGCAACAAAAGCAATTATTGTAATTGATGTTATATCACAGTGTTTTTTTTTTCTTTAATAAGTATTTTGTTTTCTTTGTTTTTCTGTAAATAAATTGTAACATGAAATATATACAGAATACAATATACAAAAACAAAACGAGAGATTGGATTTGGTTCGTATAAACGTCTTTTTTTTATATATCTATACCTCTAAAACTCTGATTTTTCAGTTAAGCTTGCTGAACTCAATCATTAATGAAACATGACTTTCTTTGAAATTAAGTATTTTGCTGAACTATGAAATACCCCATGTAATTTTTGGCTTTCATTTGACAGAACTGCCAGGTGGAAATACGAGAGCCGTACAGACCACCCCAGGAGACCACGTGGACTGGACCTGGTTTCATGCTGGCGAGACCCGGAGCAGACCTTGAGTTTGTAGTGGACAATATCAAGACCTCCATGGAGTACGACATTGTCATCAGATACGAACCTAAGGTAAAATAGTTTGTGCTTATGATAGAGGGTCAAAAGCCCTAGATTTAATGGAAGTTTTATTATGGTCCCAGTCTTCAATTTTAGGTCATTTGGTCATAGGACGGCTGTAGAAAGCAGGAAAACGAGGGTTTGGTCTCTCAAATCGTAAATTCACTTACATAAATGTAAAATAAATAAAGTTGAGTCTTTAAGTAAGCCAAGTTTTTATATTAGCCTTAGCTTTAACTTAACCAAATATAATGTTCATGGTGTACTGTGTATACAAATAAATATAATAAACATTGAATGTTAATGCTCTTGTCTATTCATACCTTTACTTTAAATTTGTGAAGGTTCCTCACCTCTTGGCAAAAGTTAACATAGTATTTGTATGAACCTGCTTAGCGGTCATCTAAAGGGAGATGTAATAAAATTTTTTAACAAAACTTCAATATTTTTTCCATACTGAAAAACGATTGTGCAAATACTATTTTTGCTAAAAATATAATAAACTGCCTATAAACTGAGTGTTATTGAAAAAAAATTACAATATATTGAAGTTATTACATTATACTCAAATTTATTGATGTTAACTTTCAATTCAAAATAATGTTAACCTTAAACATTCAGATAGCATCCCGAGAGTGTTAGCAATTTTTATAAAATTGTTTGAGCTTTTTTATATCCTGCAGACTTGTAATCTAAAACTTGTCAAGTGAATCTACCTTGGATCTACTTCAGGATGGCAATTTTCAACAGCGGACTTCAATAAGTATTTCCACTCCAAAGAGTTTTAACTTATTTTGGCTCGATGACAGTCATTTAAAGGTATTGCTAAGTAAAATGTCGGTTTGCTGTGCATGTTCTAGCGTGTTATGATTTTTTTAGCAGATCTTTGTGTGCTTTTATTACATTACTATATAAATCTAAAAGGTGGTGGATGCCATGGTCCTTGGTTGGTAGCTTTTTGATGTTTTAAGCTGCTTTTCTTCAATTTGGTTTTAGTCCATCATACATCCCTGATATGGTTTTAAAATTTGTATATGATCGTTTCAAACATATTTCATCAATTTCATTGTGTGTCTTTTACATTTATATTCTTAATAATTCACATGTTTTTGGAGTGCAACGTTATTAGTTTTAGCTCTTTAGTCTCTCTCTCTTGAGTTATTCTTCCTTTTAGAGGTGGAAGTTTACCAAGGTTGAAATGCACCTGTTCATCATGAGATTATCAAATTTTTTTGCATTTAGTTAGTTTTTATATTTTTAAATCTTGGTCTTTTAATGTATTTTTGCGCTGTTTATATATTGTTGCTGTTTCCATTCCACATTTTAAATTTGATTGTGTATATTTAGATAAATATACAGGGTGATTAAAAAAGAATACCACAACTTTAAAAATGTGTATTTAATGAAAGAAACATAATAGAAACTTCTGTTATACATTTACTAAGAGTATTTAAAAAGTTTTTTTCCACTCAATAACTAGTTCAGAGATGTCCAATATGACTATCTCAAGACACTCAAGCAATATCAACCCGATATTCAAACTCGTTGTGTTTGCAATGTTCAAACCTCACTTATCGTCCAGAAGTTTTCCCTTTGCACAAACCCCCATTCTCTTTAAACTGTTTATACCAATGTTTAATACACCAATACTTTGTTCGAAATGCACACTGAACAACTGTCGTCAATTCAATTCTGCCATACTCAATAACACAAAAACCTTTCTGTTGAGCGGTCGCCATCTTAGCATCAACTGATGCTGACGCCATGACAGCAACTCAAGCGAACAAATGAGCATGAGCAACTAAATGAAACTTTATATCTTCCTTAATTTGCCGACAGATAGACAGATAGTGCTTAGCTTTCCTTTTATTCTTTGCTGAAAATTCATTAAGTTGTGGTATTCATTTTGAATCACCCTGTATATTAACCTAAATGTATATACAGTAAAACCTTACTGACTCAACAGTCAACACCTGACAGGGTGTGCGTCTAGTTGGCTTTGTCTTACTAATGCGTTCAAATTTTCAAGCACAGTTGAAGATTGTTTATAAGATTCTTTGAAGATTGTTTACTCAATGTGTAAAAATACTCGTATAAGTAATCAATTTATATGTGAAAATTAATCTGTTATGTTTTGATTTTTTTACCCATGAAAAATTTCAATATTCTGGATAACTCAACAACCCCCCAAACTCGGACAACCTCTGGGTCCACGAATTGTCGAGTTAGTGAAGTTTTACTGTAAATATTTGTATGTAACATTTATGTACTTTTGCATTTAGTTTTGAATTTACCTAAGGTTAGGTTAAAAAAAAAGTTATGTTCCCTATAATAAAGAGATTTACAGAACATTCTAGTGTTTTCTCAACCGTACACACAACTTGTTTTAACGAAATAAATTGTTTAGGCCTACTAATCATTATGTCTTATGTTTTTTGAACTTTTAAAAATTCTAGAAAGTGTTTCAATCAAAAGGTTCTCTAAAGATAAGTGCAAAACCGATTGTTAGGCATTTGTGGCCAAAGGTTCTGTTCTTGGGTTATGTTTCCAGGTTTTGAAATAATGAGTTTAAGTATGTTTAAGTGATGTTTGGCTTTGTCAGATGGCCGGGGAATGGAAGCAGGTTGAAATGACTATTGAGCGACCTAGCCCTGTAGACCCAAACGGCCCTTGTGCCAACTCTCGCCCAGAAGATGACCACAAGACTGTAGCTCTTTCTTCTGGTGAGTTATCTATATACTTAATACAGTAAGGACTTTATCTGTAACATTCCTTTTTCACTTGTCCTTCTTAACCAATTCCTACAATTGAGGTGTAATTTTAAAGCTTATATATAACCTAGCATAGTGAAAAATGGTTAATAAAATGGTCATTTAATTTAAGGCTCCACTGTCCCCTAGCAATTGATTTATTTCTTGAGTTCAATTGTAATTTTAACAGCTGATCCTTCAGTTGAATATTTAACCACAGTCAGATTGGAAACAATAGATAACAGTTTATGGGAATGAATTTTAAATTGGCAACTTTGATTGATAATTGTAATTTATTGAGATAGGTAAATCACTCTTTAAAATTAAAATCAACAAATTTAATTTATTCTAAATTAGTAGTTTCATTCTCCTAATAACTGCCTTAAACAAACACAATCTTTGAGAGGTAAAAGGATATTGATTGTAGTAGCCTATTTGTTTTGCCTCGGAAACAAGTTTTATATCCTTTTGATATGCATAGTTAGAGCATGGGTCCCCTTGTAATTTATAAAAAGGCCTGTTTAAATCTCCACAAACGATTTGACTTGGCACTGAAATAGCCGTGTCAATATTTGGTCAAAGTATTACTCATAAAAGCGAACGTTGGCCTAGCTTAGCAACAACTTTCAATCACGTTAATGACGCTTGTTAGTAGCACGTTGGTGGACATTATTGAGACTAAAGGTTTTGTGCCCCTAGGTCGGGGCCTATAGCACATCCTAAACACCAGCTAGGAGCTGGCACTCCTAAACCTGGTTGTAGGTGATCAATCTATCGCTGCATTTCTCATATTCAAACTTTGCCTTACAATAGGATCAAATCTTACTAGTCCATAAAATCTTTCTTTGATATTGAGATATGTATTAACCACTAAAAAGTGTCACATACAAAACTAGTCAATAACAAAAACACATGTTAATTGTTTTTAGACGCACGCTACATTGTTTCCCCCACCCCTACATGTTTGGAGGCAGGAAAAACCTACAAGATCAAGTTGATGTTCAAACCTGACCCTCCTCACTCTGCTGCTCCGTCTGCGTCAATCCTGGTGGACTCGGTAAGTTTTATGTTTACTTATTAAAGGTGTTGGTTAAAAAAATATGTTGATACTCTGGAAAGTTACATTTCTAACAAACCCCAAGAATTTGTTGCTTGGAAACTATAACAAAACTTGTAAAACAAAACTCCAAAAAATTACATCGTGTTTGGATGAAAAGTCAGGTATATGTTGTGAGGGGATTTGTATTTGGAACAAATCTTTCAGGGGTTTTGTACATGTTTCTGGTCATTTAAATATTAAAAAAAAATAAGTTTGGGACATCGATTTAAAAGTCATAAATGCATTCAAGACATCTGCTTTGGAAAATCTAAAAACATCTTTTTTATGGAGATGAATGTGCCAGGGTGTTAAACTGGAGATACATTTTTAAGCACAGATTCAATGAGACTTTACTTTAAATATTAAATATACAGGGTGTCCACAAAGTAATGCACCCATTTGGTAAAGTCCCTACAGCCACAAATTTAAAGATTTAAAGAAACAGGAAATGTTTTAGATCGAAAGAAACTAGCCACAGGTTTCCAAAGACATTGTTGAAGAAATCCGCATTTTGTGTTCACGTAGACCAAAGACGTCAGTTTCTTTTGGGGTTACGTTAAAAAAATTGTTTATCGTCCATCTAAAGCAGAGAGTTATCCAGGCTGTCGGGTCTGTGACTCCAGTAATGATGTCAAAAGTGTGGGAAAAGATTGATTTTTGATTTGATCTATGCCGAGCAAGGAACGGAGCTCACATCAAACTTTTATAATGTGCATAAAACTTGCTCTTGGTTGAGATGTATTTGTATATAATGTAAGTATAACCATGAATAAAATATTTGACTTTAAAATGGGAGCATTACTTTTTGGACACTCGCTACTTTAAACAATATCCTATACCGTAAGTCATCAAACTATTGACTAAAGCTAAATAATTATTCAAACATTTCATTTTTCAGATTGTGCTTCTTCCTAGTATGCAAAGCATCCCGTTCTTCATTGGAAGCCCTGCTGCTGAAATGCGCAAAGAACAATACTTGCATTACCGATGTGGTTCTGCCTTCTTCACCGTCACCAAAGGCCCAGTTCCTGACATCTGTAAAAGCTACCACTACAGCATAGGCTCTCACGTTTATGGTGGTGCACTCTGTAAGTTTGAATACTAATCTATTTGATTCCCTACATTATTTATTATCTATTATCCCTACATTATACATGATTCCTACATTATTTCATTAGGAAATGTCTGGCTTTTCTTGGAAGTGCAAACAAATGAAGCTAGAAAATAATTGCAGTCTTGAAAGAAACACAAGGATACACAGCATTTTTTGCAAATAATGTACAGTGGAATATATTGTCAATGTATAAGACAATCCTTTTAAAGCATATTTGTCAAAGAAGGATACAAGTAGACTGTCACAAGAACTCGGTAACTTGTGACTCTATTAAGTTGTTGATTCGAGTGTATAAAACCAAAAGAGAGTTAAAATAGAAGCAAAATATAAAATCCAAACTTGGTTTTCAAAGTGAAACAATGAATTAAATGTTCCATTTTTATCTCCAGCTACAATTATTCAAACCTTGGCCCTTGTGCCCTATGTCAAGAATGAATATTTTATTCCAGTACACACATACATGCATATGTACACGTCAAAAAGCGGATTACATGCTGCAAAAACACAAGTCAGAGATAAATACAGTACATCACAATTCAGGCATTAACAAAATACCCCCGCCGCAGCAAACCTGCCGTCTAAGCGAATTTCCATTTGGCCGAATTGATTTTCAATTGATCTATTTAAATATCATTAGGTTTAACGAGTACCTAGGTTTGCTGCTACAAGGAAACTAATAAAGTAGTGTGTTTTTATTAAAATATTGATAGCTTACTATAAAATAAATAAATTTGCCAAGTTTGATCAAAATATATCCATAAACAAGCAAACTACAACATTTTACAATATTCTCCATAAGAATAACATGGGAATTTTAAATTTACCATTTTTTTAGTTTTCTCCGTAACCAATAACCGTACAAAAGCACTTTGATATACTGAATTGTTTGTTTTTTTAAGCTCTTTAAGAAGGTTTAGAGAAAAATTGGGAAATTTTGTGTTTTGAGGGTAAAAAGTGAGGAAAACCAATTTTTACCCCATAAAACCCTGTTCCCATGGTCCGATCATGCTGGATCGCGAACTCATTCAAGTTTATCCCGCCTTACACCTTCAAACCAAATTTCATAAAAATCGGATAAAAATTACTCAAGTTATCGTGTTCACGGACACATATATATATATATATATATATATATAAATCTATATATATATCTATATATATATATATATATATATATACATATATAAAAATTTGAACGAATGGTGTTTTTGGCCTCTGGGGACATTAAAATGAAAAAGTAAATCGGTCCCGGGCCTAAGTCTTACCATGAGTCCTACGGTAATAGCTACTTCCCCATAGGGAAATTTGCTAAAAACAAATAGGTTACAAAAGTCATAGAGATGGCATAGCGAGGACTTATATACACATAATTTAATATATCAAAATCAGTATTTAAAAAGGAAAAAAAGAAATAGGCCTATATATGAACAAGGCAATGACTAGATTAACATTTCTTTGGTTGAATATTCAACAAATTCTCCTAACCCACATTCTCAAAAACTGAAGCTGTAATAGCATTTTATTTTGACTTTTGTAACTGAATATAGTCAAAATGTGAGTAAGATGTGGAAACTGTTGCAAAATGAAGTAGTTAATAAAATTTTTTGATATAATGACTATTAAATGATATGCTCTTTTAAGACAATTTAAAATTTTTGTCACGTCTGTTTTAACTATTTGTTTCTTTTAGCCTGTGACTGTGACCCGACTGGATCTGTCAGTAATCTCTGTGACCAGTTGGGAGGAAGGTGTCAGTGTAAGCCTAACGTTGTGGGTCGTCGTTGCGACCATTGTGCTCCTGGTACTTACGGTTTTGGCCCCGAAGGTTGTAAAGGTAAGTTGTTATCTATTTGCCTCCTTGTACACAGCTTTAGATTTAAAACTGAATATTTGGAGTTGAGTGTCATGATTTACAACATTTTATCAGTAAAATTGAGTAAGAATGGGGCGAGGCTTTAGTTAGTAGAGATCAGAGTTTTTGTTGTGGAAGCCTTGCTTCAAATCCCTTTATTCACAAATGGTTATTTGCTACTACATAATACTGTCACTGGGTAGTTTGAGTTTGTAGTATATGCTGTAGGTTTATATAGAGTAAGAAGGTCAGGACCTTCTGTGGATTGGATAACTCCTTCCACTAAACACCATGTGATAATGTCAATCAGAATATCCTTTATTCATTTAAGTACAGAAGGTAGTACATAAATGGTGTCTCACAAATTCATCAGGTTATAAACTAAATATTCAACGACTCTAAAAAGATCTTCAGGTGAGGGAAATGGTGTCTGAGTGAGAAACACACTTAATTAATATTCAGAGCTATTATACTCTCATTGATACTACAGTATTTTTATTTTCACTTGTTGATAGTTAAAATATTTTAATCCATCATTGGGTATTCTTGGTAAAGGGCTTTAAGTCTGAACAGTTTTGATTTTATTTTGGTTGGGTAGAGCAGGCTTAGCTGTACCTTTTCAAGCCTGTTCTTCCTATAAAAAAAACCTAACTGTACCATTTGCTAGTTTTCCTTCCTACAGTAATGCTTTAAACCCTGGCGGATTCTTCATTCTTACATAATATTTATGATTTAAACCTATTTGGGCATTTCTTCAATGTTCATTTTACATACAATTTTGGCTCATAAAATTTATCAATTTAAATTTTGGAAATGATTCTCAACTGTCTTGTAATTCTAAATTTAATTATAATGTCAAATTAAAAGTAAAATAAATTGTATTTAAATTAAGTACTCAAGTTTCTATATTTATTTGTTTTACAATTTATTCCCAAAAAAATTTTTGTTTACTTGTCTTTATTTTACAATTTTTGTAAGAGAACAATCAAACTCTGGTCCGGTTCTATACAGCCTTCTTTTGTTATACAGGGTGAATCTTCTAAGCTGTCCTAAACAGATTACAGACGAACGGCTTGACATACAGAGATGAAACAAAACTTTTCCCCACTAATTCATACCCAAGGAACAACGTAAAAACGTTTTTACCATTTTTTAAATACAGGGTGTTCAAGAAACTGGGGGTCATGGGTTCGAATCTCAGAGATTTCAAATGTAAACATATGTCATGTTATACATCATTGTAAAGCTCTAGACTAGACAAACAATTTAGTGAAAACAGAACTCATTTATCTTTGTCCGTTTCAAAATGGCGGCCATTTTTATATAAAATATTGATATTTACAGAATACCCTGTATCTTGAAAACCACTAAACTTATTTTCGTTCTGTTTAAAAATTCTTAATCCTCGTAGGTTCAGCTTTAATTTGATATACAACAAGTCAACATTTTAAAAACTAAATATTTTTTCTATGATTTAATTTTTTTTTAAGTTGGTAGCCTTGTAAATGAAAATTTTTAAATGGCAACATATGTAAAAGTGTGTATAATTTTGAAGGTCTTGTAAAAACAAACAACTTTTAAATTTAAACCTACCGTCTATCTTTGGTCGTTTTATAGTAATTAACCAAAAACTCCAATTGCCCATATAAAACTCATGTTAAACGCGCAGTACCATGGGAATAGTGTATCTCCATCCACTAATCTTCAGTACTGTACGTTTAACATGGGTTTTATATGGGCAATTGGAGTTTTTGGTTAATTACTAGAAAACGACTAAAGATAGACGGTAGGTTTAAATTTAAAAGTTGTTTGTTTTTACAAGACCTTCAAAATTATACACACTTTTACATATGTTGCCATTTAAAAATTTTCATTTACAAGGCTACCAACTTAAAAAAAAAATTAAATCATAGAAAAAATATTTAGTTTTTAAAATGTTGACTTGTTGTATATCAAATTAAAGCTGAACCTACGAGGATTAAGAATTTTTAAACAGAACGAAAATAAGTTTAGTGGTTTTCAAGATACAGGGTATTCTGTAAATATCAATATTTTATATAAAAATGGCCGCCATTTTGAAACGGACAAAGATAAATGAGTTCTGTTTTCACTAAATTGTTTGTCTAGTCTAGAGCTTTACAATGATGTATAACATGACATATGTTTACATTTGAAATCTCTGAGATTCGAACCCATGCCCCCCAGTTTCTTGAACACCCTGTATGTTAAAAATGGTAAAAACATTTTTACGTTGTTCCTTGGGTATGAATTAGTGGGGAAAAGTTTTGTTTCATCTCTGTATGTCAAGCCGTTCGTCTGTAATCTGTTTAGGACAGCTTAGAAGACTCACCCTGTATAGCATAATTAATTGATAGCCAAGTGAAAAATGGCATGTAGGTCCAGAAACAATCTCAATTGTCATCAAACCGATTTGATGGCAACCACAATAACCACTCGCCTACCCAGATTGAACATACAGGATGTAAAGTAAATAAAGTCTCGCACGGGCTTAATATGTTCTGAACCATAACAGATAAATCAATAAGATTTGGTAAATCAACACAAAACCTAAAAATCATCTTTTTGAAGAAACTATAAGTTTTCTGTAATATGGGGACGTCCCGTCCCGTTAGGAGTCAGAAGGAAATCTTAAATAATAAATAGAAGCATAGGTTGATATGTCATCTAATTAAAGGAAAAGCAGAATATAATGCTACAAATTTAACTAAAACGGACAACCGAGTCAAAAATGAAAGCTTTTCAAAGATTCATTGAATTTGCTATACTATTTATACACTACCTCCTCAGGGGGGGGGGACTAGGAATCAGAAGAAAATCGTAAACGTAAGCATAGGTCGATATGCACATCATATTAAAGATCTTTATTAGTCTGCAAATTCAAGCTCAAAAGAACAACTAAGTAAAAAATGGCAACCGTTCAAAGATTCAAAATGGCAGATTCAAGAAATCTTTGAACGGCTGCCATTTTTGACTCGGTTGTCCGTTTGAGTTCAAATTAAATCTGCTGCATTGCATTCTGCTAGTAAAGGCCTTTAATTCTATGTACATATGAACATACGCTTCTTAAGATTTCCTTCTGACCTCCTTGCTGAGAGTTCCTTCAAAAAATAGATTTTTAGGTGTCGTGTTGATTTATTTTATTGATTTATCTGTTATCGTTTAGAACATATAAAACCTGTGCGGGACTTTATTTACATCCTGTATATATCCAGGCTTATAAGTGTCACTGTTACAAACTGTTTTATGTGGTTAGACCAAAGAATATAAGAAACTGTTATGTTACAGCCTGCGACTGCAACTCTGTAAGTGCGTTGGATAACTTCTGCGACGTCGCCAGTGGACAGTGTAAGTGTCAGGCGCAGACTTACGGCAGGGCTTGTGACCAGTGCCAGCCTGGTTACTGGAACTACCCCAAGTGCCAGAGATGCCAGTGTAACGGCCACGCAGACACTTGCGACCCTCGTACCGGAGCCTGCGACACCTGCCGAGACTTCACTGTGGGACACAACTGTGACAAGTATGTTTATGGCTTGGTAATTTTCCTCGCCGATTTTTCTATGAATATAGTGCAGAGTGTCAATCTGGCCAGGAAACTAGGAATTGTAAGTGATTTTTGATGTCCCGGAAAATGTTTGTTGACTCTTTAACATCATGGCGTGGAAAGGTAAATAATATTTGCAGAAATAATTGAGATATTCACAATCGCTGGGTGTTACCATCACAATGTTCCGAAGACCACAAAAGATGATCACAGACTGATGGCAATAGCTGAAGATCAAAATATTGCTGCCATCCTGGTTTAAACATAAAATAAAATCAATTATTAAAATCAAGTTTTGGAATTGATTTCAAATCAAGTAATTAATAGTGAGGATTGATTTTCGTAGTAGATAACATATCGTGTTTCATTAAATCTATATTGAAATTCCAGATTTGGATTTGAACTTTATAATCCCATTCATAAAATCAAAATTCCTTGATTTGACCAGTACTAATTTAAAACACAATTTTAAGACATTTAACCCTTATATTCTTTCTCTAAATCTACTTGTTTAAGAGCTAGAGCATGTTTAAATGTTATTTTGCGAGATTAACATGCAATATGAAAAAAATAATGCAATTTTGTAAAGTTCCAACTGTTTATAAAAATTATTTTTTTTCTTTATTTTCATATTAACAATTAAATTATGTCTTCCATTTAAAGTTCTCTCTAAATTTAGTAGTTTCTGAGATACCAATGTTAGCACAGTTAAGTTGTTCACTCTGTATACTGACAGCTACACAAAATATGTTTTATCTTACAGTTTTATATACATGTGTTACTACTGAATTTTTTGAACTTGGTTATTTATAATCATTGACCTTACCCCACATTCTGTTTCAAATCAGATGCATCGAAGGATATTATGGAGATCCGAGTTTTTCTGGAGACATCCCTTGCAGGCCTTGTCCTTGCCCCAAGACCATAGAATCAGGCCACTCATTTGCTGACCATTGTGAGTTGGATCCACTCTCTCAAGATGTCATCTGCGAATGTGACGATGGATATGCAGGTACGGAAACATATGTTAATTTATAACAAGAATCAAACTTAATTAGACACATTAAGACAGGGTACATTTGTTAGTATGTCTTAGTGTTTAACATGATGCCTTCCAGCCGTCACACTCCTCTGCATGAGGGTCGTAGGACCTGGTTGAGATCTGTTGAAACCTTCTTACCTAATTCAGCTTTGTACAGAAGAATAATGTTAATTTATGACAAATACATTGCTACATGAGCCTTATTGAAGAGGCTGGACCACAAACATTTTCAACAAACTATTATATTTTTATACTTAACATTTATTGATGGACGAGACTAGATTTTTCACTTTGAGACGAGACGAGACAAGATTTTTTTAGATTCCGGCGGGACAGGATTTGTTTTTGGGACGAGATCTTATGAAAAATTATAAAAAAAAATTAATATCTACTTTTTAAGTTCAGAAATATTTACAAGTTTTAAAAACTTAGCAAAAAATAGACAAAAGATTTAAAATCTTTTATTAAAAAACATTAATAAAAACAGCAGTATATAAAAAAAAATATTAAAAAGGCCTAACTTATTAAAAAATAGCTCTTCGGCATAGGAAACATGGAGATATCAGTTAGTATATAGTTCAACTTTTCAAAATATCAAAAACAACAGTAGCCTATTACTAGTTAAGTATCAAGTAACAATTTTTAAGTCTTGTGTTATTTTTAGAATGATTTTGGAGTGACTTATTTTGACTATGTTTACAGTGGAAAAACATGTCGTCTCACACTGCTTACACTAACAAAACTCCTCATCATTTGCTATACAAAAAAAATTATAAAACAATTGAAGCAATATATTTCCATGTAAAGAAAAAATAATTAAATATAAACACCTTCTCAAAGTTTTTTTAAATCATTAAATTTTAAATTTGTTTATTTTGATTTTTTTTATATTTTAAATAAAAAAATTTAACTTTTAAAAATAAAAAAAAAATAAACTTTGCGAAGTTGCTTTGTGAAAGTTAAATTGCAAACTTTCAATTTAAAATTTAAAATTAAATAAATTCAAAATTTTAGAAATTAAAAATTTAAATTTAAAAAAATTAGATTTAAAGAAACTTAAAATTTAAAAATTTAAAATTAAAAAAATCTTGAAAAAATTTTCGGGTCTTGTCCATCACTATCACATTCTGTTTAGTGACTAGCAGACATCTATTCTATAGCCTACATATGTTTAGCATTCCTACTTAAACAATATCAAACCCCTAATTGATAAAAACTAATAAACACTTTTAACACAACTACTGTATGGACAAATTTGGAATTGATAATAGCTACTACTTATTGATTGCTAACAATAAATAACAATAACTTGAGTAATTGATTTTAACATGCAATAGTGTAAAAAACCTGAACAACTGTGATTTAAAAATAGGCTATATACAAATTGATACAGTATATAATTATGTACAAAAACAATCAAAAATGGATTCCAAGAAAACCATTTATATATTTTCTATTACTTAGAAGCTATAAACATTGGTGTAGTAAGGTAAATACCTCCAGATTAGTGAGTGGCCAGGGGTTTTCCTCATGAAAATGTTGTTGATTAATAAGTCTGAAAATGTCATTTTAATGCTAGCGTTGGTAATATTTTCTACCCTATATATATATCGATCTCAATTAATTTATTCTTTCATGGTATGCATATTTTTGTCACCCCCCTTAGGCTGACTCTCGTCCACCACCCTCCTGCTATGCCCTTGGGAATCAAATTGTTGATTGAAACATTTAACATTTCCAACTCTGAAAATTTTTTCCAACTTTGTTTAGTTAAACATATACACAATTATAAAAAAGGTATGTTTTTCCACAGTTTTATTTTCAATGTCTGTTTTATTATTCTAGGAACAAGATGTGATGTATGTGCGGATAATTACTACGGAAACCCCAAGGAGATTGGAGGCTCTTGTACTCTCTGCAACTGTAGTAACAACATAGACATTTCTAGACCAGGGAATTGTGATCCTCTCTCAGGCAAATGCCTCCAATGCCTCTTCAACACTGACGGCGAGAACTGCGAGAGGTGCAAAGAAAACTACTATGGTGACGCCATCAACCATCTCTGTACCGGTAAGCATTAGCTTCCATGTTACCTATAGGTGGCTGGACTGTCCGTATTGACAACATTTCACTAATTGAAATTAGTGCTATACCATTGATGATTGTTTACATTGCTGATTGAAGCTTCAAAACATTCATATTTTGAAATATAATTTTTGGCACTTTATGTTTAAGACAGGGAGAAAACTAATTCAAGTTATGAAGCATGGCAGTTTCAATTTTTTCTTTTAATTCACTACCACTATGTTTTTCGGGTTGAAATATTTTATTTTTAAATCCTGTTTAGGTTAGTTATGATTAGGTTGTTGTTTTAGGTTGGGTTAGGTAAAAACCAAGACATTACTTAAAACTTAAATTGTGTATTTTCTATTGTTACAGACAAATTAGGTGGTAGTGAATTAACAAAAAAAGGTCCCAAATGGGTTTATAAAAGATAAAAACCCAAAGAAGCTTTTGGATTTAATCTTCATTTAATTTTAACCTTTAATTGTAGTCGTTTTAATGGAATTTTTTTTATGTCAAAAATATAATGTTAGGATAAGTGTTAACCATGAAGGTGTGTATGTAAAGGTTCAATGTCTTGCATAGTAAATAGTCTTAATTGTAAAACCTATATTACAGGGTGACTGTTGGTCACTGAAGTCCCTAATGTTAATCATAAACTCACAGATTTTTATAAGAGCCGCAAAATAAAATTTTTAAAACTTGTTTTACTTGCATCAAAGTCATAAACAAACTGAGATAGTGTTTTATATGTTTTTTTTTTTATTTTAGGACTCCAATCATAAGGTATAATATTTCTGGTAATTATTTATGGCACAAGGTCACTGTCCTCATTTTTATTTAAGGATGGACACAGGTTTTAAAGTAAGGATAACAAGGGTTCAGCTATCAACATTTGACTGAACAATAAAATAAACAAAGCTCACATTTTCTTTTCCAGAATGCGTCTGTAACATTCTTGGAACCAACAAGTCAGCTGGGCCATGTGACGGAACCACAGGTCAATGTCCTTGTTTGCCCAACGTGATCGGACTCACTTGTGATACTTGCCAGGAAAACCATTGGAAGATTGCGAGTGGTATGGGCTGTGAACCTTGCGATTGCGACCTCAACGGGTCATATTCCAAACAGTGCAACCAGGTAGGTCAAATATCAATGTACAAGTTAAAATTGTTTTTAAAGATATATATTGTTAAATAAGTTCAGTGTCTTAAGACATCACAATATTTTGTTGGGTTCTCTTAGAGTTATTGATAACAAAATAAAATGGCGCTTCGCTATTTTTAAAACTATGCATGTTAAATTATTGATATGATGGACAGAATATAATTTGTTATAAACTAGAATAATTGAGTCTTTTAGTCTGATAGTTGGTTTTAAAAATTTGTTGGGATATAATGATTTTTCCTTGAATATTCTCATCTTTTGAATCATATTGTACATAGGTTCATCAACTGGATTTATCTTTCATCGCTATGAAAATAATGTGACCAAAACTCAATAAGAATAAGAACTTTATTCAGCCAGAAAATATTTCATGCAAATACATTGGCACGTCAATTTAATAAATTATATTCAACATACATCCTTAACAGTCCATTGTCTTGACATATACTCTTCTAAAAAATAAAATGATCCTTTACCATAGAAAATAATTTTATTTAATTTTAAAATCCTTATCACTAAGCAGTCTTATGTCTAATGGTAACTTATTGTACAACTTAATAGCAATCATCATTGGTCTTTTATCTGTCTTAACTAGTCTTAAATTTATGTCATTACAAAAACGAGTATTATAACTGTGCACATCTTTTCTACAGTCTAATAGGTGAATATTGGCTCTAGTGTAAAGTAGACATTGTTGTATAAATAAAGAAAACAAAGTTAAGATTTTAAACTCCTTGAATAGATTTTTGCAGCTATGACACATATTTACACTAGCAATGACTCTAAGAACTTTTTTTGCATAATAAAAACTTAATTTGCATGAAGAGAAGATCCCCAAACAATCAAACCATAGCTTAAATGGCTATGAAATAGTCCATAATAAGCCTGTATGCTTTACATTCTGATTCAATTCACCACACAAACATTTAATAGCAAATACACTAGAACTAAGTCTTCCCCTCACCAAATGATCATGATATTGCCAATTTAGAATAGAATTAAAAGTTAGTCCCAACAACTTTGGATGCAAATTTTCATTGGGCATCTCAGGAATCTCTTTTAGACTAAATACTTCAGTTGATGTTTTATCTTTATTTAAAATTAAATTGTAAATTGTATGCCCATACAATAATATAACTTTCTTGTTGTATAGTAATGCTTCTTTCATTGTTCCGTTCCTGTATTTGACCAATATATTTGTTCCTCAGTACGACGGCCAGTGTGAATGCAAGCCAGGGTTTGGTGGGCGGCAGTGCGACCAATGTCAAGCTAACCACTGGGGTGATCCCAATTTGGAATGCAAAGGTAAGTGCAAAAGCAAATTTCACTATAAATAATCTTCAACAAAGTTTCCCCTTAAAAATGCATTGCAATTGTCCCAGAACTGCAATATTGACTAATATAGATTTTACAGTTCCCGCCAGGTGTTCCAAAGGTCAAGGATTCAACGTGTTACATGTTTCAGGAAAGTCCAGGAAATATGGTTGATGCTTTGTTGATGGTTTGAATACAAATACATTTAACAAACAGTTTAAACAACATATAAATAAATTGGTCAGACAGGTGATGCAACATTGCCGGTATGCAACCAGAAGCAGTCTTACAATTATTTATTTCTAGTGTAGTGTGCTAAATGCATGAATTCTTTTTTCAAACGATCAACGAAGGTACTCAATTGGGTTTAATATACTTCCTGAACTGAAGTGTTCGACCACAGCATTCTTCCAAAACATATAACAAATTTCACCAATTGCAACCGCTGTCGAGTACAGTAAAAGCCATATAAGTCAATATTTCATTTTCAGAGCAATTGAAATAAATTTTTTCGCTACACTACTGTGAAAGAGCCTGTTTTCGTTACATGTTTATCACCTGCAAAAATTCATCATTACATTGCTTTTGTTTACTACGGCAAAATAATGTTTACTATGCGAAAGTAATGTTTATCTTTTTTGGATTTTGTCGACGAAAACAAACACAGATTTTTTATCGTTTTGTCAACTGTTTCAAGTTTCAACAACCAAAACTGTACAACCAAAGTATATTATTGTGTACAAGGATAGGAATCAGCTAGCTTACCTTGTAGATAGAGTCCAGATTAGCCTTGATTACACATAAAACACATGACACAACACAGAAAAACGTAATATTTAGTCCCAGTTAGGGACTTCATCAGAAGGGAGAAGAAAGAAAACTGGCAGTTACAGTTCAAATTCAAAAGTTCCACAACAGTGTTGCCAACTGTGTTGTGTCATGTGTTTTATGTGTAATCAAGACTAATCTGGACTCTATCTACCAGGTAAGCTAGCTGATCCCTATCCTTGTACATAAAAATCCTAATCAGCCAATTGGCCTTTCCTTAACTCCCAACCAAAGTAAATATTAACTTGAAATTGGAGGCTAACCTAAAAATGATATGAGTTTTGTCATGCTCCTAATTGTAATGAAGAAATAATGTATGTTTTAATTAAAAAATCTTCAGTATTTGTAGTGTAGTGAAAAGTAACGTTCAAAACACGAGTGAAAGTGGGTCTATACATATTCTCGACCATTTAAAATACTCGATAAATCTCGCACTTCAAACATGGACTCAAAATATGTAATGACTCACTTTCTACTCTTGTTATGAAATGTACTATTTCCACGCAACATTGCCGGTATGTGAGCAGGAACAGACTGTAATATATTTATTTCTTTTTATGTCGTGTGTTAAATGTATATGTTATGTATTCAAACCATAAATCAAACTATTTAAGTGGATTTAATGAATTTTCCAGGACTAAAGAGTTTGACTAAGGCGCTGAAAAATGTAACTACTTGAATGTTCTCTCTTTCTCTAAAATTAAATTCAAATTTATTAGCTATTATTAAGATGCTTTACACAGAATTTCTACAAAAGATTGTGGTGTTGTTATGAGATTTAATCAAATTTAACCTAACAGATACACAAACAATGATTGTATTTTAGGAATTGTTAAAAGTCTGATTTGTTAAAATTGTTTGCAGCTTGCGAGTGTGACCCTGAAGGATCAGCAGTCATGCAATGTGACAGAGTCAACGGCTCGTGTATTTGCCATCCTGGCATCGGAGGATACAAATGTGATGTCTGTGCCAGAGGATATCTCGGAACAGCCCCTCATTGCAGTCCGTGCGGCGAGTGCTTTGACAACTGGGATCTCATTCTGAACCAACTAGCAGGTAAGCCTGCACTCTTGCGGCAGTGTTTCTCAAATATCGAGACACAATCTCCTTTTAGGTCTGTTATTTGATTGTACCTTAGGTCCTTTTTTGCTGTGAATGGTTCAACACAACTTGAAAACAGTAAGATGTGGAGGTCACCAGACATTTTTGGGAAGCTACTCTTGAAATAGTGTTTGAAAGCACTTTTCCTGGTTATCATTTATCGGTAATTTGTAACAAGTTAAAGAAATTTGCATGACAAATGAGATCTATGATTGTTGAAATAATTCAAACATAGTTAATTCGGTCAAGGAAAGAGAGAATTTAAAAATAAAAAATGTCTAAAGGCATAGAAGCTGACAAAATATGTACATACCGTCCTCTTCCCTTGTAAAACAAATGTTCTATCAGGAAATGCTAGTAACTCTTCTGATTCTGCTTGTTTGAAATGTGTTTTGTAATTGATGCTTGTTAAGACAGTGTTGGATCCAAACAATCAATCAATTGTTTTAGAACAAACGGAGAAGGTAATCCTAGCAGCTGGTGAGATCAAGCGAACTGGAGCAACTGGAGCTTACACTCAAGAGTTTGATAGAATGGAAAAGCAACTGTCTGACATCAAACAACTGCTTCAAAACACAACCAAAAGTTCAGTTGATTTGGAACATATTGATGCCTTTGTAGAACAACTCAGGTACTTACAAAAACTGTGTTTGTAGGATGTTTCTTGTGTTTTCATTTTTGTTTAAAATTAAGTATTTGTTCAGATATTTTTATTTGGAGGAGTCTTAAGATTTAACACTGAACTTTTTAACTTGTTGAAACCATATTAATTTTTCACCAAGAAGTTAAATGCTAGTTTACATTCGCTTTCTTTTCTTTCTGCGGGATTATTTTATCAGGTACGTTTTCTCTGAAATTCAACTCATATCCTACTTTTATTTCTTAACCCTATATTTTGATGTAAATGTTGTTCGTTTCAGAGATAAGTTGAAGAATTCCCAAAACCAGTTGAACGATGTTGGGAAAATCCAGGAGAACACGACTCAACGAATCTACTCGTCTAACCTAGCTTTGGCCAACCTCCGCAACAAGGTGAATGTTCTGAAGGAGTCGACCACTGCACTCAAGGCAAATGCAACACATCTTCAGGAAAGCAACGTTGAAGGTAATCTTGGCTACCCTATCATTGGCGAAGTTCAATATGTCACAGGAAGTGGTCTTTCAGGATTTTTGAGTTATGCACTTGACAGGAAATTCTTTACTGATCGTCACGTTAATTGCACAATGGTTTTGCGGCTTTGTAAATCTAATCTTTTATCCATTGACCTTCATAAAATGTTCTACTTTTTCTAATAATTATTATTTTACGAGCATATAAATTTCCATCTTCACCTACAGGAGCACTTAACCTAACGAGGGAAGCTGCCGAAAACTCCCGCCGTACTCAAGCCAAGGGGGTAGAGACCGAGGCTGAGATTGTCAAGGCAGAGCGACAATGTAAGCGGACGGATGCCTTGGTGGGACGAACATCCTCTCAGTTCACTCAAGGTCAACAGGACAACGCCCAGACAGCTCATAAATTAGACGAGGATATCTCACAACTGGAAAAAACCATTCCGGACCTAAACGAACAGGTACAGCTCTGTTCCAATAAATGCACACTGTTTAAAAATATAGCTATTTATTAATAGAGGTGGGGCTGTTAATAGATTTTTCACTTGAGTCAAGTATCAAGTTAAGTCAAGTTGCATATATTGTTAGTTAAACAAATGAATGATTACTTCAAAGCGATTCAGATTAAATACTTATGTTTTGATAGGTTTTACTGACTATACAATACACAGTACACATCAGGTGTAAGCATTATCCCTTTGTGTAGTGGATACAATAGTGAGTCGGTAGCGTCACAAACTTTGGGCCTAAGGCAGCGATGTCGTGGGTTTGGATCCTGGTCACTGCCAAAAACATTTTATCAGTACGGATCACCTTTGTACTGTACCGGCTCACTCCTTGCAATGCTGTATACGATCCACAAATATCAAGTTGCGTAAAAACCACTTGGGTGTGAGGCAGCTTTGTTGAAATTATTTAGTTGTAGACATTTTTCTTTATTCACATGTCCATTCACAAATAATTTATTAGTTAATTTACAAACATCTCTAGCAGCCAGTATGGAAGGAAGTAGTTAATTGTTCCTGTGTCTAGGTTTGCTACAAGCGAGGCGACCCTTGTGACCAACTGTGTGGAGGAGCTGGCTGTGGCTTCTGTGGTGGAATCTCATGTGAAGAAGGAGCTTTCACCAAGTCTAGCAAAGCCTACAGTTTTGCCACCGATGCTGAAAACAAGATTTACGAGAAAGAAGCTAAGGCTGAAGAACTTTTTAGAGGTGTAAGTATATTTTTGGTAAACCACTTCACTTAGTGGAAAACTCATTTTTTACTTATAAACAGACTATTCACTAAATACTTTAAATATATACTAAGAGAATGGTTGATTAATCTTTAAAATAAAAAATTAACTTGTCGATACCCTGAATTTCCAACTGACATGATTACATACTTAAAAACAAGTTTGGCTTTTGTGTAGATTATGACAGATTTGAGCCTTTTCCTCAGAGAGGTGTTAAACCAATTTAATTTTGTTTATTCAATGTTTGTAAATTATTAGTGTTTCAGTTAAAACTATAACTCAAAACTTAAAGAATTCAAACTATCTAAATATATATAATTACTGAACTTGCCTGTATATTGAGCTGCTTTTGAACAGGTCATGTCCAGTATTGTAAGTTTGCTTTTTTTGAAAATCTCATTTGGGCCAAAAAAAGCTTAACTCAGGGTATGAAAATGTTTATTTATTTCTACCTTGAATACAGTTCATGTTTCTTCAATGTATAATGAAATATATAGGTTAATACAAAACCCCAGGAGGTTTTTTACTATATATAAATGATATTTTTTAATAAATTAAAACATTTCCAGTAGATAATTTAGTTGTTTTAAAGAAAAATGCTTTTTGAGGAAACCTATTATAATTCAAAGCTATACCTTGACAAATTATTGTATCCATAAAGTTGTAATCTTTACATTTTACCTACAGTTTTAATTTGACAACACACTTTAAATTGTACATAAGTATGTTCATTTTTTCAGTAAATCTTACAATAGTGTAGATAACTTGCTGCAAAAGCCAAGATAAATTGTGTTTACAAAATCTTACTTTATTAGTAATATCCCTCTCCCTTGTATATTAAAAATATATTTTCAAAGAAATGTAGGTACTTTTACTTGTAAAATCAAGCTTACTTCCAAAGGTCATATTCAGATTTTAAATCTTAGTCTTTTACAAAGTATCATATAATTTAATCTCTTGGGAACCAAAATGCTTCAATATCATTAAAACTTCACTTCAGTTCATTTAATCTTTATAGCCTTAAGTAACTCTTCTTGACTCACTTTCAAGTTCAGTAACTCAATTTAAGGTTGGAAAAATTCCAAATAATTATGATTGTTGAAAGCTAGAAGCAGCAGGTATTATGCAACCCCCACACAATAAGCAATGAAATTATAAACTTTGTTAAGATCGATAAAGGGATTTTTACTGTTGCAAAAAATACAATGTTACACAAGTATAAACAAAATTAAATGTTCTTAAGATACAATAACATATTTATTAATTAATTGTAAATATTTTTTCTGTAAAATCTCACAAGTTAAGACACATGTACAGTTGACCTCCTTGAATCTAGCTGATTCTATTGTACCCTAGGGGTAAAAAAATCTAATACAGCCCTGTAACAGCCGTTCTCAATGCAGTGTGACTATAAAATCCTGTTTGCATTTCAGTAATATTCATGGCCATAATTATCTGTAGGCAGCCTTCAACATGTGTTTGCAGGTTTAGAGGTTACATGTAAATAGTAGCAAAACATTTTCTGTGCTCTGCATCATAAGGGTCTGCGGACCCCTGATATTTTTCAATCTGAACAGTTGGCCTGAGGAATGGGTTCGGGCAAGAACTAATTTCCAGGCCAAGCCTGGGCCCAGTCTTTTACATTAGAGGAGTGTGAGCTCTTGTTTTTGGGATCAAAGAAGGTTTCTGGGAAGATGCACGGTTGAAAATTGACAATAAGGCTGTGATGTTCTTGATTTCACCACCATCACTGGAGACGATAATGATATGTCTCTGCAACGAATTGTTGGAGACTTTAATGATGTTTCTGCGATCGCAGAAGATGCTAATGGCATTGGGGTGACCTTAGGAGATTCTTAATTTCTCTGCGTCTAGGAAAGAGGTCCACCATTTTGCCATGACTTGGTCGCGTTATCTTTATGACCTGGGAAGATTTTCTTGACTTTGCCCTGGCTGCGGAAGAGGTTCACGATTTTGTCATGACCGCGGTAGATGCTTGCAATTTCACTTTGACCTCAAAAGATTTTATCTGTAAAACTAGGCCTATGACCGCCAAACAGACGTTTCCAATTTTGCCGTGATCGCAGAAGATGTTTACGATTTTGCCATGACCGCAGAAATGTTTACGATTTTTCCGCAACTTTGAAAGACGATGATAATGTCTCCTCAACCACGGAAGATGTTCACAATTTTGTTTTGTATGTGAAAATTGTTCATGCAGTAGTTTATAAACAATATTGTATAAACCAATTGTAGTATTATAATTAATATTTTCGAAAATCAACCCACCAAAGTAACCCACCTCAATTTGGCCAAACCCAATTTCGGCCTGAGACCCAAGAGCCAAAATATTTTACCTGACCTGGCCCGGAATGAAGTAAAAAAAATCTGCAAACCCGTATTGCATCAAAGACACTTTTTTTTTATTTGTTAAGGCGAATAACCAAGAAACAATCATACAAAAATAAAGCTTGTTAACATTTAAGCCAACCTACATACATATTTTGCAACGTTGAAGGCAGCAACTTCATACCACTTCTTAAAAGTTAAAACTATTCAGAAACAGCCTGGCAGGATTTAGGTAGGATTATGACTAATAGCTGTAATATTACAGATAAGCCAGGCAAGAGCAGAGGCCGTTGCTGCCAAGGAGGTCGCTACTGAGGCTCTCACTGCAGCAACCTTTACCCAGGATCGTACAGAAGACACAGCGCAGCAGTGCTCTGATCTGATCCTTCGCTTGCAACACTTCCTGGACAACTCTGGTGTCACTTCTGATGAGATACAGGACCTAGCTCAGAAGGTACAACACCCCTCTTTTCTACAGTAGAACCGCAATAACAAGACCCTCAATAGCAAGTCACCCTTGATAAATATATAATTTTCAAATAGCCTTGATTTTGTACTACCCTAATCTCATGTTGTTGCAAACCTCTTGATGAAGTCTACCTATATAACAAATCTTAATTTGACAATTCTCATGAGATACTTCATATCAAGGTTCTACTATTTTACGGTGCAGTGGTAACAAGACTCTTCTTTCTGACTTTAAACTCAATCGGCTGAGCATAGATTTGAACATGCAGAGGTGTGATAAGAAATATGTATTCATTCATTGGTATGTACAAACATTTTCAATATAAATTGACGAATCAAAATAAATATAAATTGTTTTAGGAAAGGTTTGGTGAACAAATCTTCAAGTTAAAGATCTTTAAGATAACACCTAAACAAACTAGTACCATGATTTTTTTATCCATCTTTAGAGAGAAAAGTGTAGGGAAAATCCATTTAGGAATACTGTTAGTCTATTATCATGGGTGATTTTCTATTTAAATACAAGTTACTCCATGAAGAAACATCCATTTTCTTCCTTTACTTTAAGTTCATTTTCGTGATGGTGAGTTCAAGTTATTATGAGACTATTGCAGATTTCCCGAAACGTTATGAAAACAATGCTCAATTGAGCTACTTGGTGTTTTTGTGGTATATGGCAACTTAAAATATTTTGTGTGCATTTAATTTATGTTCTTGTCATTTGTATTTAAGCATATGATTGCAATAGCAGTTTTAAGGACTATTTTTTAAATCATGTTTTCAATGTGTTTGTAGACACAAGAGAAGAACATACAGCTGCAACCAGAACAGATTACAGAGCTGGCTCGTAATATCAACGCGACTGTAGCTTCAATCACTGATATCAATAAAATCCTGGCAGACACAGCTGGAGATCTGACAACAGCTCAGAGGCTGAAGGCTCAGGCTGACTCTGCTAAGTAAGTAAATATCAGTAGCAAATGTCCAGATAGTGAATGTCGTTGTTTCTTAGCTGTATACAGGGTGGAGTGTAGTAATTTGATTTTTAAAATTTTGGTTGAAGCAGTACTGTTGATCAAAGAGAAGGGAGAGTAGCCGTGCTTATTAGGTACCAACTGAGTTTTTTTATTAATCTGATGTGAATATGTTCTATAGTGAAGTGTGCCAGGTTTTGATGTGGTTCAGGCGAGTAGCCACAACATGAACTCTCCTCAGGTGAACACTAAGGCGCTAAAAAAAGGAAACTGAACATCAGATGAATACAAACCTCTAATGTTACTAACAAAGCACTTATAATGGTCCACCCTGTATTATACTAATAGGTAGTCTCAAGTTACCCAGAATAACAATTTGGTTAGGGAGATAAACAGTTTTAGAGTTAAGACATAACAATGTTGTTTTAATTTTAAATTTACAGTTATCCATCCAATTTTTAAGAAACTTATTGTCATCTTAATTTTTCAGATTATGTTTCCCTATTACGTTAATTAAACAACCACATTTTATTTTATAGAATAAAAAAAAAAACAGAAGGATTGATACAAATTTTACCCATAACATTATGCGTTTTCAGAGCTGATGCAGAAAACGTAGAATCAACAGCACAGGAGTTTTTGGATACCTTGAAAGAGGCTGAAACGACTCAACAGGAGATACAATTAGCTATTGACAAGGCCGATGAAGATATTGCTCAAGCTAAAATTGATCTTACACAGGTGCGAAAAATTATCCTACTTTTCCACATGTGATATAAGAACTTTAACCTTTTGATTAAAAGCTGCAATTACGTCAATCTAGACCCCTAGAGCTGCTCCTTTTACTATTTTGAGTAGAAAAATATTTGTCCTACCACTGCATGGAAATGATTACACACAAAATAGCTCATTCCAGCTCGCTAAATCAGCGATTTCACTAAAAAGACGAAAAAGACGATTGGCGTTTCTATAAAAAGTTCATCTGTGTGGTAGGAAAAATTATGTGTGTATTACAAGCATAAACCGTCATTGCCACTCTTAAGATGTAAGGCCATCTACAGTTCTCGAGCGGCAATGACATACTTTGCGCTCTTAGTAACAAATAGCTGTATCCATTTTTCTTGATGATTTTTTTTACCAGTATTGGACCACTTTTGTCGTTGCTATGAGATTGACTTTCCCCCTTGTTTGCCCAATACGTTTCATTAAGTCTGATTGTTCTTTCCTTTCTTCACCTTAAATTACTTTCACACTGCCAAAACCAAGCTTTTTTTGCTTTTACCATGTTGTTTATTCAGTGGTATTTTTAGTGACTTTTATTTTTAGCTTTAAATTTACAATTTAAGTGAGTTAATGTAATGTGCACCATAATCTGTAAATGCTGATGTCTCGTCACCTACATGGTCCAGCTAATGTTACTCATTTCATATTAATTACCACAACATTTGGTCTTTGAATACTAGTCCCTGAGGTCCTTGGTAGATAAGGGATGAGCATACATTACCATCAATGGTAACATGGACGTCAACCATCGATGTACCAATAACATCGTTGCGAAAACATTGATGTCTTTGGGACTAAAATATCTATGTTTTTTCAGTTTTTCGTCCGCTTTTTGTACTCTACAGTAATGGCAAACATCGATATCTCAATACTTGGCTAAAAAAATCGATGGTAGACAAAAGTATCGATGTAACAAAAACATCGGTAACCTACCATCGATGTAAAAAACATCGAACATCGATGTTACTAAAACATCAACTATCGATGCTCATCCCTATGGTAGATTAATTTAAATCTGAAATGTTGTGCAACTCTGTGCCTGAGATATGATTATTTAATTTTTTGTTCTTTTAACCTCATATTCTATGACGATAGGCTCTAGGCCAGGACCATTTTACTCATTACTACAGGCTAAACCTAAAGGGTTGTGGTGTTATCATACAGTCAGGGTGTCTACCAACCGGGAAATCCGGGAAAACCGGGAATTGTACTTAAATTTTTACTGGCCATGAAATGTACGGGAATTGTCCTTAAATGCCAGACAATGTCCTTAAATTTTTAATGGGCCATAATTTTATTGATCGCTAGTTGGTTAGGAGCACATAAAAGGTTTATCAGATGTTTGTTTACATTTTCATAATTTATTACTAGAGTAATTATGCAATAAAAATCCAATTAACAATCTCAAACCCATTAATATTTTATCACGACAATCAAGTGTCAAGTCAAGTACTTCCAAGAACTGTTGACTCAGCAGCTAGCTCATAAAAGTTATATCACTTTTATTCCTTTACAACTTCTCTTTTTATTACTAGGGTAATTATTATTAGATCCCAAACCTATTTTATCGTGAAAATAATAGCTTTATAATGGCTGTTAAATTTCACTTCTTACTTGTACTTTCGGCTTGAAGATTCAATTTACCGCGGCCAGTGCCAACTGCCATAAAACTGTTTATGGTTTCATATTAAACATGTAAATAATCTACAGTCTCATTTTGTAAGTTAACCCCTTTTTTATGGACATTTTATCTTTCAATTGACAAAACCACAAGCATTGTTGTTTGCATTAATGTTTTATCACTATGTAGGCCTGCTTGGTTTCAAATTATGTCATTGCATTTTCTGTATCTTTGTCTTATATTGTTGGCCATTCAGGTTTCAATGTTTTTTGTTTCCCATATATTTATTTATTGAGTTGTATGCTTTAAGCAATCAAAATCTTATGAACTAGAATGATAGTAACTTTGCTGCTATTATAACCTCATTGTTTGTTACTCAGTTTATATAGGCCCTCCTAAATAATTAGGCTTAGGCCTGGGTATTTTGATTCTTGAAAGAGTTGTAAAATATATTAAGAAAATGTAATTGAGCCTAAGATAAACAACTAATGATTGCTATGTGTCGATATTAACTTTACAAATGAAAATACAATAATCTTACTCTGTGCTTATTGCTTATTAATAGCCGCTTACCATACCTTGATTTTGTACTAAGAATTGAGTAACAATATGCATTAAAGATTTTTTTTTTCAAAAGTAGTCGAGAAACTAACGTTGTGCCAGGGCGAATCATGCCAAATTAATCCGCCTGGATCGGATAAGCTATGTTATGAAGTTTACGTGACGGATGGAGATATTTGTCGCTATCGCAGGAGACAATGATTGCGTTTCTCTGTTACACTATAAAAGCTTTAGGCCTACCCAAAGTATAGGTAGGCCTATGTTTGTTTACTTTCAATAAATTTCTATTTTGTAATTTTTAACTCTTATCTATTATTATTTACTTTTCTCTCTGGTACAACTACAGTGAATAACAAGATTAATACAGTTTGACAAATCAGGAAAATTGTTCGGTAGGCCTAATGACACCGACAAAGGTTACGGCAAAGTGTCCTTAAATGTACGGGAATTGTCCATGAATTTTTTATCCAGAATGTAGTAGACACCCTGACAGTTCAAGCCATTGGTGATTGGAGGGATTTGAACCCAGACCTCGGGGACTGAAGCCCTCGTTAATAACATTATTAACTAGACCAACTATCCTTTTTGCTTTATAGATCACAAGTGAGACAGCTGAGGCCCAGCAAAAGGCCAATGAGACGGTGACAGAAGTCAATCAGTTGCAAGAGAGAGTCAAAAGTCTACAGACAGGATTCCTCAAAAACCAGAAGGACGCCCAGGAGGTGAAAGCTGAGGCTGAAACAATGACTGAGGAAGTAAAACGTGCGGAGAAACGAGCTAAGGAAATGCAGGTTTGTAAAATGTTAAATGTCCCATCCATTCTATTTTACAACTACCAGAAGGAATGTAATGACATGAGAAATTGGTGAGTCGGTGGCTCAGTTGTAGCGCCAAAGACTTTGGGTCACTACGTTTATTAGTAAATTTCACCCTCGTACTGTACAAGCTCAGCCCATGCTTTGCTGGATACGTTCCACGCACAGGTCTCTGTGCCCCATGTGGTGAAAGAGACCGCCAACATCTTAAACAAATCATAGTTCGACACTGACATAGGCTTGTGTGGTAGAGGTAGTAAACGGGAATGGATTGGTGTTTAACGTTGGCTGTCGGTTTTACTGGACTTAAAAAAAGCCAAAACCGACATTTTCTGTCAACTCCTGGTTTCGGTTGTTATGTAATAATTTTTGCAATAAAGAATAGTGGCGATTGTAGGAGACAATCATGAGGTCATCAGGGTACGGGAAAAGTTGAAGATATTTCCACGATTGTGAGAGATGACGTTTTTGCAATTGTGGAAAATGTTAAAATCTTTGCCATGAAAGCGGAGTACAGTAGAATCCCTAATATCCGACCATGACAAGACCGGACCTTGGTCGGAACGGCCAAAAGGTCGGATATCGGGAGGAGCATAACCTGCAGTCTCCGCGACTTCGGTAACCGTCTCCCGCGACCGTGGCAACACCCTTTATTGGTAACAGTGGTGATCGTCTGCCACGATTACAGCAACATCCGGGATTGGCCTTTCGGCAGTGTTGGGGAAGCTACTTTTAAAATATAGCTAGCTACAACTACTGCTGCATTTCCAAAAAAGTAGCTTAGCTACAACTACAGCTACAGTTCCGAGAAAGTAGCTAGCTACAACTACAGCTACAATGAAATGTAGCTATAGCTACAATTTTAGCTACTTTTCCAAAGACGTTACTTTTATTCCACGCACATTAGGTAAATGTAAAATTATTTGCAACTATATAAACCTAACATTACAACAACAGAACCAAAATAAGTTAGTTGGGTGTTTCATCATATTTAGTACTTATTTTTATTAAATATTGCATTATTTTTATATAATACAAATCCTAAAAAAAAATCAAATAGGCCAATTGTAGTATTACAAAAAAATATTTCCATACAAATATTTATTAATCAAACAGACAACATCAAACAGGTAGAATTTAACATTTATTTGGTTGTTAAACTTGTGTGTGTAGTTTATAGATAGGTGTGTTAGGTTGGTTTTGTGGTTTTATAAGGTTTTAGTATCAGCTTCTTATATGTAAATTTCATTAAGTTTAAAGGACATACAACCAATCTATATTTTAAAAGCCCATTTTATTTCTTTAATATACATTCATTTATAGATGTATTTTATCAACTAATAAAAACAATAAAACTGTAAAACGATTATAAAAATACTTTTTTGTGTTACAGAGCCTAGCCTACTGAAATTGGAGTTTATTGCCTGTCTTTATTTTTAATGTTAAAAACGACATTGCTATAACTTTTAACCATAGTAATATGTTACTTGTTCTATGAATAACACTTTTCTATGTCAATAAATCGTCCTTTGTCATTATGCTTAGGTCAAATTGTGCTTCAACAAACGTTGGTGCAGAAAACAGTATTCAGCAACTTATCCTGAAATCGGCTTTTAATTTAAAAATGTTGAAAATTGTTAAGTAAAAATAACATTTATGCATATTTGGCTTTGTAACAAGTTATGGCTATAGTAGGCTTGTTCTTCCAAGGACTAAACAGATATATTCCTATTAATTGAACTTGGTATTCGTATTAATCCAATAGCATAGCCTAGGAATAGTCCTTGACAAGAGCTGTTAGCAGGAGCAAACTACTGTATGCTACTTTTTCAATGCAAGTTTCATGTTATATGGAGATTTTTCGTTACAATTATTATGTATTCTAGGCATATCTTAAATCTCATCAGGAAATTTCCTCTTCGTTCATTTAGTAAACCTTTGAAAAGTCTTTGTAATCTAACCAAGGAAGGGCTTGTGATGATGAACCACAATCAACAGCTGAAGCAAAGGTTGATAGACCAGCTTTCTCATTATTTTAAGGTTTAGTGTTGGTTTCCATTAAAACCCAAGTTTAAACTAAATTGATACAATAAAGAAACTAAATTGATTACTGATTCCCCTGTCAATCACTTGCAAGCATTCAATAGCTTCTCTTGTCACCGGTAACGTTTAAACGTCGTCTGCATCTAGCAATTTTATTTTATCTGACAGTAATCATAGAGTAGCAAATGAAGGAAATGAGAGCCAAAAAATGTGGATAACACTCAGATAATGGCCTCCATGTCCACGCAACATTGTAATAGGTAACGAAACGACTGTGGCCAGCTGTATTAAGCCAAGAAAGTATGCCTAATTTTCTTGAAAATCTCAGTTTGAAAAAGGTTGTTTCACGTGAGGTTGCGATAAAAATCACTATCTCAATCAATGTTAATGTAGCGAGAAAAGTAGCTAAAATTCCGCTACAACTACTTTAAAAATGTAGCTAGCTACAGCTAAAGCTACAAAATCTTAAAAGTAGCGTAGCTACAGCTAACGCTACAATAAAAGTAGCGCACCACTGTAGCGTCGCTACTTCCCAGCACTGCCTTTCGGTTAATTCCTCATGCACGGCGTTATCGCCCTAGACAGGAAACAAGTACGGTTGGACACTATGTCGGATATCCCGAGGAGTCAGTTAATCTGAGGTCGGATATGAGGTGTTAAACTGAAAAATGTTTCTGTCTCCGTGATGTCTTTTCTTTCACAGAGGATGTATATCAATTGCCTCCATTGTGGGCGGCGATTATGATGTCCTCCTGACTGTGAGCAAAATTTCACTGCAATAGTAGGAGATGATCATGATAGTGCTGCTATCACAGATTATATGTAGAATTAGAATTTACCATAGTATATTTATTATACATTATGTTAAATTCACACTACCCCAACTTATTTATTCTAAAGCTAATAGCTTAATGCTGTCTACTGTCAACCATACAAGAGATGTGATGTGCAACCGACACATCACTATTGTGATGTGCCATACTTTACCAAACAATTAGTATCCAGTGCCTATTTTGAGGCATTTTTCATTGGAAAGGAAGAACAATATGACACAGTAGATGTGTTTACAAGTTATAAAAAGTAAAAACGTGTTTGGATTTTCTTTTCTAAAATTCACAGCTATGTCGCAAAAAATCTGTTTACCTAATTGGTTTTTGTAATTTCTGTGGTGTTTTTTCATAACTATTTTGACAGTAAAAGTCTTGTTTAAGTTCTTGAGTAATTTTATTCTACTAAATTGCTGTAAAATATTTCTATGGCCATAAAAAATAAAACATAAAAAAATCAAGAATACAAATACAGATCAATAAGGGCACATAATAAAGGTGGGTTTGGCCTTTACTATAAAATGTTGTACCTTTACCTTAAAAAAAAGGACAGGAAAGAAGAGGTGCAGCAAATCAATTTCATGTAAGGTTTTATTTAAACAGAAATATATAAAATATAACTATAACTAATATTACTAAAACTTATCGTAACTATCGAAGTCTTAACTTAAAGCTACTACACGTCTATTAAAAATATTAAGTCATACATAATGTAACAATTTGGCTGGTTTAGTAACCAGTACCAAAAACGGAGCAACCTTTGGCTATCCATTGAAACATAGCATAGACTTGCTCTATTTTGTTACATTTCAAATGCAAACCAGCTGTAGGTGATTTATACAAGCTAAGCTATCCAAACTAAATCTATCAGAATCCATGACACCATTTCTCACATTGACAATTTTGCAATAGCACAATTAAAGAAGTGAAACTATGCAGCGTTAGTGTTAGGTTGGTTATTTTAAATGAAATAGTTTATAATTTATGCAGGCAGATAGATCCTGGAGAAATCTCCTCAAGTCAAACTCTGCAGTATTAACAATGATTGTATCATCCACCACTTTTTTTGCAGGATGAATACTCTCGAGCAGTCAACTCCCTGCAGGATCGTACAGAAGATTCGGGCTTAGCTCAAGCTAAAGCACAGAAGTTGCTCGAAAAGGCTAGCCAACTGTCCCTTAATACCACCGATAAGCTGAAGCAGCTGAAAGGTAAAACTATTTTATATGGAATCATTAAATGTTCACCTCAATATCAATTATGATATCTTTCTAAGTAACTAAACATGACATTTGTTCTGTGACCTCATTCAGGCCCAGAGGTTCTCAAAGGTGGGTTGCGACTTTTAATTGGTCTTGGGTGGAAAGTAAAAAAATTATTCCAGTAACTTATCGTTTGCAAATAAATATAATCGCACAATAAATATGCTTACACTGTACTAAACTTGTTTTTGAAGCTATAGGTGATTAATTAAACCCCTAAACTTGTGTATAATGTGAGGGATTAAACATAAAACTGCTTCATTTATATCAAACCAACGAGATCTATTGTATCAAAAATTAAAGAAGGTTGGCCTAACAAAAATAGGAATTTTTTTATTCAAGTTTTTATGTAAAAAACTTGATGGATATTTTAGTTTTTTTTACTTTCATTGTTCTAACATAGCAACATAATGGATTGCAAAAAAAAAAAATACTTAGCCTGTAAACGGAGTTGCAGTATTTAAAGGTTAACAACCCCGTTTTAGCATATCATAGGCTCAGCCATTTAAACCTCGATTATTGGTATATTTTATCTAATCGCTTCAGAATATTTTAAACAAATACTATAATTATCGAAAGGCTTTTAAAATACTTAGAGCTAATGGTATTTTGGTTGAAATAATGAATGAAAAGGATAAAACTTTATCTTATTGATTGCAAACTTTTCAGATGCTGAAAAACTTTATCGTGAGCAAGAGAATGATCTGACATCACTAACCGATGCTATCAAAGGTCTCAACTCCAGAATGGGCGAATACTTGATGGATATCAACAAGAAGAGCACTTACTATCGGATATGCATGAACTGAACATCACCTACAGACAAGACGAAAGTAGTCCACAGTTTATTTCCTTCAGAACTTTTTGTTTAGGTGCTATTTAGTTTAGTTATAAAACTGGTGTTCTTTTTGTGATAAGGCCAGAAAACGTGCATTTATAAGTTTTATTTACTGAGGAAGGACAAAGTTATGGTTCTGGTGTTGAAAAGGATGAAGATGGCTGCTGCTGCAATCACCGTAGCTGATATGATGGTATGGGTCCTGTCGTGGTCTTCACAGTTACGCTCTTTGATAAAGTCTGCTGGGACGAGACAGTCACTTCCATCCAACTAGACAATACAACTGTATAAGCTAAAATATCCATTTGCAACTTTGTTTAGTTTTTATTGTATTTTTTATGATGGAACTATTGTTTTCATTTGTTTGTTTTGTAACTAATATATTGGAACTTTTGAAAGATCATGAAAATTTTCAAAACTAGAAATTGTTTCCTAAGATTGATATATTGGAAAGTTTTTTTATAAAAAAATTATAGTTAAAAGATGTTTGGTTTCCTGCTCATTTTTATTACTTTTCAACAAAGTTCCTAATTTAAATTTTTTATTAAAAATAGCGCTTGTAAAGGTTACATTGTTTTTCTAAAAGGTATTAGTTTAAGGTTCTTTTATATTTACCTTACTTTTAAAAATTAACATTTGTTTAAAAAAAAACAAAAAAAAACTAGATAATGTCTGTGACGTTGTGTTCCTTCTTCATTGTTTGATTTTTCGGTGCCATGTATATTTGATACAGTTTTTAATTTTATATTTGCTTCTTATTACGATTATAAATTTATTGTTGGGGAAAAAAATGTTTGGTAAGTGCTGGTGAATGAAAATCTCCAATTTTCATGTTCTATACCAAATTATACACACTGTATCAGCCAAATTATGTATTTTAATTAACATCTTAGTGTGAACATCATAAATATAATTCTTTCACCATTGTAAATAGTTTATTTTTATTGAATACTATTAATTTGTGTTTTAGATTATATACTTAGTCGTTAATTAAATGTAGCTACTACAATCAAATAAGTGTCTTAATATTAAAAAATGTGTAACGCGAATGCTTGAAACTACTATTTTTATATACTATTAAGTTAACAACTTGTACATTTCTATTATATTTAGTATGCTGTAGTGTGTGCCTAATTTATTAGGTCAATAAATAAAATATTTATATGCCAGTCAATAATTTCTACCCCAGCAATAAAATAATTGTACAACTTTAAAAAGAAAGACATTCTCTTCTATAAAGGCAGATTTTGATGTTATGGAGGAAAAAACTGATTTTTGAGCTATTTTAGTTAATTAATTAATGGCTGTTCTCATTATTTTCTATTTTTTTTACAGTTTGGTTTTTTTACTGGCTTGTCCATTGTCTATTATACCTGTACTGAAATACATTACAGTCTTAAGATCATTGTATGTTCCAATAGGTTCTATGACAATGAGAAGTTGAGGTTAAAAATAAAAAAAACAATCCAAATTTGCAGCTATTTTGCTATCACCACTTAATATTCATATTACTTTTGCTCTATGTAGTTCACGTCTTCAAAGACTCAAATCAACCTAAATAAACAAAATTAGTTAATTTTATTCGTTCAATTTCAACCAATATAAAACGTAAGTCTGAAATACAAACGTACTTGTTTTGTGTATTGGTGGAAGAAATGGAGCTCATCGAAGAGTAGCCTGGAGTTGCGCAGAGCTTTATCAGAGAGGGCTGTGAGTTCAGAAACTCTTGCATGTTTGTCTTCCAGCAAAGCAGGCCCTGAGACACTCTGCATGTGCAGTCTTATGTATGAGATGTTGGCGTACAAACCTTCCAAGTGCTTTACGGTCAGTTCGAGCACCTTCTGTGCTTCCACAGCACTGAAACAGCATACTCAGTGAACTTGGCACCCGATAACGGCAATAGCTGTTTCTGAAATTTTCTATGGATGTAGTTCCATATAACTCCACATAATTGTTAACCCATGAACTACAGAAATCAGTATCTGCCACTTTTGATTTAGCGTTATGTGTCCATGCATTGAGACCGGGACACGTTACTGACACATATTTGATGATCAGAGCATTAGTCAGTTAGTCAGCACCATAACCTTCAATTTTATCTAAACAAGTTGTTAGAAATATAACATACCAACTATTCCAAAATCTTAGAAAAAAATAAACACGTTTTTATTCACAAACTACAAGTTTAAAATTGTTACAGAAATATTTCACCTATTTTAACTTAGAAGTTCAAAGTTCATAAATATTAGTATTAATATTAGATTACCTGTAAGGTACGTTTTTCCAACTCCTTTCTAAAGGTCGGCCCTGTTGAATTTTTGTGCCATGTGAAAATGGTAGGGTATTCTGCATACATCCACTGATTGAATTTGCAATTTGTAAAATTATTTCATGCGTTTTCAGTAAATCTAAATTATTTTCCAACTCAAAATTCTTCATGAGCTTTGTAAAGCTCTTGGTATTCCTGAAAATTAAAATTATAAACATTGGGTGACATTCTCTATAAACCATTGTTAATGTTATATTTTGTTCAAGGAGGTATACTGATTGTACATGTTCCTAAATCATAATAAATACCTAAACAAAACACTTATTTATTTTACAGTTAGTGTGATACAAACACACTTTTTACATTATAAATAAATTTACATAATTATAATCATATGATGAATGGAAAGAAATATTATACGGATAACAAATAATTGAAAAAAGTGTTATCCTTAAACACTTCAATCTAGAATTATGTTTATGTGACCTTTTTTACTGGTTCTCTATAAATATCTCTTAATATAATTTAAGATAACTTTTTTTGGTACAAAAAGAAAATTGTGTTTTTATGTGAATTGGTGGGTATAGTAAAATTTCAATGAATTGTCAGCCCAATTAAGTCACCAGTCACCGTAAGATATAATCCCTTTATAGTCTTGGTTAGCTTAGGCATAGGTGCTGAGAATATTACGGAGCAGAAACTAAGTAGGCGTATGAAGGGACCTGTCACAGCACTTAGTGGTGCGAGTAGGATTTTAGGATTATGTAGTGTAGACGGTTGAGGTGGTCAGTGCAATAGTACTGGGGTTGTTGGTATTGTGGTAATTGTGTCTGATGTGAGTAATTGTGGTAAAGATAAATTTTGGAACCATTTATGTCAGTAGGTACACTATTATATATAGATGGTGAGAAAAATACATGTTGACAGTGGTTTGTCGGACTTGGTTTGGTTTTGGTTGTGTTATGTATTTTGTGGGTGTGATCATGAAGGCAGTATTAACTTGTTCAGTGCTGACTACATCAATTGATGTAGTCGCGCCACGAGCGGCCTAAATCAATTGATGTAGTTGTGCAACCCCCACTACATTAGTTCAGTAAGAGCTCAGCCATTGCCGGGGAACGTTAAAATCGTTGCTAGCCTGTAACTTAGAATGTGAACTTTATTTTGGTGTAGGTTGGTACTAAAATTTCCCGTAAAATCCCGTCCGACAATGCTTTAGTCCCGGTTTCGGGGATTTTCTCCTTTCAAGCCATATTACAAAGCCACTGACTACTGATCCAGGCAGTGCTGCTACCTTTGGGTGTTTTAGGGAACTACGTCCAATCTCGGGCTAACGTAATACAATCGCCGCTGCTCTTTTGTTATTTGTCAGATTGAAATATTTGAATGCCAATTGCTTTCGCTGTTACGGTACCGCTCCGGGGCTTCGCCCGGGCCCTGCCGCCATTGGCAAGCGCCTGTTGGAATGCCTGCCGCATTGAACGTGTTAACAGCAAACTAAGCAAAACTGCAGAAGGTGTGAGTTGGGTACAGATCTCTGATGTACAGAATATGCAGATGGTGGCTAATAGTGGAATCTTGGGGAACCTCAGCAGCAGTGCTTTATTTGTGGTGGAATGGTGTTCCGGTACCTCTCTTTCAGAAGGATAAAAATATTGGCGTAAATAGGTAATTTTCCACCTAATTTTTTTACAAATCGAGCACTGCCAGGCAGGGAGGCTGAAAGGCCCTGAGAGGGTGTCTTGGAAGCAGATTTGGGCTTTGTGTCCGTCAAGAAAGGTGGAGACCACTGTATGAAGACTCGGAGAACTTCAGCTTAATTGCGACATATAATGTCAAAAGCACTCTGAACGCCACGAGAACAAGGTTGGTTGGTCTATAGAGGGAGTTGTTTAGGAGATATCCTCAGCTTGAGCTGAGTGTGATGAGGTGTACGCTGGCTTCGATCCAGCCTGAAACCTTCAACTTCCTTCTGGGTTCTTCCCAAAAGCCCTAAGAAAATGCTCTTTTTATCCTCTTTAGCAAACCACATACTGTTAATCAAAAAGCAAACCTCTGGAAGGCAGGGTTGCTGAGCAAAATTCGGGTACAGTGTTTGTGTTTGTGTGAAGAAGTCTGGTGCAAATGATTTGTTTGTTCGTGAAAGCTGCTGAATTTACAAAACGAATGACTATGGAGATGGAAATGCAAAATTCTTTGATTTCATGTACGTATTAGGAGCCAGGATGTAAGTCAAGGTTGCCAGTGTCTCAGTCAGGCTTTGGATGTGGAGGCTCCAATCAGCATTTTGATACTCAGTGATCTTGCAGGCATCAAAGAGGTTAGCTTAGTTGGTGAATAAAGTACTATTGAGGTCAAAGATAAACAGTGTGATTGGAGAAAGCTGCGTTTATACTTACTTTTTATTTTCATATATTATCTCCTGCATAATAGACTTACTCTTACCTATTATTATTATTGTTATTATTTATATTATTGATTGTTGGGGAAGTAAGTTCTTCTAGAAGAGATTGAAGAACCAACTGTCCAAACTTTTCCTTTGTCTTATAATCTGTATAGTCAGAATCTTTTTGTATTTCTTGTTTTTCAACTAGTCTATCTTCTTTTTTCACTAATATTTTCAATATCTGAAAGTATCAAAATGTACAGTACCAAGATTTTCAGTCAGAAAAAATGTGTTGAAACATTTTATTTTATTTAGCTGTAAAATACTATAAAAAATACTCCTTAAAGATAACACATTTAGAAACAATCTGAAATCTTGTATTTTACCATTCGTGATGGTCAGTGAAAATAATTGCCGAAATATGTGCAATAATATGAAGATGTATAGCTTAACCCTTTGAGTGCCAACGTCCGGGGAACCGGACGTTTTTAAAACGAGCCAAAAGTGCCGACGTCCAGCCGACCGGACGTTTTTAGAACGAGTCAAAAGTGCCAACGTCCGGCTGACCGGACGTTTCGTAATGATCGAACAGTTGTCATAACAACCGAATGGATACTCGGATTCTTTTAACCCATATATTAACATTGAGTCGAAAGTTACTAGATGCGATACATCGATTTTCGTTGGTCGAAATATCAAAAATTCGATTTTTACGAAATTTTAACCTAAAAATCGCCAGATCGCGCTCGGCATTTTTAGCGCGACCTTCGGGAAAATCATCGGCATTTTTTGAGCGTTACTTTTATTTCTCGCCTGGCACTCTAAGGGTTAACATATTAAAATGTGTTGTACATCTGAAATTGAAATAAGAGGAAATGGCAATTAAAAAATTCTCCATAAAATAAGTCGAATGACCCCATCAAACAACTAATCAACAGAGTTTATTTACTTGTCTAAAGTTACAAATGAATCACTTATCTTTTCATTCTAACAACCCTAACATGTTTTGTTAATCAGCTGTTTTGTTTTGCATGATTCAAATTGTTAGACAATTTACAACCTTTTTTTACTTCAGTTGTGAAATTAGCTGATTAGCAAAAGGGAATGATCGATTTCCGCTCTAGAGCGGCAATAAGCTAATTTGCATACTGTTTACAGGTATGGCAATGTGACCATTCCCATGCAGTGTTAGAAATAGTTATTTCTGTAACTAGTGGGTAAAGTGGCACTTTGCTGCAAACGAGAGCAATGTTTACGCACGAGCCGCAGGCGAGTGTGGAATGATCTCGAGTGCAGCAGAGGTCTTTTGCACTCGTGTAACACATTATATTTTTCCTACAGTTACTATAAAGCATATAAATAATTAGTCTTTCAAACACTATACAACACGTTTTTAGGTTCAGCTGGCAACACAAATAGGTGCCCTAGAGAAAGTAGTACCCGGTCTGTATCACTCCGCTATTTTTCCTCGGCAAGAAATGTGCTCCCCGTTTTGAGAATATAGTTCCGTATGTTTTTGTAATTTGAAGTGGTTTCCGCGCCTAAAAAAATGCTTTAAAGGTATTTTCTTGTTTATTAAGATCGTAGGAATGTTTTAAAAACGTTTAAAAGAAAAGTCCAGAAAGTTCAGAAATACCAAAACTATAAACACAAAATGACAGGTTAAATCGTAGTTATAATAATCAATCAGCTGCTCATAGTATTATTATTATCTTTAAGTGTTGCCAACCTTTTCCAAGCATACAAGGATTACGTGCATAATAGAACCACGCTGTTTTGTGTTGTTTCGTTGGAATCCTGATGTGCGGCAAAGTATAAAGTATAAGTACAACAAAGTATAAACCGTACGGCAAAGTATAAATATGCAGCAATTAGCAGCTTTCTGTACTATAAACAGAACAAGGAAGCCAACTTTGTCGGGTGACTGTAGGAAAAAGCTATTTTAGACTACAGCTGGTATCAAATAAAGTAACTGTTTACCAAGCTCTAATTTAGAGCAAGAGAAAACCGATCAGCTGATTTCCCTTGCTCTCAATTTGCTTTCCCTTGTTCTCAATCAGTTCTCCATTTGACCACTGCGCTATTGTTTGTTCACAGTTTATTTCTATTGTTGAAATCAGCTGTTTTACTGTTTAACAAAACAAATTTGAATAGCAATGTGCATAAGCAATTTATTTTTTATGTGTTTTAGCTCATAGTGTGTGTTTGCTTCACAATACAAATCATTGAGCTTAAACTTCTAATTTTTAAGTTGTTATATAAGCCTATGTTTGATTTCTTTTTGCTTTTATCTTTATATAAAAATAATGATAAATAGGAAATGTAATACTTTAGTTTTAATATTACTGAGGTCTGTCTTTCTGTATGACTGTATGTAAGTATTTTTGTGATGTGATGAAAAGTAGTTGATAATTTGTACCAAAAGTAACTTTCCGTCACTTGCTCCAATTATTCCTGTTCTCGGCTTTGCCTCTCACATGAAATTTGAGTGCAGACGGAAAAATGCCACTTTCGTTAATAGCAATTAAATATAATATTTCCAGTTCCTTTTTTTCTTACAATGAGTGGTGTTTACATATGAAATAATGTTAAAATAATATAAGTTTAGAGCAAATCCTGATTACAATTTTACTTACTTCATCATATTCTTTGTTGGTCACCAAATCAACTACAGTCTTTCCTCGCCTATCTTTTATATCAACTTTTGCTCCGTGTTTAACAAGAGCTTTTACAACATCCTCTTTCCTCTGGTTTGCAGCCCAAAACAAGGCCTGCAACAATACAAAGCATATTTAAATCAATTATTTTGACTGACAGTGTTGTATTTTTAAAGATTCTATTTCAATTTTAAGACTCATATTATTTATTTGAAATACCACCTTAGTTCCATGCATGAACAAATTATGGGAGACCAGTAATATTTTGTACTTACAATTAAATTATAATAAAATTCATAAACATCTCTAGTAAATTAGAATGTTTTTTCTTTTTGTTGTTTTTTTAATTCTTTGAGCTATCCATTTATAGCTTATTTAACTTAAAACACTGCATTATTAGTTAGAAAACACAAAAGAATTACCATTAACTAATAATGATTGTTTTTACCACGATCCACCTGGTATTTTGTGTGGCTAATTATCATGCATTATACCTATAACTATTTAACTAGACGGTGAAAATTAGCTGTTATGCTGTAATTAGTAGAAATGAAACATGTAATTTTCTACGTATTTATCTTTCTATTGTGTTATAAAATGAGTCCTTGATTCCCCTACATTGAGTGACATTCTGTGAAAATTCACATACAAAAATTCCCAGATTTTAGTTTCAAAGTGTTAAGTATTTAAGTTTTGTGGATTATTTTGGTTCGGAAGTTTTGTCTGCAAACTGCAAGTTCAGAATATATTTTTTATTTGAGGTAAGCGAACTCATACTTTTTTTTAACGGAATGATTTGAACTGTTAAGACAAGTTATTTATTTTATATGTACTTTACAAAAAATACTTCCCTCCATAGCTACTGTGCTTCTCAACCCCCCCCCCCCCCTCGGAATGCTATTCCTGGTAAATTTCATATCTTCTTGATATATTGTTTTTGTATTGTTTAATTGTTGCATCATAAACAATTTCTGAAGGGGTTTCCAGTTTTTTTAAACAAGGGAAATCTATTTACTTGAATTTACAGGCAAATATAAAATTATATATCTTCCGTTATTTATAGCCTAGATGTATGTTATTTCATCAATAGTCAATCTTAAAAAAATTACAACAAACTGTGGCAGCGTTAACTACTCAATAGCGTTATAATAATGCAAATAAATGTTATACGAGGACGGTTTTTGAGTAAGGTCCAGTTTTGCGTTTGAATCCGTAGTTCATTGCTCATTACTATTTGCTGGCATAATTTTTGAACAGAATGGCACAAATTTCAGCCTATTTCATGCTTCGCAGTGTGTTTAAAAATTTATTTTAACAATCAAATTTCCCGCCGCGTCCGAGGTAAGGTCAGAGTTACGTTTTTTGATTACAATAAACATATCTGATGCTGACATTCATCGTCAAATTACTGAAAGATGTCCCTAATGTAGAGTGCGGAAATTGGTTAATAAATATTGCCGTAAAATCCTTTTTTCTCAGTGGTCTTCTTTGAGAAGTCTAGGGACGACCTACCAAAAACACAATTCCTTCCGAAATGAGCATTTTCATGGCCATTTTGAAACTCCCTAGCCTCTTTCTGCATTTGCCATGCTATATTTGCATCAGGGTCATAATATCAAGTCATCTGGCGATGAATGTGGGCATCGGATATGTTTCTTGTAATCAAAAAACGTATCACTGACCTTATCTCGAACGCGGCAGGAGATTTGACTGTTTAAATAAATTTAAAAACACACAGCGAAGCGTACATGATAGCTACAGAGCTGAAATTTGTGTTATTCTGTTCACAAATAATGCCAGTAAATGGTCATGAGCTTCGTTGCAGCGTACAAGCAAACTACAGAAACCGGCCCTTACTTAAAAAAACCTCCCTCGTATGAAAACTAAAAACAATTTCTCCTCTCGCCTGCTGGGTAACCTATCTTATCCAAACGCCAAATTATTCAGTCATTCATTATTTGTTAAATTCATCCAAACCTCATATATTTTAATTTTAATATATTATAACATTCAAACGTCATACAATACACATTCAAAGTGTGCACATTAAATTCGCACAAAGCCTTGTTTATAAGGCAGCATAAACAACACAACTGAAATGAGGATGATGTTTTTTTAAATAGCAAGTGACGGTCATTCATCAATCAGCAATAACAACAAATACACTATCTGTTTTTAGGAAGGGTACCTAATCTTTTGTGGGTCAAAATTAAAATTTGAATTGCCGTCACCGAAACAGATAATCTGTGTTTCAATTTACCGTCCATCCCTGACTGTCTTGAGCGTCTATGTAGCATCGAGAACTGTTCAGAAGATGTTCAACGATCTTCACGTGGCCCTCCCTAGCAGCGAACATGAGAGCAGAAATGTGGTGTCTCTCTGTCGTGTTAACTTCCGCCTTGTATTGCAACAATGACTCGACGCAGTGAACCAGATGGTCTTCATTCTTCTGTGTCGACGCACACACTGCCATCAGTGGCGTGAACAATTCTATGGGAAATGTAAATGCATTGATTGGCAACATAAAATTACAAAAGATGTTTCATTGAAAAAAAGAATAAATAAACACTGTACGAAATTTACGTTTTGTGAATTATTTAGCAAAGAATGGTGAAGTATGACAAAAAACGCTGTAATGAAATATATTGTTATGATTCAGTTATATCCAAACACACGAACATGTGCTAATTTGTACTCATCTTTCATATATTATTTGGCATATTGCACTGGAAATCACTAATCAGTATTTTCTTATACAGTAAATTATTATGAAAGAGACTTGTATACATGTATAACCAAAACATTCTTTTGATTATAGAGCAATAAGTCAAATGAAAATTATAATACTTACCCTTATGAAAGTTAGGGTTTGCTCCACATTTGAGTAGGTACTCCACAATGGAGGGGTGGCCTAGGGAGCAGGCATACATCAGGGCTGTCCATCCCCCCTTCAATGGCTGGTTAACAGTCACCCCTGTTAAAAAAAGATCTATGTACTGAATTAAAATAAATTTTTGTCGATGTAAGACCTCATATACTCAAATGACTTTTCTGTCAATTGTTAAACTTTCAAACGGCTCTTCAACCAACGAGATACTAATTATTTTGTAGCAATCGCGCAAAAAAGATTACGTTGTTTCCATGATCGCGGGTGACGAATATGATGTCTACAAGACCGCAGATGATGTACAAGATGTTGCCACGATCATGACAAACGATAACGAGTCTCAATGACCTCAGGAGACAACGTCTATATGAACCCAGGAAATATTCAAGATTTGGCTGCAATCACAGAAAACGGATGACGATGTTTCCATGACCAATGGAGGCGATGATAAAATGTCTGCAAGAGTTAATGGATTTTGCCACAATAATGCTTTACTGAGATAAACGATTGAACATAAGTGGTGATGTTTAGTTAGGAGGGCACCATCTACATGTACTGCAGGGGGGGGGGCGCTCATTGCACTTACGCTTCTGTCATTGGAACCTAAGGAAGAAGATATTTTTTATACTCTGGGTATCTAGCATGCAAATCCTCTACTGCAGACAGTAAATGCACAAGGGTCAACAATCTCAGTTAATACCTTCTTAATCAGTTCCATTTAATCTAGAACTGACAAAATTTTATATCCTTTTAATGATTCTCAAGTGCATTCAGATCTCATTACATGTTATCTGACCATCAACTCTTGGCGGACTTGCAAAATCTCACTCAGTTCCCTCCATTCAAGAATCCCAAGTCGTTATTTAATATATGCTACTGATGTATTTCTTCTACCCTACTCGACAACATTTTAAGGAAGTTCTACCTCTTTCGCCTACAGAATTATCAAATTACTACTTCAAGTATGCAGCTAACAAGTATTTAGCAGGCACATCTTGCCGTAGGTCTGCTCTACTTCAGTGTTTTAAGTAAAAACCCACACTCTTTAAAAAAAAATATTTCACCCCTATTGCAGACAAAACCTTATGTAATTTTTTGGAGAATGACATTTATAACTTATTTTGAAGAAACCAATATTTAATAGTGTTTAACCCTAAGTAATATCAATAGGTTAACGGCTTACCATTGGAAAGTGTATTCTTGATATCTTCCAGGCTTCCTCGTATCGTTGCAAGTCTAAGTGCGTCTAGTGTTTGAGCTATTCGGACATTTTCCCCTTCATTTTGTTTGAAAATCTTTTCTTGACCAAATACTCTAGTTCGTTCCTAAACCAAAGAATGTATTTTGTGATTGAGTAGTGAATAATTTATTTATCTGCATGACAATGTAACTAAAATTACCCTTACAATTCAAAAAAATAATTATTTATAGTAATACTGTTAAAATGTAAGAGTATACAAGCTGGTAAATATTTATCAACTTAATTGAAGCTCATATTAATATGTGATTCTCGCCATTTGCCTATTGGGTATGATGATTGACGTGTCATGTCAAAATGTATGTTTTAAATGTTGTGTTTTACCATTTGTTTACATAAATATTGCGAGTCTCATGCCTCAGAGGTATTTTCATGGAACCTGATTATGATTGTGAAAGGTAACAAGACAAACAACTGTTTTTTTCTAAAATTACTGTCGTTTGTAAATTATATAAAGATTCCAAGACAAGGAATTGAATTTTTACTATGTAAATTAAGTTTGCGTTTCAATGGAATTCATTTGCCCTTTTGGAATAAGAATATTATGTTAGTGAAATATTGTTGATCCGAGACAAATAAATGTTTAATTTTAGAGGTTAAATTAATCTGACTTGAAATTTTTGTTTGTATATTCATCACTTAAGATAAAACATTTGACTATAATATCAACGAAAATATACAAAAATATACCAAGTAAAACACATAGGATCAAATAAATGTTCTTTCAAATTACTCGAAAACCATAAATATAAGAATTTATAATCATAAAGTTACCTTAAGCTAAGCTATGACGATAACTGTAATCTATATATTATTCTTGTAGATAGATGAGTTGATTACTGTAATCTATATCATTATTCTTCCTGTAGATATATGAGTTGACGAGACATGATAGTGAAATTTTTGTTTAATAAAAACATTGGCAAGCACAAGTTTTAATTATGAACGAACAAGATGTAAACAAATTTACTGTTGAATTTTGACTCTAATAATATATTTAAAAATTGACTAAAACAAAAAGAAAAATTCAGATGAGTCAAAATACTTTTATATTATCTAAAATATAAGCCAGAGAAAACATTTTTGTATCAACTGGTGTGCCTATTCCTAATTTCTTAGAACCATTTGGTTAAATTTTTAACTTGTATGTGGAGGGACTTTGTGAAGGGCCTTGAGGGGATATCAGCCCTCAAAATTATTCAAGTGATTAATTTGTATACCGTACAGTAGTGTTTTTTTTATTTTAAAACAAATATGTAAAAATGTTCTTAAAAAGATACATATCATCTTTTTAATACGTTCGGAGCATTAAATACCTCCGCCGCAGCAAATTTTCCTTTGTCTGAATTGATTTTCAAATCTATTTAAATAACATTAGGTTTAACGAGTACCTAGGTTTGCTGCCCACAGGGAGGGTAATAAACGTGTGTTTTTTAGTAAAATATGAATAGCATAGTATAAAATAAAAATAGATTTGTCGAGTTTGATCAAAATATATCCATAAACAAGCAAACTACAACATTTTACAATATTCTCCTTAAGAATAACATGGGAATTAAAAATTTACATTTTTTTAATTTTCTCCGTTATTAATAACCGTAAAAAAATACTTTGATATACTAAATTAGTTCTTTTTTTAAGCTCTTTAAAAAGGTCTAGAAAGAAATTGGGAAATTATGTATTTTGAGGGTAAAAAATGAAAAAAACAATTTTTTACCCCATAAAACCCCCGGTAAAACCCTGTTCCCATGGTCCGGTCATGCTGGTTCACAAACTCATTTAAGCTTATCCCGCCTTACATCTTTAAACTAAATTTCAACAAAAACGGACAAAAATTACTCAAGTTATCGCGTTCATGGACGTATATATATATAAATCTAATATATGTATATGTATATAAACATTTTAACAAATTATGTTTTTGGCCTCTGGGGACATCAAAATGAAAAAGTAAATCGGTCCCGGGCCAAGGTCTTACAGTGCCATCTTCGGTAATAACTACTTCCCTGTAGGGAAATTTGCTAAAAATGATATATGTTTGAAATTCAATCTAGATGTCATGTTGATTCATAGCCTGGAACTTGAATTAAGACTTGTCAAAATAATAAAAGATTCTACCATTCAATATTTGATAAATTTGTTATAATAATTATAGTTATTGTGTGATATTTTATAGTATTTCAAATATTAATGACTTGGTTTTCACATTATTCGATTTTTACTCTGGGAAAATTTCCCTTTTGTTTAGTAAAAAATTGTTGTCAGAAAGAATACTTTGAAGTTATATAAGAATGTTACGATACCGGCAAATTAGCCGGCAATGAATATAACTTACGTGGGACTCCATGGCGAGTGAAGGTGATCTGATGGTTGGTTGGTCAGCTGATGGCAGGGTTTGGACTGTTCCCAAAATGACCTCATTCAACAGAATAACACCAGCATTTGCAGATGCCAAGTTTTGTGGCCCTCTTGACCCAATTTATAAATAAAATAGTTTCGCCAATTTTGACTTCTCTGTGGTCATTCATATTTCTAGTACTTGATAGAATTGTTTGCGAAGATGCAACAATCTGACTTAAAGTCAAATATAAATCTTTTCCAATGTGTAACTCTAACTTACAAACTTCATAGTTAAATATTTAATATTTCAAACTTGTGAAGACATTTTCTGTAAAAAAATAATTAAAACTAATATCATACATTAAACACTAAACAAAACTCCCTAATAGCCTTATCATATTTATGGCTTACCTGGTGACAGTTTTAGCGAATTTCCCCTATAGAGAAGAACCTATTTCAATAAAAATATAATTTTAAAAACACACTTCATTATCTTTCTTGTAGCAAGAAACCCAAGTATTCATTAGAGTTACCTAATATTACTAAAATAAGAAATTAATCTTACAATGTGAAGGAAATAGTGGAAATACAGCCAGATAAATTGAAGTTTGCTTAGTCTGCAGGTTTGCTGCGGCTCGAGTATTATTTTGTAAAGTAGGCCTAAACTCTTTTCAAAAATCTGTGAATCAATTTACAAAAAATAGGGCAGGTCATACAAGTTGACAATATACAAAATGTTTCTAAAATACTTCATGAGCTTAATTCAAATTTCGATTAAATTCAATTACAGTACCTAATATTTTCTAAATGACCGTTCAAAAGGTATTTAAAGTATTCTCAAACATACCAACCACTATCAATATAACATGCAATGTAACGAGCATAACAAATCAATATTATTCTTTATTGGTATACTTCTGAATAAAATTTATAAACTATTGCAAAAATGTATTCACATGAAAGTAAAAATTAGTACTATCATTGAAGTAAAAAGTAGGAAGCGGTCCAAAACTATTCTCAGGTATTGGCTCACAACAGCCTGTGACAAATGGACTTCTCAATATTTAACTTTTGACATGATAGGTTTCATAAGTTTACTTTATCCAAGGTATATTTTAGTAAATTTCCCTACATGGATGCAACTTCATATCTTGGGTTTCTGAAGATAAAATAACAGTTTATTCAAAATATTATGAGGTGGTTTGGGAGCTCGGTATTAGCGCTAGTCGGCAACTAAGAACCGGATATTTCCGGTATTTAAGTTGCCGCCTAGAAAAGGGGTTTGTGAGCTCGGGATCAGTTAGGTGCGCGCCTAACTTGTTCAGGGATAATCTCGCGCCTAAATATTGTTGGTTTGGGAGTCTAGTAGCGACTTAGGCGCCAGCCTAAGAGATAATCTCGGTGGGTTTGGGAGACCAATTTCGGGACTAAGAAATATATTTCCGTCATAAAAATTAGTGAGTTTAGTCCGCAACTTTAGTCCTGCCAGGGGGCAGGTTTAAGTTGACATTATGCCGAAATTACCTCATTAGCATGTTAATTGTTTACATATTAACTAAAAGAATGTTATATTCTGATTAGTTATTAAATTCCGAACAATTTCATTACTCTCAAAGTATTTTGACAATAGTTTTTTTTAGGTTAATTCTGTTGTTCAAAATAATACAAATATCGGTTGGCACTACTGGTGCCGTTTGAGTCAGTAGTCCTACAGTGTTAGCTCCCGATTTATTGTAAATTTCTACAGTAATAAACAGAGTTTAGTACTGGAGTTGTGTTTCAATGTGATAAGAAACGGTTAAGTATCGTTTGAACTGATAATTTCGGTTGGGAACTAAGAAAACAATCAGTTATCGGGAAATCGCCGACGTGGTCAGTTGCAACGTGGTCAGTGGCAGACAAGTTGTCGTGGGTTCGTGTCGTGGACATTACGGTGATTTTCGTCGCTGGTTCGTGTTTGCGGCATCAAAAGTGATATTTAAGCGAACATAGTGTTGTGTTAATGACAGACAATAAGATAATCAATTATTTCTCGCCTTCGGGAAGACCTGTCAAACGTCCGAGATCGCGTTCCTCGCCAGCATCACCGGAGGATTCTTCTACAGGTTTGATGATGGGAATAATGGAGAACGACGACGAGAAAGTTGGTGAGTTAACTAATGGACAGTTAAGATCTTCTCTCAGAGATGTTATGTCCGATCTCCTGGACTCTAAATTGTCTAATTTGGCGACAAAATCTGACTTGGTTAACCTCTCACAAAAAGTGTCACATTTGGAAGAAGAAAACGTTTCACAAAATGAACAGATAAGGGACCTTAAGCGACAAAATAAAGTCATTATGGATAAACTTTTAGATTTAGAAAGTCGATCTAGAAGGAACAATCTGATATTCAAGGGACTGAAGTGGGGTGAAAGAACAACGGACTTTAAGTATATAGTAGGCAAATTCTGTGGTGATATGTTCGGTCACAGTCAAGTATGTATTAACAGGGCTCACCCTCTAGGAAACCTAAAAGATACAATAATCGCTCACTTGCCTTGTGACTCTGACATTGACTATATTATGACTCGGGTGAAACAATTGAAAAACACGGGTTATTCAGTTTACCGTGATTTCCCAAAGGAGGTGCGAGTAAAGCGTAAAGCTTTAGTGTCAGTGCGAAATGAGGTCGAGAGGGTAGCGGGGACCCGGCGGATGCCCTTGGTATATGATCACCTAACCATAGACAAGTGTAGGTTCACGTGGGAGGAGGGTAGGCTAATGGCAGGGAGGCAGGACGGAGTTGCAAAGCTGAATTCCATGTTTCGCCACGACTTCTCGGAGTTCATAAATCGCCTTGCAAATCCCCCTTTGGACATGGAGGGTGCAGCCGAAGACGAGGGGTCGACCACGAGGCAGCGCGAGACTCCAAGGGATGCTGTGACAGCGACCAGCGACGGCCTCCATCAGGGACCAGGGACAGCAAGCTACTCTCAGGCAGTGCGGGGTTGAGGGGTCTACGCCAATCCAGCCACAGAAGTACGTCGGACGGACTCAACAAGTACTTTAAGTAAGATAGGTAGTTTAAAATTAGTGGCCTACAATGTATGCGGGTTAAAGTCCAAGGTGAATGATTTAAGTTTTATAGAGTTCATTAATTTGTATGATATTGTTTTTATTTTAGAATCATTTATTTCTGAGGTTGATGCTCCATATATAGACCAAAAGTTAAAAAATTTCAAAAAGAATTTTAGTTTTGCTAAACGTAGCTCAAGCCATGGAAGATACATGGGAGGATTAATAATTTTGATTAATTTAAGTTCTCCGTTTTGTGACAAAATCAATTTTATTGAATACCATGACTATGTATTAGTGCAAATAAGGAATACAGTTAGTAATAGATCAATAGTGTTAATGCCAGTATATATTAATTATAATTCATGGGATGATAACTTTCAGGCTTTATCAAACTTTTTGACAAACAATAATTTTCAAGATTTTATTTTGATCGGTGATGTGAATGGCCGTGTAGGTATAGAACAAATTTTACCAGAATATTGTTTTAATCAAATGGAATCATTGTTATTTAGACGAACCCGAAACTCCAAAGATTTAATTGTTAACAATAAAGGAAAGAGAATTTTAGATCTGTGTGAAAATTTAGGGTTAGTTATACTGAACGGTAGGTCAGAGGGTGATTATAGCGGGGAATATACTTTTATAGGTGTCATGGGATGCTCTGTTATTGATATAGCAGCGGTCTCATTATCTTGTCTAGATATCATACAGGGGTTTAAAGTTGTTGAACACACGGGCTCTGACCACCTGCCAATTGAAGTATCCTTATCGATAGATAACGACATTTGTGTGAGGAGAAGAGATGAAAACATTTTACCTTTACTCCCAAAATTAAAATGGACTCGACGGGATAATATTTTATATCAGGAAAAGGTTATTCAGAATATTGCTATGTTTCGTATATCGTTAGACGACCAAAATAATTTTGATCAAATTGTACATATTATAAAGGAGTCAGCCCATTCAAAGCAAAGTGCGACTAGTAGTAGCTGTTCTTTAAAACAACGGCACCAACAAAAATGGTTTGATTACGAATGTTTAGCGTTGAGAAAGCGGAAATTTAAGAGGTTAAACATATTTCGTAGAACAAACTCGACAGCTGATAAATCTGAGTACATTCAAGCATGTAAGATGTTTAAAATTGTATGTAAAAATAAACAAAAAATGCACTTGGATAATACGATTGCCAGTTTAAATCACAGGACTGACGCGAAAACTTTTTGGTCGGCTTTAAACAGTTTTAAATACGGCAGTGATAGGTTCGTGGGTAACATTGCACCGCAGGATTGGATCAATCATTTTAGTAAATTATTAAACCCGCGACGATTATCAGCTGGGATCTGTTATGCGGAACCAATGATAACAAACGATGTTTTGGACAGAGATTTTAGTATGTTAGAGTTAAAATCAGTTCTCGCGAGATTAAAAGATAATAAAGCGCCGGGCCACGATAGGGTGCCCTACGAGTTTTATAAAAATGCTCCAGATTCACTGCTCACTAGAATATTGGGTATTTATAATAACATGTTTAACAAGTGCAGGGTAGTGGAAAGTTTTAAAAAATCTATTATATTCCCGTTGCACAAAAAGGGAGATGCAAATTCTGTTGAAAATTATAGAGGACTTTCCTTTATTGACTGTGGTGGTAAAATATTTACGAGTTTGCTGAATTCTAGACTAAATGTGTGGTTAACTCAGAATAATATATTGACTGAGTTTCAAGGGGGGTTCATACGTGGATATTCTACCATTGATAATATATTTAGTTTATCGTGTATGATTAATTTAAGTTGTGCGATTAAAAAAGGCAAGTTATTTTGTTTTTTTGTAGATTTTTCAGCAGCCTTCGACACTATAGACAGAAAGGCCTTAATTTATAAATTATTTAGTATAGGAGTTTCAACCAAATTTGCCAAGCTTATTGAAAATCTTTACGATAGAACCAATGTTTCTGTATGGTGTAAAAACGGCATTACAAGTAGTTTTGAGTCCAAGATGGGTTTAAAACAGGGTTGTAATCTTAGCCCTACTTTATTCTCAATATTTATAAATGATTTGCCAGAATTTTTAGAGGGCGGATGTTTATTTGGAGGTCAGAAAATTAATATTTTAATGTATGCGGATGACATAGTTTTAATAGCTCCCACAGCTGTTGTACTGCAACAAATGATTGGAAAAC